TTTTTAATAAATTCAAAAATCTGCGGAAAAAAAGTGTGAAACAAAAAAATTCAGCTTGCGCGAAGTTCAATCATGTGTTGAGGCGTCTCCTGCACTTAATTTTAAAGCTTATTTTCTAGATTTAAAGGTGCTTCGAGCAATGCTCTGAGCTCTGACTGAATTCTTAATTTTTAATAAATTCAAAAATCTGCGGAAAAAAAGTGCGAAACAAAAAAATTCAACTTGCGCGAAGTTCAATCATGTGTTGAGGCGTCTCCTGCACTTAATTTTAAAGCTTATTTTCTAGATTTAAAGGTGCTTCGAGCAATGCTCTGAGCTCTGACTGAATTCTAAATTTTTAATAAATTCAAAATTCTGCGGAAAAAAAGTGCGAAACAAAAAAATTCAACTTGCGCGAAGTTCAATCATGTGTTGAGGCGTCTCCTGCACTTGATTTTAAAGCTTATTTTCTAGATTCTAGGGCGCTTCGAGCAATGCTCTGAGCTCTGACTGAATTCTAAATTTTTAATAAATTCAAAAATCTGCGGAAAAAAAGTGCGAAACAAAAAAAATTAGCTTTTGCGAAGTAAAATCATGTGTTGAGGCGTCTCCTGCACTTAATTTTAAAGCTTATTTTCTAGATTTTAGGGCGCTTCGAGCAATGCTCTGAGCTCTGACTGAATTCTTAATTTTTAATAAATTCAAAAATCTGCGGAAAAAAAGTGCGAAACAAAAAAAATCAGCTTGCGCGAAGTTCAATCATGTGTTGAGGCGTCTCCTGCACTTAATTTTAAAGCTTATTTTCTAGATTTAAAGGTGCTTCAAGCAATGCTCTGACTTCTGACTGAATTCTAAATTTTTAATAAATTCAAAATTCTGCGGAAAAAAAAGTGCGAACGAAAAAAATTTAGCTTGCGCGAAGTTAAATCATGTGATGAGGCGTCTCCTGCACTTAATTTTAAAGTTTATTTTCTAGATTCTAGGGCGCTTCGAGCAATGCTCTGAGTGGAAGGTAATGCCAAGGCTTTTCAATTAAAACAGAAGTAATTTAAAAAATAATATATTTCAAAAGAAAATTACGTGGATTCAGAAACTGAACGAGAAAAGCATTGCTCAGAAAACAAATAAAAATTTCAACTTTCAATTGGAAATCTTAATTATTTTTTAAACAAACTACGATATGTGTTCCCAAAAAAATTAATTTTCCTTTTTGAAACTTAAAAATCAAGACAAACCGCAACACACTATTAAATTTTTGGAAACAAAATAAGATTATACAAATAAAGAAAGGATAAATTTTGGACTCAATTCATTTTCCAGGCATTGGTTTTCTTACTCCAGCGTCTGAATTCACGTGTCAGATTTCTTTTGAAAAATTGTATAAAATTAAAACAGAAACTGCTGAGAAACTGGAATTCACTTATCAATGTAAACACGATACAACTCCACACAAAAAAAACCCGCACTTTTCAGATAGAAAATACAAAAAAAAATATTTTCTTGAAACTACCAATGAAATTTGCTATTAAATATTGTAAAAAATTAACAATGTTACGCATTAAATTATGCAAAATTCTGAATCACAATGATGAAATTTGCAAGTAACCAAAATATTTTTGGAGTGAATTACAAAAAATTGAGGAGACCTTCCAGAACTTCCATTTTAACAGTCTTTATTTTTTGATGTTTTATTCCTTTTATCATTAAAGAGGTTTATTTTAAAACTCTATCACAATGGTTATTGCGTTTAAAAGAATATAAATTCAGATTTTTAAATTCCTTTTTAACTATTTTCAAAATTTTAACAAACTTAACAAGACGATTTTAAGTTTCATTCCAATTTTGATTATCGATGCATTGGCTGATTTTGTCCCCTCACCATACTATTGTGTCGTCTTATTGCAAACTTGATGAATTGCAATCCCCCCTATAAAGCAAATCACCGGGAAATTTCTGCAGCAAGAATTTATTGCAACAAAAAGAATGCAATAAAAGGTCGTGTCCAGGAATTGCGATTTATACAATGCCGGGGTGAGATGTATAACATTAATCCATAGGGTTTGAGAGGCGCGTCCCGTCACAGAGATTAATCCCGTATAAATACTCAAGGCATTTGTGAGCGACCCTTTCAGCCTTCTGTGTGTCCCAACTTGGCCAGACATAATGAATTGCAGCGATACTATCTCTTTTGAAATTGCATTCCCGTTCGCATTATACAAATCCCCGCAGAGTTATTTGCTCGGAGAAACACACACACAAGTTTCGCTGGCAAACACAAAAGGGTTGTTCGAGAAAGTCTAATTATGAATCTTGCATCTCTCACTTTTTCCGGGGCTGCCGTTTTTGATGCGCCGCGCGCAGGAGAGAGATTGCGATAAGCCGGCTAAAGAGCCTTATTACCGCCAAGGAAAATCGCCTCGTGTCTGTTTTATTAAAGCAGCCAGAGCTTGGGTAGGTTCCGACCTTATATACGAAATTACGTCTCGGCCTGCGCGCAGACAACATAAAGCACGTTCCTGCCCAAAACGCTACGTTCCGCCTTAATCTGTATAATAACCATTATTCCGGCCAGACCCAGCGCATGGAGAGAGGGACAGCGCAAATTATTTGCAGCTTTTGTGCTGGAATTCGTTAGTACCAGCGTAGCCGCCACTTTAAACTAAATTCTTTCCTTATTGTCAGTCAAGCTTTTGCAGCGAATGAATTTGCCTTTCATTTAATATTTCAAAACATTTTTAAAATTAATTGAGATAAAACATAATTTATAATTTTTCTATTTAATACAATGTTCAAAATGATTGTAGTTTTTTTTTTAATTAAAAAAAATTAATTGAATATCATTCTTTTTTAATAAAATCATACTCAAATGCAGCCATTCCATGGTATTTATGATTTGAATAAAGCCTCGAAGTTTTCGGAATTAAAAAAAAAAGACTGATTATAAATTACATATTATTTAATTTTATCAAAAGTAAAGGAACTGGCGTCAAATTTAATAAAATTCGTTTCTCATCAACATTTCAACTTTTATAAAACATACTCTTTTAAAAATATCATTGTGAATTGTCATTTTTTCAAATATTTTTTTGAACTCCTTATTATTTGTCATCCGCAGTTAACAAAGGTTTCTTGACCTTTGATTATTGCGAGCAAATATGATTTACGGCGTGGCTAATGTATGGAAATCCTAGATTATGTAAACTGCAAAGCTGGCAATCAAAACGTCACGGATCCGTGTGTACGTCCATAGTTGATAATAATACAGCGCGCAGGGGAGGCGGGTCCTGTCCTCGCCGCGCCGGATAAATCATGTTCCGGTTAATTATTTCCATGCCGCATAGTTTTATGAAAATAATTCCCCACAACACACACACACTCACGCATGCGGGGGTTGCGCGCATGCAAATTGAGGCGTGAAATAATTTACGGTCCACCATGCTGGGGTGTCCCGTTCCGCGCCGGCACTCGATAAATACGTGAACGGACACCAGGCTTTTGTAATTACGGCAAAATGCCGCAGAATTTTAATTTCACCAAAAGAGTAAAAAGAAGAGGGGGAGAGAAGCAAATTTTGTAGCATCATGCAAAGCATTTCGGCTGAATTAATTTTCTGCATTGTATTAAATAAAACGAAAATAATAATTTAATAAAAATTAAATTTTTTTAAAAAGACAACTATCAGTATTAATAATTGTTTAGCCTGATGGCAGAAATTAAAGAAAAACTATCGACTGCAAAATTTTTTCTTTTTGAAGACACTTCTTTATAAATTATTTTTATTGCTAAAAAGAAAATTTTATTTTTTTATCACTACTTCTTATCAGTAAAATGTCCATCTAGGTTTTTACAACTGTGACAGACCTGTAAGTGCTGAAGAAGGAAAAAAGGGAACGAGCTTGGCGAACCGTGAAAGAGCTGCTGCGTGGAGTGACGGATTAACTGTCAGACGACAAAAGGCACACCCTGATTGCGATGTCCGTCCACATTACACGAGCGTGTGTGTGTGTGTGTGTGTTTTAAGCGAGCTATAGGGAGACAGGGTGCTTATAAAACCAAGAGATATTGGGTTTAATCCCGTCGCCGCCGATTCCACCCCAGAAGAGCAATTTGCCGCCGACGCGGTTCGCAGCGCGCAAATGGGGGCGCCAATTAAACTCATCAATCAGCGGGGAAACGGGCACGATTTTCGCCATCGCCTCCGGCAGGGACAAGTGTCACAGTTCGAGAGAGAGTGAAGCAGAGAAAGGCGCCTGCAAGCAAATAAGTGTCCCCGAGTACATCGCACCCCTCACTTTGGCACAGGCAATAAATACAAATAAAGGGAGCAATAAATAAATTCCTCAAAAATGCAGGTGATTTCTTCTTTTATCTTTTTTTGGATTTTCAATATTTCCGATAACATTAAAATAGGTTTGTTTTATTTATGTTGGTGTGGATCAATGAATTAAAAAAATTAAATATTTTCGTTCAAAAACTTCACTGCCTTAAACAATCTCAAACTCTGAATAAATAGTGGAAATTACAGGATCTGCCTCAATGCTTTGTGATGTTATTGTTATTAAATAAAGTATGTGTGTGTGTTTTTTTATTTTTTATTTTAATTCCTACTATATATAAATTTCGCGCAAGGACTCATCACTATTCAATTAAATATGAGAAGGCAAGGCGAAAGAAATAATACATTCTAAACTTCTTCCATCACTCGTTTTTTATAGTTGAAAATCGTTAGATTCGTATTTTAAAAATAAATTTTTGAAATAAACATAATTATTTGCTCATCAATTCATAATATTCAATGTAATGTGCTTTCGATTTAGCGCCGTCAAAAGAGCTCACAAGCTTTGTAAATCTCTCGATAGAGGGCAGACCCTTCCAGTTCCAGAATACTCGGTCCGACTCGGTCAAACATGGCTCTTCAACTGCGGCAGTCAAAACTCTTCTCATTTTGTTTAATGCCTCGAATAACAATCGGATTCGTCTGAATATTTTCATGAAAATTATATTTAAACAATATTTGATGTGATAAAATTAATATACGAACGATTTCCATCAGTTTTATAACATTTTATCACGTTTGACTTGGTCGGTGGTTCTTCCGGTTTGCCGCCATATTTCAGCGTCGCAATCAGTCGAGTGAGACTTTTCAGCTCTTTGAACCCGCTTTAATTCGCAAAAATCAATGTAAGTACACACTTTTCGCAGTTCTGAGTCCTCTATTATGATGCGTATTGAATTTTTCAACTCAAATTTGCCGAGAAACGATGGTTTCCTCCTTTGTTTAGGCCAAAATTAGTGGGTTCGAATTTCGCCTTCTGCACCAGCCACGAAACATGCTTCGCTTTTCCTCCTGTTTATGTATTTGCCATCCACGTAATGATAAACGCTTCTCAATACTTTTGCATAACCTTGTGCAAACAATTTTTAGCGTTTCTTTTGCCAGTGTTTCAAAGTCTATCCTGTTTTTTTTTTTAACATTTCCGTGCTCGTTCTCGTTCCAGAACAAAAATGGCAGACAACGAGGACCTTCTCGATTATGAAGATGAGGAGCAGACCGAAACCGCTCTCGCTGAGGCGACCGACGGCACCGCCAAGAAAGAGGTCAAGGGCACCTACGTGTCCATCCACAGCTCCGGCTTCAGGGACTTCCTTTTGAAGCCCGAAATCCTCAGAGCCATCGCCGACTGCGGCTTCGAACATCCCTCCGAAGGTACGTAAATTTAGAATTAATTTCAAAAACCTTTATTTTGTATGTAAATTATAAAGTAATTTTCTAATTTATTAAATCTTTCAGTGCAACACGAGTGCATCCCACAGGCCGTGCTTGGCATGGACGTTCTTTGCCAGGCAAAATCTGGCATGGGCAAAACTGCCGTCTTCGTGTTGGCCACTCTGCAGCAGCTCGAGCCCACTGAGAATGTTGTCTACGGCCTGGTCATGTGCCACACGCGCGAGTTGGCCTTCCAGATTAGCAAGGAGTACGAAAGATTCTCCAAGTACATGCCCAACGTCAAGGTACCAGTTTTAAATTAAAATCTGAATCTTTTTCTCACCACTTATTTGAATAGGTCAACGTGTTCTTTGGTGGGTTGCCGATCCAGAAAGATGAGGAAGTTCTGAAAAGCAACTGCCCTCACATCGTAGTTGGTACGCCCGGCCGAATTCTGGCCCTTGTGCGGTCCAAGAAGTTGAACCTGAAAAACCTCAAGTATTTCATTCTCGACGAGTGCGACAAAATGCTGGAGCAACTTGGTAAGACTTAAAAAATTTAACTCTGGGCATTTTTATTGCTCTTTTTCTTCCTGAAAAGTTGCCTATTTGAATTTTACCTTTTAAAAATCATAACTAAACCTATTTCAAGAAATTTGTTCAAAATATATGAGAATTTTTTGTCAGTTTGGTTAGAAAAAGTCAAGCTTTTGGTCATTGATGGCACTGCGCTGATTTTGCCTATTTTCTCAGTGCTACCAATGACAAAAAACAAGTTTTTTTGACTAAATGACGAAAATAATGTAATCTCTTTTATTTTCTCGAACAACTTTCTTGAAATAGGTTTTCTCTTGTTTTCGACGCAACATTTTGGAATTTTCACATTGTAATTTAACATGAAAAAAAAAAATTAAGTGACCTTTCAGAAGTAAGAGCAATCAAAATTACCAGCTTTGGACTTTATAAATAACCAATTTAAGGATGAATTAATTACAATTTGCTTTTTTGCAGACATGAGACGCGACATCCAAGACATTTTCCGCGCCTCTCCCCATGAGAAACAAGTCATGATGTTCAGCGCCACCCTGAGCAAAGAAATCCGACCCGTCTGCAAGAAGTTCATGCAAGACGTAATACGCCTACCTTTATCTATGCGTGGGGGATGAATTTAACGAGCTCCGCTGCATTTCCCTATTAAATTATGCAAGTCCAAGTGGATCAATACGGGCCGCGCGTTTCAAGACTCCAGTTTTAAAGTCAAATCCCAAACTATCCTCAAATTCCCAACCTGACAATCCAATCTCTTGTCCGAATTATTCGTCGTTGCGAGTAAGTTGCCGGGGGCTTCTGAGGGCACATTCGGGGTGGGTCATCAGCTAAGAAGAGGAGAAGAGAGAAGAGCAAGACGAAGAGCGAAGATTTTGGGGTGGGATTTCGAAAGTTCGCGCCGTAAATCATATCACATTCACTTGGATCTTTTTGCTGAGAGCCGATGTCACAGCCACTTGCGAGCTGAGGCAACTTCCCATTAGGTAGAGAGAGGGTGAAATATACCTTTGATTGATGCTCGACCCACCAGGCCCATGTTAATCTAACTGATCGGACTGTCGGTATGTTTTCTTTGGACTGACAATGAATTTTTTCAGCCGATGGAAGTTTACGTCAACGACGAGGCCAAACTGACCCTGCACGGTCTGCAGCAGCACTATGTCAAGCTCAAGGAGAATGAGAAGAACAAGAAGCTGTTCGAGCTGTTGGACATTCTCGAGTTCAACCAGGTAATACAACAGTCTTGGGATAATCAAACAGGAGTAAAAAGTTTTTGGTTTGGTTAGGTGGTCATTTTCGTCAAGTCTGTGCAAAGGTGTATGGCCCTTGCTCAGCTGCTCACCGAGCAAAACTTCCCCGCCATTGCCATCCATCGAGGGATGACTCAGGAGGAACGTCTCTCCAGGTACCAACAGTTCAAAGATTTCCAGAAGGTGAGAATTTTGAGAAATTAGTTTATTTTCAGAAACTTTCTTAAACACTGAAGAAATTTTAGATTAAATCAAGATTAGTTCCAAATTCCAGAGTTATCCTTAATTTCCTTATTTTTTTCTAATTTTGTTGGTAAATAAATTTCCAGAAATGAAATTAATTGAACACAAATTCAAATTAATATCTGAAGTATTATTAAAGAAAAAAAAAATTATAGATAAAATCAAGATTAGCTTCAAAATCTTGGCATTAACCTTTATTATTTATTAATAAATTGTATCTCTTTTCATATAATTTTCTTGGTTTTGAAATATCCAGAAATGAAATTTATGAACCAATTTAACATGAATTTTAAATTGCAGAGAATTCTGGTTGCAACCAATCTGTTTGGCCGAGGCATGGATATTGAAAGAGTTAACATCGTATTCAATTACGACATGCCCGAAGACTCCGACACCTACTTGCATCGTGTTGCTCGTGCAGGACGTTTCGGCACCAAGGTTTGTAAACTTTCTTCATTTTGATTGTGACCCATTTTTAATCCATTTGATTTACAGGGTCTTGCGATCACCTTTGTGAGTGACGAAAATGACGCCAAAATCCTCAACGACGTGCAGGACAGATTCGACGTCAACATTACCGAGCTCCCTGACGAGATTGATCTCTCTTCTTACAGTAAGTTGCAAAGTTTGCCTTTTTTTTTGCAATTTGCTGATGGTTTGCCTGTTTTAGTTGAAGGACGATAAGAAGCTGATTCTTCCAGATCATTCCGAGAGATCGCCAACCCAGCACACAGCTTGCAAACGCATTTTATTGTATCTCATTCGAAAAGCTAACAGCTATTTCATTTTACTTACTTCCACACGTAATAAATTCTTAATGTAATGTACCAGTGAATTTATCAATCTCTTCACTTCCTGATAGAAAAAGATTTTATTTGGAAATATAATTTATTTTATTAAAAAAAAAAAATAAAAATTGAAATCAAAATATGAGTACTGCGGTTATTCCGCTTGGGGAAATCTTGCCCCCCCATAAAGAAGCGGCAGAACCTGCAGCTGATGGAAACACTGCTGATGGAGCTGGTAATTTATATAATAATCATTAAGATAACACATTTTTTAGGAATCCATCAAATATGAAAATTTACTATTTTGCAACTAAAATTTTATTTATTAAAGATTAATATCTTGATATTAATTTTTTTATGGCTTTTTATAGAGTTGAGTGACAACTGAAGAGCTTGAGGATTAGCCGCCTTAGATGGTTGACTTCAGCTTGGGCGACTCGAAAGACGAATCTCCTCCAAAGAAGAGAATTCAGGCGCCAAGTATGCTCATCGCTTGGAGAAGAAAAGAAAACGCCATCATCATGTATGTAGCCGAGACACTCTTTGCTTTCAAACTTCTCTTCTCACTATCAACTCAAACGGCTCCACCCTGAAAAATTAAGAGCAAATCTAACCAATTAAAAACGTTTGGTCCGAACAAGAACCCTAGTTGCTCCATTTTTGCCTTGTGCCACGTACACTAATCTAATTTCTTTTTCAATTTTAAATATTGAAAGATTTAATGGAACAGAGAATGCACTTTAAGGTGGCCTTTTAAGTATTTAAATTAAGCTTTTTCTACATCAGACATCAGAGATTATTATTATCATGTTAAAATGAATTCCCATTAAGTCTGGTTATTGGATTTAAATTATTACCAAATATTTTACATACTTTCTTCATCGAATGATATTCAATCAAAATTTAATATTTATCCATAACTATTATGCTGAAGTGCAAAAATTGATTATTTTTACACAACTAGTTATATATTGGCTGGCTTCTTATCTTTAATTAAGCTTGAAATTTTTAATTTCTCTTTTAATGAATTTGTCAAGCAAATTAGGAAATGTTTACAATTACTTGGGCCTGACCGAAAATTGGTCTCGTCCAACACTCTTATTTTTTCCAATATAAGACCATTGTTGCTTTATAATTAATATTTTAAATTCATTTGCATTTTCTTGCATCAATTAAGAAAACAAGTATGACATTTTTTAGAAGCCAACCAAATTATTTAAAATATTCTATAGTATTTTGTTTTCAAAATAATATCAAGATAAATTTGCGTGTTAAAAAATATTTATTTTTCAATAAAATTAAAAGAAACCCTTTAACAATTATTACAATGCTCAAAATTGCTGTCGGATGTCGACATAAGAATTGCCCAAATCCTTGCATATTTCTGCGTCCTCCTTGACGTAATAGCCTTCGCCGATCAATTCCATATCGAGTAGCCCAGCCATCGTGAGCAGTTCCTCTCTTACGGCCTGCTCGTCGTCGAAGGCAATGTGCTCAAGCTTGAAGCGCCAGACGGTGAAAGGGCTGAGGGGAACGTCACCGTTTCTTAGTTTCGACAGCGCCTCATTGATTTCAATCGGGTTTCCGAACCGGTCGCGCTCGTAGGTGACCGAGAAGTGGAGCGGATCGCCGCCGATCACGTAGTTGTTCTTTCCGCAGCGGTAGTGGCTCGGCCCCACGTGCGTCGTTTCCAGCCTGAAGCTGAGCAGCAAGTCCTGCACCCTGGCGTTGACCTTGGGGTCCGTAGAGGTGAAGTTGAGGGTGACCGCCTTGAATTTGATGGCGTTCCTTGCGTCTCTCTCACTCGGATACGCCACCAAGCTGACTTCCTGGCCACTGAGCAGGTTTTCAACCTGAGCCAGGTGCTCGTTGCCCGCGGGCCACGTGTAAAAGGCCCTGCCTGTCCTGAACTTTGGGTTGAAAATGGCGTAGATGATGTCTTTGTCCTGGTTGGTAATTGTTATGTTGGTGACTACTGTATATATTGTACCGTTGGTAACACTGTAATAAAGGTTAGAATTATCTTGGAACCCGAACCGACCGGACGTGTTATTCCGTTCTCCGCACTCTACAAGCGGTAAGAGGCCGCCAGGGCCGGCAAGTGGCCGCCCTTGTAACACCTCAAAAACAGGCCACCTCCAGACATAACAAATGGCGACGAGGAAAAACTAATTTCGGTGAAGGAGGAAGAGGTGAGCGGAGCGAGAAAAGTGCGAGAACGGCGACCACGTGCAGCGTGTGGTGATTCCCCAAAATTTGGCTTGGGTTGGTGTCCGGAGGCGGACCTGTCCGGCACCAAAAGAGACCTCGAAGGAGCCAACGAAGAGTTTCCGGCGGGAGGAAAGTCGGGCAAGAAGAAATTCTCCGCGTGAGGCTGCGAAAAGCCGGGCGTTACATCAGCCATAAACGAGGTGAGCGTCAGCAGACATTTTCAAGTCGAGGCGGCCAGCCGGCCAAGTGTGAAAGTCGGTTCGGCCAGAGATACGAGATACGATCAAGAGACCCGCGGCCCAGAGTGTTTGCGAGCGAATTCGCAGCGGCAAGAGAAGGGTGAGCAGAGTCACCTGCCGCAGAGTACGAAGCGTGACAGCCGTTCCTCGGACAAGGGAAGAGGACGGTGTGTGTCGGGGCGTCAGAGAAGGGCGTCGCCGAAAAGGGTCTGAGTGCGACCCAGTGAAGAGCTCTCCCAGGGGGGGAAGCTCACCGTGTTCGTCACCTTCAAGAAAAAGGGCCAGAAGGGAAAGGAGGAAGGAGGAGGACTTGGGCTCGTCATCGTGAGTTCGAGTGGAGAGAGACCACGAGCCAAGTCTTGTCTTCAAGTGCAGAGTCTGCTGAGCGCAAAGAAAGCAAGAAAGAGGAAAGAGAAGGGCGAGATTGAGTCCAGGGAAAACCAGCGGCCACCAGACAGAGGACGTGTGGCGCTGTCGTTCGTACGAGAGAGACGCCAGGAGGAGGCAGCCGCCTTCTCTGGCCAACGTGTGAGTGACTCGGAGGGTGCAACCGCATCCTCGAGCCTTCGACCTGAGTTGAGGGGATCTCCTCAGGGGTCGTTTAAGAAGTGCCAGGCGAACAAGAGCCTGAGGTGAAAATTCCTGAGACGAGGAGGAGAGAAAAGAAGAAAATCAGCAACTGGAATTTCAGGCCGTATCCAGATTGCGTGAACATTTTTCGGTGAAATTAAGTTCAGTGAATATTTGAAATTGAGAATGATTTTTAAGAGTTCTGAGTTGAGAAAGTTTAGAGCAAATTTGAAAATTCAAAAGTTGAAAGTAAATTCAAAATTTCAAGTAAATTTCAAAAGTGTAAAATTTGTAGTTCCAATTCAAGAGTGAATTTAAAGTAGTTCTCAAATTGCATTTTTGAAACCAAAATCTTGTGCATTAATTTCCACAAAATTGAATTATTGATTGATGGATTGATGGCATGACATCTTCTTAATTGTCTTAAAATAAAATAATTGAGTTTTTATCTTAGGCGGGAGATGTTATGTTGGTGACTACTGTATATATTGTACCGTTGGTAACACTGTAATAAAGGTTAGAATTATCTTGGAACCCGAACCGACCGGACGTGTTATTCCGTTCTCCGCACTCTACAAGCGGTAAGAGGCCGCCAGGGCCGGCAAGTGGCCGCCCTTGTAACACCTCAAAAACAGGCCACCTCCAGACATAACAGTAATGCTGGTGCTCATGTCGTCCAGTTCTGTCTTAAGCAAATCCAAACTCGCTTGGACCTCTCGGATCGCCCCGTTTGACTCCAGCCCCGTATTTCTCAATTTCTCCACCAACCTGCCCAAAATCTTGACTTTGTTTGTGCCAAACGGAAAAATGACTTGTCTGTAGGCGGCGAAGATTTCGATGAAGGCCACCAGCAAGTGGCTCTTTTCAACCTCGGCTCGGGCTGCGAGGTAGACGTTGCAGGTCTCTATGTTTGTCGCTTGGTTGCAATCGCCTCCAGAGATTGTGCCTAAGAACTGCTTCATCTCCAGCCGGTAGCTGATTTCCTCAATCTTGTCGTAGCCCTCGGCCAGAACGCTCACAACGTCCTGCAGCTGTGCTGTAATCGCCGCAAATCCGTCCTCCTCCAGCAGCCCATCCGTGAATCTGGTGACAAAGTTTGAAAACTCGCGGATTTTCTTTTTCATTTCAAACGCTTTAATGCCTGTGAGGACAGAGTGTGCATCTTCTAATTCTGTTTGCATTTTGTCCAATCTCTCTCCCATATCTTCAAGCATTGGAATGAAAATATCATCAATCATTTTCCTGTATGCCTCCAATTGTTCAATAGCCACTCTATTTGCGTCAATAGCAGCGTCAAACTGTTCTAGTTTTGCATTTGCTGACTTGATATCCGACACCAAGCCAAACACATCTTTGGCAATCAGGAAACCTTCTTTGGCACCTTTGAACACCGTTTTATAAACTGATAGTTTTTTCTGATCGTTTTCACTCGCATTTTGTCCTTTTGCTGCTACTATTTTTCCTTCCACGCTTTCAAACGTCTGATAAAATTTGATCCACTTTGGGTCATCAACTTTTTCTAATGTCATTGTCTCATCAACGACCTGCCTTGCATTTTCATGTTCTTGATTGCTCAAAACCTGCATTTCTAGGTTGGTGTCGTAGAGGAATAGCTGAATTGACTCAATTTGGGCTTCTTGCTTTGAGCGCTCGTCCATCTCTCGTTCCGTCCAGTATTCGGCCACCACTAAAGTTGCGGTGTCTGCAGCGTTTCTTATGTCAGGGAGAAGATTCTCAATATTGCTTGCATTGCTTGAAACAGCATTTCCCAGCTTAAGCATTGATTTCCCAGCGACTCCAACACCTGGATAAAATACTCCAACAATTTTTAATGACAATCCTAAAGTTTTGAACACCGTTTTACGCATCATCGCTCGTTGGAACTTCTTTTTATCGCGGTGCAACTCTGCAATATTCTGTTCGTATTCCTGTATTTCTTTATATACATTTGTGATTAGTTCATCCAACTGTGAATTGATTTCTTCCCCCATCTCAATCATTTCATCGTCATAGAACTTCTGCAGCTCCTTTTCGGCTTCCGCAATTTCCTTCATCGCTTTTTCTCCTTCTTCTTTCACAGTCTCGTAGACAAACAGATCTTGTTTGATATCCTGCACCTCGTTCAACCTGCGTATTTCGGTTGTTATTTTATCGCCCAGCTTGACAACCTGCCGGTCTGTAGATAAAGAATCACACTTGGCAAGCGTGTCAACAAACATGAGTTCTATAAGATCCAGGTACGAGGAGTCAGTTTCCTTGCCGAGTTGCTTGTACATGATGAACGACTCGTAGAAAGACCTGACCACAATCTTCAGGTTTGCCGTATGCGTGGTGTTGACGAAGGCGTCCTGTACTGCTCCCAAAAACTGGAAAAAGTTTTTCGTCGTGAATTTTTCAACAATCTCTTTCACCGAGCTGAAATCAAGGAATTTGTCATCTGGGCTAATTGGTGATGGCGAATAGACGGCCAGGAGATGAAGATGTAAAAAAGCATCAAATAAGATGCGCTGTTTTGTGTGACGGTAATTTGTAACCAGTGATTTTGGATAATAACCCGGCTCTCCATCAGGCCCTTTCTTGTAATGTGTAGTGTAAATCTTCTTCTTACAACTTTGATCGCTGTTCCAATTGTTCGTTCTACAAGCGTACTTATGTTCTAGCATAAGAAGAATGCCACCTAGACCTCCGGTGGCTGGCTGGCCGTTAATACCATTTATTCTCGTATACCGAAGTCTTTCGTTGAGCAGAATCTCTCCTGGCACCGCACCTGCACCTGCGTTTCCACCTCGCCCTCCCGGATTGGGTGTTTTAAATTCATTTTTTGTGACCGTTACATCATACCTACAACGTTTTCGCCAAGTTATGATGGTTGACCCTACAAATCTGCAACTATGTTCATTGAATCTCGATGTGTATTGGAGCCCCATGGTTTTATTAATATCGGCTGATTTACGTTGAATGTCATCATCAAATCCATCATAATTTGCAGCAGGGTGGAAATAACCGTCCAAGTCGATGTCATCACCGTTTTTACCGGCAATGCCGTCCGAGCCATTTCCACCGTGAGCCTCTACCACCAACATCTCAGAGTTGACAATTTCCTGGACTACCAGTTGGAATTTCCCTGAGCTGAACCCATTATTTCCGCTCGTTCCTGCCGTGTTTGGCGTAGGTGGAGCGTCAGATCCTTTGAGCAAAAACTTTGTCCACCTCATATCTACTTCCAATGACGGAGCCCAAATCGTTAGGTGCGTGTCTATTAAATACAAGTCGCAGTCAACGAAGAGTTTTCTCATCGCCACGATTTCCACTTCGTGCGATGTGATCTTTGAAAGAATTTCGCTGACCTGGCTCAAGAAGATGTAATCTCCAGAGTAGAGGAGAACACCTTTAGCGGCGTTGTTGAACTTGTTGGTAGAAACCGACCGGGCTAGGGATTTGATTTCCTGGATCATCACGTCATTACCTTTTGTGATGACTTGAATGGTGTTCTGCGAAAATCCCAGGCTGGCAAGATTTTTCTGCCAAGTCTGGAAGTTTTCCACGCTCAGGCCGGAGGTCAAGATATTTTGGTCTTTCACCAAATGTTGCTGCACCTGGCGCGTGTCGTGGTCCCTTCGCAGGCTTGTCAAGAATTCGTAGTTGTTTGTAACCTCTGCGAAAATTCTACGAAACTCTGATTTGCATCCTAAGATTTCGCGCTCCTGGTACTCTTCGAAAGATCTTCCTATAAGTTCGTAGTAGAATTTTATGAGATAAGCCACCGAGCCTACGTCTTCTCCACGTTTGCTAGGAACTTCAAGAAATTTGGCGAGCCGCTCCAAGTGAGCGAATGTGTTCAAACGGTCAAAGGCGGTCGGGAAGAAGTTGACTGAAAAAGTGTCAAACTGGCTGAAGAGTTTTCCATAGAGCGCCTCCTCCAGACACGCGGCGAACCCAATGAGGGTTTCGTTCATCTTTCTCTCGGCACCCAGCACATACTTGTTTTTTATTTCTTTACGTGTGGCGGCCGTGACGACAATCTCGGCGGCGCTTCCAATTCTTGAGCTGAATTCTAAAGTCTGGAAAATCAATTTGCGCAACTGATTGTAGTTTTTCTTGAGCGGCGGCAAATCCCAGGGACTCTTCTTAGCGTTCGGAGCACGAAGAATGCCAAAACGTTTCTTTTGATGCAGAAAATTTCCCACGGTGATTTGACCATCCAAGTCGGCGACCAGGTTCAAGTCGTTGTTCAAGAGCGCCTCCTCCCTCTCTTTCTTCGCAAACTTCACGTATTCTCCAACTTTGTACTCGATTTCACCAATGAGTTCCGTGTCATTTTGCTCAGGTCTGTCTACTTTGGTCGCTACGATGCACAGAGAATCGCCGTACCACTCTACCTTGTCGCCCAATACTTGAATCACGTTCTTAAACGCTTGTGTGAGTGTTTCATAATAGAAGTCACCCAAGAGGTCTGAGAAGCTTTCAACGATGGTGATTTTCAATCCACCGGCCGATTCAAAGACGCGTTTGTTGAAGAGTTGCGCTGGCAGATCTGGCTCTTCATCGGTCAACGTGAATAATCTGCTTCTGCTCTCCAAATCAACGGTCACGGAGGGCACAAAAGTCTTCACCTCGTGCGCGTCTAGCTTGAACTTGCCGCTTGCTTTTTCCACAGTCAAAGTCTCGTCGTGGCGTAAGAATTTCTTCAGTTCGTTAATACCAGCGGTGTTTTCGCCAACAAACACCACGCAGGAAGCGTTTTTCAAGTTCAGTGAAGTTATCGCCTCCTGAAATATAAAAATGTATTAATTTCATCCTAGTATAGATTAAAACATGCTATTTGATTATTTTTATCGTTGCAGCCATAATATTTTCCATAGAAGTAAATTTTGGTAAATCTTAAAATTTATTATTTAATTAATTTCAGGTAACAATTTTCAATTTATTAATTTATATATTTATTAAATTCTTCTGCAAATACAATATCAGTGAATTTTATTATTTGAAAATTACCCAATGTGAAGATTAATTAATCTCATTATTCGTCAAATGCTATAATATACATATAAGAAATATTATTCACAAAATATTCAGTTTTTTAAAAATTATTTTTTATTTATAATAATTTATAATTATCAGATGAGAGCAAATTTACCTTGATGAGTGCATCGTCATCAGGTCGTACGGCGGACAACACTGGGCAAGTAAAATGAAGCATCAAGAGGAGAGTCACCGCCATCTAGATAATTAATTATATAGTTAATTTTCTCCAACATTATATAATAAATTAGGCGAATGCCGCTGTCAACTTGCCATTTTGGTGTGAAATTGAGGGTGTCTGATGCCCTCTTTCTTTTGCCTGCTGGGCGGCATCGCAGAAGCGTTTTGCGTACCTGCAATTTTTTTATTATTATGTTGCCTTGTTTTCAGAAAAGCAAAACAATTTTCAAGCCTTCCATAAGAAAACAAAAACGTTTTTCAAAATTATTTCGATATTAATTTGTTTATTTATTTAAATTGAATTTTGGAAAGCAGAGAGGATTAAATTTGTGAACAAGAGTCATAAAAAAAAGTTTTTTTTTAATATATATTGATTTGGCCGAGCGCCGAGCTAATAAATATTTAATATAATTTTAAAAAACTGATTTTTTTTCTTTGCTACAAATCATATTTAATTCAAACCAAATTTAATGAAATTAACAAACCGTAGCGAAATGTTACATTCTTTTTTTGAGGAAGAAATTGATTCGGAAATCAAGTGAGAAAATTAATTTAATGTCCAAATTTTAAAAAACTTAATTTTTTTCCTTACAACTTGTGATTTGTTTTTGAAAAATAAAAAATAAAATTGGCAACATTCTTTCTTTTGTTCTAAATACGGTTTTGACATTACATTAGTTTTTCTAGATAATCCACCACAGAAAATCTAATTTTTTTTGACAAGTGGTAGCGTATTTTTACCTACGCGTGCGATGAGAAAAGTGCTGCTCGTCGCTCCACCCTGCGAGAGCAAATGTTAATTTGAGATTGCCACGGCGCTTTTTATGTGTGTTCATTGTGCTGCCTGATAAAAAAAAAGACGTAGACTTTGAGTGCGTTAGAATTATATCTGTAGCCTTTTTTTTTCTTCTAGAAAACTATATTATAAGTAAATAACCCAATAAATCTTGGAGTTTGCCCTCCGTAAGCTCAAAAATAAGGCACGGGCATATAAGAACTTTGGCTAGGTCAGACCCAAAAAATAAAATAATAAACTTGTCTATTACCAGCTTAGCTCTTCAAAATTTATTAGCGATTACCGAAGGACTTTGAGTTGGAATTTGTTCCGCAACCTTTTGTTATATTTGTCCAGCAGACACACTACCATTATAAGTAAAACCATAAGATTATGGTGCTTGCCTTAATTCTGCAATAAGCTTAAGAAAGGGCACAGGCAGGCCGATAAGACTCTTTGTTTTGGCCTTACTCAAAATTTAACTTGTTTACGCTTCAGAAAATTAGGCAATATCTGTAAACTACAGCTTAGCTCTGCAAATGTGTGTCGATTAAATTATTATAGAGATTAATAGGTGATTTGAGATTATCCTGAGCCCAATTGGAAACGTATTTCAATTCTACACCAGAGGAATAATATTACTCATACATGTTCCATCTTAACACGAAAAAGCCATTTTTCTGCCACATAAAAACTTAGTCAAGTATTTCTTGTGCTTATTGCGTGCCTCTCTTATTATTTTTTTGCTCGTCTGGTTCTTTTGGATTTAGGATAGGCTCAAAGTTTTTCAGATTTATTACTATGTGCTTCGTTTAATATTTCTGTGTGGTGGTATTAATGTTTTTTATCATTAAAATATTGAAAACTATCTAAATAATTAATACTTATTCAACTTTATTTTTTCACATCCATCATTTGAACCACCTTATTGCATCGATTTTAACTCATAATTGCTGCAGGACCGCAAATTTGGTAGTTGCAAGCTTCTGCACACTGCTGGTCTTGGCTGCAAGCCTCGCCTCCAGAGGCCTCTGAAAATTTTTATTTTAAATAAAAATGTGTTAATTAATAAAGTAAAGTAAACACAAAATTATTAAATATAAAAATTGATTTTGAATTTCGTGTAACAAAAAAATGCAGACTTACTTATCAGGCATGACGTTTTGTCCTTTGACTCGATGAAATTATCTGTACATTTGCACTTTTTAGAATTGGCGCCGCAGTTCACAGATTGGGGCGAACCAAGATTCGCAGAGCACTGCTCGTCAAATTGACATGGGTCGCCTACCACATTGGCAACTGCGAACAAGTGGAATAGGAAATATTAAAAAATAAAATTTCGCGGTAGAAAAAAAAAACAAAGTTATCAGTATCAAATATTTGTTTTAATTTCTGTTAGAATTTTTTTTGAGTAGAAAAAAAATAAATGAAAATAGTTCATTATCAAAAATTTATTAACGCACCTGGTAAACAAGACTTTTTTCCACTCGAGACTGCAATTTCAATGTAGTGTTTGCTCGCACACTGACAGGTTTTCTTGAGGCACTCGGCGTTCTCCGGACACTGGTCATTTTCCAGACAGGCTTTACCCAGAGCAATTACTAAATATGAAATTAAAATTTTATTAATGCATGAAATATTCCTATTTATAATTTTGTTAATTTTTACTAAAAAAAAATCTTACTCGGAAGGCATTTATCGGTTTGTTTGTTCTGGACGGTGTTTTCGGGGCAAACGCATCGTTCGGCGACGCACGTGGCCTGCGCGTGGAATCGGCGGCACTGAGGGTGCTCGAGACAGCGGTCCATCAGGTTCGGCACTTGGCACACCGTCTTGTCCTCCGAGTCGACGTAGTTTGAGTGACATTTGCACGTGTAGTCGCCGTCCAGGCCGTCGCACACCGCGTACGGAATCGACTGACACGATTTGCCGACGCACTTTCGTCCGAGAGCTGCGCATCAATTTAATAAAAGAAAAATAATTTATCTAATTCAAATTTACCTCCTACGCAGGACGTCAGAGTCTCGTTGGGCGTGTACTTTGGCAGACAAACGCATTTGTAAGAATTTTCCACTGGCGCACAAACGCTGTGTTCGAAGTCGCACGTTTCGGCAACATTCGGGTCGCAATCATCGTTCAGAGCTGAAATCAAACACATTTGCTACGGAAACGAATTGGGGTTTTTTTAAGTCACCTGCAAGAGCAACAGCGGCGAGGCACAGGAGGACGAGAAGGCTTTGCATTGTATATTGTATATTGAGTCGTCACTAAATGTGCGGAAGCTATAATTGTTTTGACTCTTCTTTGAATCTTATCGCCCCATTGATTGATTTACAATCCTCTTCATGCTCAGCAAAATCTTATAATACTGCGAGTTTTTTTTATCTTCAAAATATATTGGCAATCAATATTATTATTCTTACTTTTATTCTTTATTTTAGTGTAGTTAAAATAATTAAAAAAGTAAAATAAGCTCCAATTTTTTGACACTCAGGAATTCTTTCTGAACTGAATTTAAAATTGGCCTTTTCACCTGGGCAGAAATAGAAACGGCAAATCTCCAATTTTCTAGGATTATAAAAGAGTTTAGGTGCCTATATTGATAAAGGTGATTAAGTTTTAGTGCAATCAGTCAGTTTGCAACTAAGAAACAAGTCGGATTGTGAAGCTCATTTGTCAGAATGAAAGGCGCGACGATTTTTGTAACCATTATTTGGCTGACGAAATTCGCTTTCAACTCGTTTGGCAGCGCAGGTACGCAATTATTTTAATTCTAAATTAAAATAAAATTATATAAATGTAATTTGTTTAGCCACCCTGGGCGAAGCGTGCAATTTCGCTAACTCTTGCGAACCGGACAGCAGCGTCATTTGCGAAGAGAACATTTGCAAATGCAGGCAGAGATTTCACGAGGAGAGCGGCCAATGCCTCGCGGGTATTTTTTCGATCAAACAAAAATAAAACAAATCAAAATAGGGTTTGTTTGTTGGAAACGAACTAAATAAAAACGCATTTACAAGTTAAAAATTTTCCCCAAATGACAAAAACTGTTTTTTTTTTCACCCATTTTGCAAAAATGAATTTATTTTATTTTTTCCCATCCTGCAGCTCTCGGCAAGGCGTGCTCCATTGTGGGCGACGAGTGCGCGGCGATTCCGTACGCCCTGTGCGACGCCGACGACGGTCTCTGCAAGTGCATCCGAGGGTATGAACCCCTTCACGGAGACTTTCCCTCAGCCTCGCCCGCAGACAAAATCCACTGCGCCGCTAGTATGCAAAATTCAAGGTTTAAAATTTAAGAAGCCGAGCTGAATTGAAAATTTCAGCAAAAATCGGCGACCACTGTTTGGAGCCGCAGCAGTGCCGACGACCCTACAGCCAGTTCGACGGCGATCGGTGTGGCTGCAAACCAGGGTACGTCCCTGACAACAAGGACGACGGATGCCTGCTAAGTAAATTTTATTTAATTTTTCTATTTAGTGAATGTTAAATATCTGATTTTGCATTTCACTCGGACTTATTTTCTGCATTGAAATTGTTTTAAATTGATCAATTAATTGAAATTTGAAATTAAAATATGGAATTTGAGTCTCTCTGTGATAGTAAATATCGAATTGCAGGGGCTGCTATTGTTTAGGTTTTGCTCATTAGCCAATGAAAAATGTTATGAAACTAGAAAATTGAACAAAATTTTTCCCCAAGGTTTGAAAATAATTGTGAAAATAAATTCATTCATTTATTTTCGTTCCTTCACCTCTTCCAAAATTGAGAATCTGGTTCATAACTTACAAAAAAAAAAAAAAAAAAAAAATCGGTGAACTTTCCTGAATTTGGCTTTGTTTGAATGATATGCCAATTAATCTGCAGATGTGTCCCATCTTGGCGACAATTGCCGTAATGGTGCTCAGTGCCGTACCTTGGACCCGAACACAACTTGCAAAGGCCCAAAGGAGCCGAAAACGTGCACTTGCAAGAAAGATTATTTCGTCGGCGATGCGTTCAACAAAAAGTGTCTCTCAGGTATAAGCCATTTTTTAATTAAAAATATTGCTGAAGATCAAAATTTTGGTGTACGAAAAGCTGCCAGAAAGTATGGAGAGGCTTGCCAGTCGCTTTCCGAGTGCACCCTGCGTCTTGGGGTTGACGCGAAATGCTCAAAAACAGAACAAGTTTGCGTGTGCATTGATGGTCTCGTTCCTTCCATAGACAAAAGTATTTGTTTGCCAAGTAAGTTTTTAAACGAAGAATCAATCTCACGAGATTTTCTTATTATATTTAATTGTAAATGTATTAAATTTAAATATAATTTTTATATTTGTTGCTATTCAAATGATATTTAAAAGCATTTATTGTTTATCAAGTAATTTAATAGTTTAATTAGAATGTCTATTTAATTACAGGAAAAAAATTAGTTATTTTTATTTAAAATTAATATCAAAGCAACATTAAAAATCTAGCTTAAAATTTTTTGTCATTTTCTTCTTTTAATTCTGTTTAATTATTTTTAAAATGGTTTATTATTAATCTAACCATATATTTCATAAAAAGTAAAGGAAAATAATTATATAGTTTCCTGCATTAATTTTGAGGTGAAATGTAATTTTGCAGGGAGAGAATTGAACGACTTTTGCGTGCAAGATCAGCAATGCAGTGAAAACGCGCCGAACTCTGAATGTGCCGCAAATTTTAAGTGTTCCTGTGTCGAAGGTTTTGAGGAAATCCAGGCCACGTGCTTCAAAAGTAAAAGAGTGAAGATCTCTGAAATTGTTATTAATTTAAGAGAAAAGTCCCACAGCAGATTGGCGATTCCTGCGCCGATTCGAGCCAATGCATCTCGCACGTCACCTCGGAAAACATAGTTTGCAGAGACGGATTTTGCCAGTGCACGCCAGGACACACGCCCAACGCAGAATTCAAAGAATGCTTGCCAGGTGCAATGAGCTTTTATTAATCAATAATTTTGTTTAATTCGATTTCAGGAGTGTTCGGCATTGGCTCGCCGTGCGTGGAGAACGCGCAGTGCTCAGAAAATGTAGAGCACACCATTTGCGACACCTTCGAGCGACGCTGCGTTTGCAAGAGGGATTTTGTGCCGTCCGCTGACAATTCACGATGTCTACCAAGTGAGAAATTATTCGCATTTGCAAAGAGCCAAGGAGATGGGGAAAATGTTTACATGAGAAAAATAAGCAAAGCAATTGATCAAAACAAGGCCTGCCGTGGGAATCACAAGATCGCCTTCATTTATTGGCGCCACTTTCAGCCTTTCTGCCTTGTCCTTTGCTGGTCTCTATTATTCATTTCTACGCGCTTGCAGATTTTGTTATTAATATTTAAATTTAATATTTTTAATTTTCAAAAAATTATCATCTAAATTATAATATAAAATACAGTTTGAATGTAAATAATCAAAATTTGTCTTGTTTGGTTGAAAGGAACGGGAGGTCTGTTCGACCAGTGCGTCGACGCAGGGCAGTGCGCGGCCGAAATCGGCGGAGAAGTCGATTGCATCAACGGAATTTGCAACTGCAAGGCGAATTGCCACTACTTGGACGGCACGTGTTGGCAGAGCAAACGTATTATATATTTGAACTTTTCACTATAAAATTTACAGCAAATCTTATAATAGTCTTGCAAGATGCGTGCACGGACAGTCGCGAGTGTCGCTTGGCTGAATATTCGCAAAGGGCCGAGTGCGACGCGAGCGGCTTCTGCGCCTGCAGAGCCAACCTCACCGCAAACCTCTTTGCAAACACCTGCAATTCTGGTTCAATGAAATATTTTTGAATAAAAATAAGATAATAGTTTCCTCCCTCAGGTGCACATATTGTGGCGAGTTTTGCAATTCCTGCTCTGCTGCTCGCCTTTCTTCAACTGCTCACCTGATTACAAAAGAAATTTCGTTTTATCAATTTTGCTTATTAAGCAATTAGGGATCGTGTGTGTGTGAATTAAGTTATGATATTATATATTTGTGAAAAATGAAAAACAAAAAAAGGTACCTAACTTCGGAATTTTCTTTTTGTCCTGTGTATTATTCATATTATATATGAGAATGCAAAATCTTATAATTATAAAAAATGTGACCTCTGAACCGGCATAAATTTTATATCCTGTATTACATATGTGTGGCAAAAAAACTTGTTCGCAGCAGATAAGTTTCAACCATTTTTTTTTAACCTTGGCTGTCTTTAAGCAGAGTTGCTCTACACATGATTAAATATTCAGTGCGCCTCTGATGCTTTAAATGTGAAGCAAGTGCCTTGCCTGGAGTGCAAAAATTGTTGTAAAGCGTTTAGCCAAAATGCTGAGGATCGGCGTTTTTCTCTTCGGCATTGTTGCGACGATAACTGCAAAATCGTAAGCGCAATCTTTCCTTAATTAATTCACTTGCAGTGCACAGTTGAAGCGGAGAATGCATGTAGTGAAAAAGTTTCCGAAAATTGAATATTTCAAATCAAAATCAGCTCGAGAGCAAAAGCGATTGCACTTTTTATTTGGGCAAATTTTTAGAGCTCGCATTTTTCAATCATTTAGCGCTCTAGGAATCACTATTCTATGTAAAATAATGTAATTATAAATTTTATAATTTAATTACATTTAATTTCATTGATTAATAAACTTATTACAAATTAACGAGAACGGTAAAACTGAAGTTTTAATATAATGTTATAATACGCAAATATAAAAGAGCTGCCTGTTTAATGAAAAAGGGCGACGGTCAATCAGCAAAATTTTTTCTTTCAAGGCAAGAAGCACAGAGCGAGAATATATGCAACTTTTTCAAAATCACAAATTCAGAGTGCAAAATATTACTTATTAGCAGTAAAAATCCGGAAGCGTAGCCCACCTAATTGTTAATCATGAATCATGAAGAATATATTTAACTTTTATAATATTTTTTCTTTTGAGCAATAATAATTATTGGTGGTTTAAAGTGCATCATCGGCGGAATCAAAGAGACTTAATTTATCTCAGGTTGTTTTTGGACCACAAACGCTCAATATCCCTAGCGACGAAAGCTCTGACCCAGGAGGTGTAGATCGTGAGTTGAAGCAAATAGTAAAAATTTCGTAAGTTTTGTGTCCATCTCATTATTCACATTACAGCTTTATTTTGTGAAAAAGAGTGCCAGAATGTAGGGGTATGTATTGGACCAAACAAATGTTACTGCAAAGATTCCAGATACCAAGGAGGCCAGTGTGAAATCGTAATCAATTTTTGCGACGATTTTGATTTAGGAGAAAATGTTCAGGAATCGTCTTGCGTTTCTGGGTAAACCATGTATTGTTGTTTCAATTAGTAAAGACGGTCGCCCAATGTAAAATAACTGCGACTTTTTGCAAGAGAATAAGCTGCGTGTACATGTAAATAATGAAAACAATGCCTTTCGAGTTTGGATTTTGAGACCCACGTACACGCGTACGTAAAGTGTATTATTAATGAAAACCTCCCCGGCCCCCTCCCAACACTCTTCAATTAATAAATTATAATTGCTAGGAGATGTATTTTTGGTTGCAAGCCTGGTCATGTATTTCCAAACAGCCTGAACACGAGCAAATTTTATTGCATGGAAAATATATGGCAAGGGGTGGACATCACTGATCACGAATGGAAAATCGTTCCGGGTTGTCAGAGGTTCGAGTTTTAAATAACTCATGCATGCACATTTTTATTAATTTGTTGTTTCTACTTTTTAGGCGACAAAAAGATGATTTACCCTCCACAATAAATGAGGTAAGTTTATTTTACAATTGCTAGTCAAGTGTCAAGTATCAACTCACTTTTACAGAGAAATTTCTTTTTTAAATGAAGTTATATTATAGCCCGTACCACCATCATACTAGATTTTAAACTCCAGAGAAGTGAGAGAGAGCAAAGTAATTTCCATCAGCAACGGTTTCACAAGTAATTATTGCGCGTCAAAGAGTAACTTTACCTACTTGAAATTGGGCATGGCATGACTTTTTGCCCTTTTACCCTTTGCCCAGGGCTGGGAAACAGCAACATTTGACAATGAAGTGATCATGATTTTCTCTCTCAAAACGGTATCAAAATAATATTGTTGAGATAAGAATTTTGGCACCTCACCCTCACTATGAAATAATAAAACGCATTGTAAGGATTTACCCTCATTTATCAATATTACAAACAAACATAAGTATATTTCGGTATATTTATTTAATTTCAAACGAAAAATGATTTTGCAGGAAGTGAGCTTTGATGATTGGTGGAATACGTGGAGGAAGGAGGCACCTGTATTTACTACACCCGGTAATAAAATTCAGTCTTCATTTAAAAATCAATAATTACTAATAGATATTAATTAAATGCTTCAAATAGAATATTAAATCCACGATAAAATGATATCGGTTATTAATAATTTACCTCTATATGGGCCGCATTATTTTACATGTTGAGAATGTTCCAGTGCGATTCTTTCTTACTGTTTCCACACCCCATGCCCAAATTTAAAGTTAGCCGATTGAGATTTTCACAGCATAACAACCATGACTTAGAAGCAACACCCCTATATTTTTTTGAAAAAATTTCCAAAATTGCGGGTTTTATGGGACATTTTGAAAAAACTATAAAACCTAATTTTCTCGGGTTCTGTTGATCGTATAACAAAATTCCGGGCATGGTTGAACTTTTCTTGACAAGTTCTACAACCTTATTGTTGAGTAAAAAGTCTCAGGTCAAAGTTCAAGGTCATTTTTCATGACCTCAAATTTTCAAACTCAAATTTGAAAGTGGGCCGCACGTTTAAAACAATTTTTTGAGATAGCCTTTCGATTCCTCAAGAAATTTCACATAAAATAGTGTCAAAACTGGAGTGGCGTTTTAATTGTGTTTTTCTTTTTAATTCAATGCACAATTTTCCAAATAATTAATTGTAAAATTATAATTAATCGGTTTGTAGTTGAGGTACAGACCAAAACTTTGTGACCAAAATTATCCTCTCAATGAGACCTTTTTAAGTAGGCATCACACATCTAGGTCAGCAGGTCAGGTGACCTCAGGTCACCGACCTAGGTGACCTTTGACCTGAAGGTCATCAAAGGCCATCAATATATACACCATTCGATTTGGCTTGACGTGAGCATCAACTTTGGTCATTATCTTTTTTTACTTAAAATGATCAGGGACGACGTTAAAGGCTATCATAATGTTGACCCTGCCTGCGGAGGCACCAAAAAACCACGTTTTTTAATATTCTTTTTTATTTTTAAATTTAACAAAGAAAAACATCACTCCAGTTTTTACATATTTTATGTAAAATTTCATGAGGAATCGAATGGCTCCCTCAAAAATTTTTTAAACGTGCGGCCCACTTTCAAATTTGAGTTTGAAAATTTGAGGTCATGAAAAATGATCATAAACTTTGACCTACGACTTTTTACTCAACATTGTCAAGGCAAATTCAACTATACCCGGAATTTTGTTCTACGATCACTAGAACCCGAGAAAATTAGATTTTTTTAGTTTTTTCGAAATGTCCCATGAAACCCGCAATTTTGGTAATTTTTTCAAAAAAAATTTAGGGGCTTCCAAGTCATGGTTGTTATGCTGTGAAAATCTCAATCGGCTAAATTCAAATTTGGGCATGGGGTGAAAACAGAAAGAATCGCACTTTAATATTTTAATTGTCAACAAACAAAATGAATTGTAAAAAAAGGTTATTAACAAATTTTTGCGCAATTTGTAGTCTTCAATACCAGCGATGGTGAGAACTTGAGCTTCAAAGAATGCGGAATATGGGAAAATGACAAAGACAGACCTATGTATCAATACTATGTATTCATCTCCGACGCCTGCACTGGTTTGATTTTGTCTGAGCGGACTATCATCACAAGGCCAGTTGACGGTAGGCTCCCATTTTGAGTTTGTTTCCAATTCTTTTTCCTTAGTCTGCCATGGTGTAGCAAATATTACAATAGGAAGGGAGAAATTCAAAATCATTTGCCGCTTAATGTAAAACTTGCAAAAATCTAAAATCATGATATTGTCGTTTGTTTCTCTCCATTTGCATTGAAAAGAATGTAGAAATATGAAGAATAATCCATTTTTGAGAGGAAAAAATTCAGTTTATAGGAATATCCACTAGAAACAAGATTTGTTAAAACTTCTCAGACAAGAAAGACCTCATCCGCCTCAGTAAAGGCCTCGGTCAACTTAGTTTCTGCTCTTGTAAATCGATCACAGATTTTTGGACAAGTGTGGCGGGACTTGCAGAGGATGGGAAATAAGTTTAAAAATAATTTTCTACAATTTTAAATCTCTATATTTGGTTTGTATTGATTTTTACGTAAAATAATCCTCACCATGAAAATATTGTTGCGCATCTTATATACACATACAATTGCTAGCGCGTTTTTTACGAGATCATTTTCTTTAACCTTCTTTCGTTCTCAATTCTTTGTAAATCAGAGATATAAATATTGTGAATCAAAAGTAGTTTTTTTTTTTTTTTTTAGCAAATTATGGTCGCTGCAATGAGGTGCACAAGGAATTCGTGGTCAGGAGGGATGAAAGGAATGAAGAAATGGCCATCAACGTTTACGGCGGCGAATGCGCGGACAAGGGAAACATCGGAACGTGCCGAGCAGGAAAAGGTTTGCTCAGCCAAAAGGTGCGCAAAATGAAATTAAGATTAATCAATAAGTTTAGTATCAAGTATTATTTTTTTAAAAACTCTGGTTTTAATGATTTGCAGGTGCGCGACGTCAAGAGGTTGAGAATGAGTAAGAAAAATTTTCAAACCCAATATTTCGTGCTCATGTGGTTGGTGGACAAAATGATTTTCACACCGAGCTTGCGACCCGTCTGTTTATGGAACGGCGACAACCAAAATGATAGGGCACAAGAATTTTATGTACTGGATGGTTCAAGCGTGAGCATAAATTTTGGTTTTTTTCTTAAATTTAAAACGTCAATTCCAAACCGATTCATTTTTCATTTTCATTGATATAATTTTGTATTTTTTTCCATCATAACATTTGATTTTAAAGAAAATTTATTAATTATTATATGTTCTGTATTTGTTTTAAAATTTTATGTGAGACAGATGACATTGAGACAAACTGTTGTACTGCCCATGAAGCAATGTTATAAAAATATTAAAATAGGGCTACTTGACCCCTACAGGAACGCAAACGCAATGTGCACGACAATTAGCGGTAAGAAACTTTTTGTTGAATGTGGTTGACTCCCCATAACAAAGCATTTGGCACTCTCTAGTTGTCAAGTAAAAATATCAACACAAATATAATCGATTTCTCTTTAGGTGACTTTGGTTATATTGATTACTTGTTCATTAAAAAAGGCGGACGTGTCTATTTAAGAGCCTCTTTAGAAAACATATTTTTGGACGAATATACAGATTTATTCACGTGGTTCGACTTGCTCCCTTCCATGAGGCGGATCGTCCACGAGTCGGCGGACTTGGCCATGATGCCGCAAATTTCCAATTTGAAAAAGAGAATAGGTTCATTTTTAATTGCAAAAACAAACTTAAAAATGACTTTGATAAAATTTTCAAGATTTCGGAGCGGAGCAAAGTTTTGAAAATTGCGGGCGCCATCCGAGGCGAAATAAGCAAAAGAGGGATGACAAGGATCCAAGTGCGCGTGGAGGATTCATTGTGGGAGGCCGAAATTCGGCCAAAGGGCGACACCCTTGGCACGGGAATCTGCTCGAGATCGATCCGGACACAGGCTTGGCTTCCAATATTTGCGGAGCGACACTCATTTCCAAGACAACTCTGGTTACTGGTAAGAATTTGCGTTTAATTTTCACAATTTACATGTCAACGAATGAAATAAAATGATGCAACAGATGAGCAGAAAAACTGCAACACCTCTGAAAAAGCAGGTCGCAATCATATATAACATTTTAAATAGAACAATGAAACAATAATAAATCACCTATTGGCTTTTTGAAACATATAACAGATAAGATTTGATAAAAGTCGTTTGAAAACAAATTTTTATAAAAAAAATCTTTAATTTTATGAGGTAAAGAATACTAAATATAAAATATTTTCAAATATTGTGGATTTGTGATTTTTTTTCTCTGTTTAATATTGACTGACAACTATAATTGATTCATTGCTCTTGCAGCGGGGCATTGTCTGCTCAAAAATGACGCGAATCAACGTGATGCCTCTGCATTGGTCGTTGTGCTTGGGATGCATAACGTGCCCGATTTTGACGAAAGTTCAAGACAGGAAATCTGGGTAGCAAATTTTTTTTTAATTTGGAAGCGTTACTTTTTATTTAAAAAACTGACTGATTGTGAGCGCATTAAAATGAGAAATACATAATATATATTCAAAATCTTCTACAGGTTTCGAGTTTTTTAGTTCACCCGGGCTATAATCCCAGCAACTTCAAAAACGACATTGCTCTAATTATTTTGGAAGTTGAGGTTAATTTCACTGAGTACGTGCAACCGATATGTCTGTGGAACTCGGACTACGATTTGAACAAAATCGCCAACAGGACCGGCACGGTTGGATATGAAATATAATCCGAGTTTTATTAAATTAAGGGTTTTTGTTACTTTAGGTGGTCGGATGGGGCTTAACGTCGGATCACTCTTTGGCAAACGTTCTGCAGGAGGCGGAAATCAAAGTGGTTTCCTACGAGGAATGCTACGAAAGCAAGCGGCTTTTCTTCTCCGTCAATCTGCATCCGAGGGAAAACTTTTGCGCTGGATTTCCTCAAAACCGTCAGTTTTATTCTTTCAAATTTATTTATACTTACAAGCTGTGTTTGAGATGAAAAACGTCCAGATTTCAAGTAAAATTGGTTTCTTCAATAAGGCACCAATTATTTATTTCTTCAATTTTGGCCATTTAAAAAACCTGAGCAATTTGAATTGCATCGGAAATTTTACAGAATTTAAAATAATTAACACGCAGGACGCTTTTCTATTCGTACATTTTTAATAGCTTTTTCTAGGGCAATAATTTAATAATAACCTTTCCAAAGTCCCAACTTTCATCAAAATCGGCATGTCTCATCTCATCTAAAAAAAACTGATTTTTGTTCAATTAAATGATGATTTTTGAAGGAAGCGGCGCGTGCAAAGGGGACAGCGGCGGTGGATTTTCCATGTTCGACCGCGACACCCAACGTCACTTTTTGCGCGGCGTCGTCAGTCTGGGTCGCGTCAGGAAAGTGACCAAGGACAAGGAAGAATTGCTGACGTGCGACCCCAATTTTTACGCCCTCTTCACCGACGTCGCCAACTACATGCGGTGGATCGTCACAAACAGCCCCGAACTCAATTTTCCAGCAAAGCCGAAACCGCGCCAGGCGAAACCGAAAGTCGAATTTGTTGAAAACTCTCGGCGCAATTCTTTGGATTTTTCCTTTTTCCTCCCATTTTTTCGTGTTGCTGCTGCACTTTTCATCGGTTCATTCAGCACAATTTTTTTCGTAGTACCCCTTTTAAATATTCTTATTAATTGTAAGTAATTTTTTAAACAAGATACCATACAATTTTTAGTATACTTTTAATTTTTAAATTTAATTAAGGTGCTTTTTGAATAAAACAAATTAATATGGAATATGATAAAAGACGTCGATTTTATTTCCTGAAAGGGAAAAACGAAAAACTGTGACTATTCGTAAAGAAAAATTTACGTAAATTGTGCTCAATTTCATTGGTCATTATTTATTATGCAAATGAACATAATTAGTTGTTCAATTTTAGGAAAGTACTGGTCTGCAATTTTAATTATTGAATTAAAATTGAAAATTCTACACTGTATATTAAATTTAAAAGTGTTTTTTTCTGTATTTCACCAAAATTAGTATAATAAATTGATATATTTTCTAAATCTGAGAGCTAGAAATTGCCATTCTTCAAATTTTATAAAAAGAAATCCCAATAGGAAATACAAATATTTTATCCAAAACTGAATTAATTCCTAAAATGTTTCGCTTCACCAACGTGCACATAACGTAATTGTGATGATTCTGGCCTTGGCTGTTGTTATAATAAAGAGAATTTCCCCTCTCTGCCATATATTAAAAGCTGTTTAACGATTCCTACTCCCTGCGTTTAATTTGGCCGAATAAAACGAGCTGAGAGGCGTTGGGAAAAATCAGTGTAGCGTCAAAATGCGAGGAATCGAGAGCTTCTCTTTGCTTTTCATCGTTTTCACTATCAGAGAGTAAGATAAACTTGCAAAAATTGTTAATTTTTTCAAATTATTTCAATTTTTTTAAATAAAATAACTGCCTTATTTATAATGTAGGGCCTCGTCGGCGGTGACTTATGGAAGAGGTCGCTTGTCCGGGGTCATGATTACCCCAATTAGGGAAAAACGGGCCCTACAGAACGTCGAAGGCGTCGATCGTGAGAAAATTTTTATTTTATTTATTTAAAATTGTCTCCGATCGACTTTTTTTAACCGTCTTTAGCATCGCTGTGTGAAAAGGAGTGCGTGAACAGCGGCGTGTGCATCGGGCCGAACAAGTGTTTCTGCAGGGACGACCAGTACGGCGGCGACCAGTGCCAACTGCCCATCAACCAATGCGACATCGGCAACAATGCGAAAAATATTGATAATATGGGATGCGTGATTAGGTATAAAATTAAGATTAAATTTGAATAAACTGTTAAAGTAATTAATTCAGGAGGTGCACGATTGAGTGCAAAACTGGTTTCGTTTTGCCCAACGGCAAAAACTCGACCACCGTCCATTGCGAAAGGAACACGTGGGTGGACACTTTGACCGACGACGAGTGGAAAACCCTCCCAGACTGCGACAAGTATGTTCAAATCTCGCTAATTTTATCTTCACTTTTGTTTTTCATCTGACAATTTTAGACTAAAAGAAGAAGAGAAAAACCCCGTCATCGCAGTTGAGGAACCTGTGAAGAAAAAACTTTGCGGTTAATTAAATATTATTCACTTTAAAGAAAACTTATTGAAATAAAACTCTGCTTAATTATCAAGTAAAAATAATTGAATTTGATTTATTTTTACTTGTAGTACTTCGGAAAATGCTACGTGCATTTAAAAAGAATTGTTATTTCAAAATTTATCCCAAAATGACTAATTTTAGTCAGTTTTCATTTTTCAACCACTGACTTAAATCCTACAATACGTGTATTGTCTTAAAACCGATTTTTCAAATAATTTCTTTTTCCCTTTTTGAATTGTTTTGTATCCTCAAATAAATAATTTGAGGCTGTTTTGGAATATGGATTTGCAATTAATTTTACACTGAGAATTGAGATCCAAATATTATTTGAAGCGGAGATTGAGAAAAAAATGTTGCAATCGGAGAGGAATTTGTCTGATAATTTTATTTCAACCTTCAACCTTGGTCGTGAGCACATCCTGAACATGCATCGCAGGTGGCGACGAATTTGCTATTGACCCTGGCTGACCCGACACTCTCCTCCGGTCCTCTGCCTTGAGTGCTGAATAAAGAAAATTTAGTTTCACTTGTACCGGCGTCACAATTGTTGGCGACCTTCAACGCGTCGCAGCTCGGCTTTAACTCTCCCGCGCAGGTTATTTTTATATAAAATATTTACTTGTAATTTCTAATTTCAGGGAAATTGAGGCTTGCTCAGAAACTAAAATAATTTTTTTTTACTTTTCAATTTGCACAGAAAACAGCATTTTTAATTTGGCCAGTCATCATATTTTGAGTATTTAGTATTTATTATTTTAATATTAAAAATTCTAATAGTTTTTCTCTCACTTATTGCTAAAAATTTCGCAGCAAACGAGAACAACACGAAAATTCTGCAAATATAAAACTAAAATGCGGGAGAAGATAATCGCGTGGATATTCGTAATCTGCAAACTGACCATTTACTGCGATGCACAGTCTTGGGCCAAGGAGAATAATTTTCCGGTAAGTCTTGCATTAAATTCATTAAAATGGCAGTTATTTTCTAAATCCTCATTTTGAAAGTAAATTTGTCTTAAATTCAAATTTCAGTGAAGTTTTCAAGTAAATATTTACAATTTTCATGTAGGAAGTGACTTTGTCTGAATGTAGGAATTATAACAAGGCCAAGCCTTTCTTTGCCGCACCAGGTAAGAAAAAAGCAGAAAAATTTAATTGAATAATTCAAGTTCGGATAAACAGAAAACTTTTAAAATTGTTTTTTAATATAGAATCTTGATTCAAGAATTTACTTTTGTTTGGGGAAATTTTAAGTATTCAGCACAAGCGACACGGACAACTTGAGTTTCAATGATTGCGGCACGTGGGGCGGAAACGAGGGCGAACCTCTTGACAAGTGGTTCGTTTTCTTGGACCTGGAATTCTGCTCAGCTTTGATTTTGTCTGAGCGAACCGTCCTCACTTTCAGCACAGGTGGTGAAAGCGGTGGGTCCATTTTTTTTTAAATATTATCATTTGTTTTATTTTTTATTGTTAAAAAACCAATGTTGATGTTCAGGCAGATGCAACAACATTTACACAGAATTCGTGATCCGAAGGGACGAGCTGGACGAACTAATGAACGTCAACATTTTTGGCGGCGAGTGCGTCGACCCCGAAGACAGGGGCACTTGTCGAGGGCAGCGCGGTTTGCTCAGCCAAAAGGTTCGCAAAACACTACGGGTGTTTTTTCAGTTTTCGAAATTATAAAAAAAAAAAAAAACAGGTCCGAGACGTGAAGAAGATCAAAGTCAGGATCGGCGCGATCACGTGGCATTTCTTCTACATTTGGCAGGTCGACAAAATGACATTTGGTCCACACTTGCAACCCGCTTGTTTGGCAAACAGAGACAACCAAAATGATCTCTTGGAATCGTTTTATTCCTACGATTATAGAACTGTAAGTTTAAAATAATAGTATAATTTGTAAAGGCCGGAAACGGTTTCATCCTCTTTTAAAAGGACAAAAAATTATTATATCCGGATATAAATTTCCTCCATTAATTTGAAATAGTGCATTTATTTTATTATTAATTTTCCTGGGCCCAAAACATCTTTTCAATCCTGCTCATTTTTATTTCATTGCAGAGAAAACTGATGTCGATTGATTTGTGGCCGGAGGAAAAGAAGTGTTACGAAGGAAAAATAAGAGAATGGAAGTGCGATTTGTACGGCAACTCGATCTGTTTGAAATCCATCAAAGAAAATCCGTATAAATTTCAACAATTTCAAATCACTCCAAATATAAAAATGCATGTCTTATTTCAGGATTTTGTACAGTTCTTTGCTCATAATGAAACGAGCCGGTCGCTTTTTCCTGCGCGGTTTTTCCATTTTCTTTTCACAAAATGCGGTCACATTTCTGGACGTGCTGCCGTTTATGAGACAAATCGTGTCCCAGTCCAAGGACCTGGCGATGATGCCTGAAATCCCCGCCGTCGAAAACCAAATTGGTACATTATTTTTTTAAATTTTCAAAATCGATGAAAAGATTCCTTTGCAGATTTCGGCGCGGGTCAGAGTTTCAAGGATTGCGGACTTCCGGCGGGACGGCGCCGAAGCAAAAGGGAGGAGGACGACGATGACGACGACAAGGCGCCGGGGGCGATCACCTCCCTAGTCGCGGGGGGTGCAAACGCGGTCAGGGGTCAACACCCGTGGCACGCCAGTGTGTCGCGCTTGACCGAAACAGGCCCAGAATATGACGTTTGCGGCGCCACGCTTATTTCGAAGAAAACTCTCGTAACCGGTAAAAACATTTTATTTTCTTAAAAGTCTATTATTTCTCTTTAAAATAATCCACGTTGTTTCATTGCTTACATTAAATTGAAAAATTATTTGTAAGGAAAAAATGAAAATTTTTGGACAAAAGTAGCAAAGATCATGGCTTATAAAACTTTTTTTAAACAAAATTTTAGTTTCTTGATCTTTGCATATTTTTTTACGAAAGTTGTGTCTCTGGATAAAATAACATTAACTAGTTTCTCTATGCTGAAATTGCTGAATTTTAGTGCAAACGTTACTTTTAGGAAAACGCATCAAGTACAAAATTTCAATTATTTAGAAGTTTTTCTTCTTTAAATTAATTACAAGAATTTAATTACTTATTATCTATTTTCTTTATTAAAAATACTAATTTTTTAATTTTTTTTTTATTTTAAATTACAAATTTTAACCTACAATGAGATAGTAATGGTACATTAATAAACACAATTTGTAACTAATTAAATTTGCAGCGGCGCATTGTGTGTTCAATCCAACTTTGATCGCCTCTTCCGACTTGGATGTTGTGCTTGGAATGTACAACTCGTCCAAATCGTCAGAGGAAACGCGTCAAAAGGCCAAGGTAATCAATTAATTTCCTTATTTATTCCTAAACCTTTTATTTTTCAATGCTCTTTCATCTCTGACCAGGTTTTGAGGGTGGTTGTTCACCCCGGGTACAACCACAGCAAGGGTGACTTCAGGGACGACGTCGCTCTGTTAATTTTGGCCGCCCAAGTCACAATCACCGATTTTGTTCGGCCCATTTGTTTGTGGAACTCGGACTACGACCTCGATCGAATCGTCAACAAAACGGGCACGGTCAGATTTATAATTTATGCAAAAGTCTTTTTGTTTTGATGAAAATTGATCTTGGTGAATATTTAAAATTTGCATTGGTTATTGGTTTGTATTTTTTTAATTCTTTCATTATACAGGAATTCTTCTTTTCAATTTTTTTTTTTTTGTAATTTTATCAAAGTAATAAGCAAGTATTCATTTAAAAGAAAAAAAGCTTAAAATTTTAGAGAATTCGATAAAAAAAAAATGAATCACTCAAAAAGGCTTTTTTTATATTTAAGCTTTTCAACTAAATTTTGAGCCTGAAATTGGAATCACATTTAAATACTTCAATGAAAAAAAAAAAATTGTTTTAAGGTGGTCGGCTGGGGCTACACGTCCGAGCACAAGCAGCCGTCGATTCTGCAGAAGGCCGACTTGAAAGTGGTTTCGTACCGAGAGTGTTTCGAGAGCAAAAGGAAATTCTTCTCTGTCAATTTGCACCCGCGGCGCAACTTCTGCGCAGGCTATCCGCACAACCGTCTGTTTCTTCTAAATTTTAATTTAATTGAATTAAATTTTTAAAACAAATTTTGTAGAAACGAGCGCGTGCAAAGGGGACAGCGGCGGCGGCTTTTCCCACTTTGATCGAAACGCAAATCGGCACTTTTTGCGCGGCGTCGTCAGCGCCGGCCGAAGCAAGTCGGTGTTGCTGGACAACGACCTCCTTGTCACGTGCAACCCCCAATACTTCACCCTCTACACCGACCTCGCCAGCTACGTCCGCTGGATCGTCGACAACGCGCCCGAAATCAACCGCCCTCAGAAATAAAAAAGAAAATAATTTCTAGTAATTTATTATGCAAAATATATTTATCAAGACTTGGTCACTTTTTGTAATTGAAAGGTATGAAAAATAAAAAAATATAAAATATGAGCAAAAAAAAAAAAGGATTGAAGTTTATTTACGTTTAATTTGAGCAACAGATACACTTTTCATAATTTATTCTGCTGTAATGTGCGATTATTACAATAAAATTTGTATTAATTCCAAACAAAATTTTCAATTAAAGAATGAAAAAAGTGAGCAATCAAAATGACTTCCTCGTTTTCTTTTGGTTATGTAATCAAATGGGTCTCTCACTATGGATAGTTTTTAGATCTAAAATTAAAAAAAGCTATGAATTTCATACATATTTATTTTGTTCCCCTCCGTCTTGACTTTCCGAATTTGTCTCATTTCGTTTTTGACAATTTATTTTGGTTCTAAAACTACAAATTGCAGCATTTTTTCCATCTCAATTATAAACTGCACCGATGGTTTTGGTCAAGAAAAGTAAAATAAACTACCTTTGATTGAATACAAAAAAATTTTGAAAATTTAAATCAATTGAAATAAACTTCTCATGAAATTGTTGAATTTGTGGCTAACAATGCAGGGACAAAAATACGCCGCCTTTCTCTTAGAATATTCAAATATTTAACGAGAAGGACGCGCATTTGTATAAAAGACGCCGGCGGATCCGATGTGGATTTAGTCTTTTCTCAACATGCACAGGAGAGAAGGGTGTTTGTTTTTTCTGTTACTGGCCGCGGCTGTAAATTTCAACGAGTAAGTTCGTGAATTGAGAATTAGCTCAACAAATTTAACACAGGAAAATATATTCGCAGCGCTTTTTCACTGGCCAGGGACAAGCGACAATTGCATACCTTACCAGAATCAGAAACGTTTCGTAAGTCACTGAGCGATTTGAATGTTGTTTTTATTATTAAATTATAAATTCACCACTTGTGTTATATAATTCAATAACATACTGGTTTGCATAAAAGACCTTTATTCAGATTGCATCTTTTCAATCTTAAGATGCTAAATAAAATATAAAATTCAAGTTGCAAAAATCAATATTGGTTCAGTCAGGCCGGTCAAGCGACCAAAGAATTGCAAAAACTTCATGTAAATGACTTTGGTTCCCTACATTTTGTTCGCACGCTCAACCAATTTTGATTATTCCAGCGCCAATATTTTTAATTTTGCATCTTAAGAATCGAAAAGATACAATCATCAAGATTTTATTGAATTACGCAACCGGTGGATTAATCAATTTCAGCCTGGTTGTGCGAGAAAAAGTGCCAAAATAACGGCGCTTGTGTCGGGCCCAACAAGTGTGTCTGCCTCGACGATCAATACGGAGGCGACCAATGTCAAATCCCAATCAACGATTGTGAGCAAAACCCGACTCCGAAAAATGCCAAAATTCTTGTATGCCTCATTAGGTAAAATTCATTTTATCAGCACCTTCATCTCTATATTTAAATCGAATCAGACATTGCGAGTTTGAATGCGATCCTGGCTACGCTTTTTCCGAAGGCCGGAACTTCAGTAATTTTTACTGCGAGCAAAACAAGTGGATTGACAACTTCACCGACGAAGAGTGGACTTATTTTCCCAATTGCGAAAGGTCTTGGCGAAAATGCAATCGCACATTCGTGTTACAAACTTACTAAGAAACTAATTTTTAGGTTAGAAAATGAAGAGGAAGCGGCGACGACTCCAAAACCCGCCCGCGCAGTTTCGACCCGCAAGTGTGGATAAACAGAAAATAAACTTTTCACTTTGTCTCCATCCAGTGTTTGTTTTGCCAAAACCAAAATTGTCACTCTAAATTTGAAACAAAATGAATTTGCACAAAAACGAAATGATTTTAAATCATATCAGTAGAAGTTATTAACGGAATTTTCAAATTGTGGTACCACAGTGTGGGAGAAAATTGTGGTACCGCAGTGTGGGAGCAAATTGTGGTACCACAGTGTGGGAACAAATTGTGGTACCACAGTGTGGGCGGGAATTGTGGTACCACAGTGTGGGAGCAAATTGTGGTACCACAGTGTGGGCGGGAATTGTGGTACCACAGTGTGGGAGCAAATTGTGGTACCACAGTGTGGGCGGGAATTGTGGTACCACAGTGTGGGAGCAAATTGTGGTACCACAGTGTGGGAGAAAATTGTGGTACCACAGTGAGGTACCAAATTGTGGTACCACAGTGAGGTACCAAATTGTGGTACCACAGTGTGGGAGCAAATTGTGGTACCACAGTGTGGGCGGGAATTGTGGTACCACAGTGTGGGAGCAAATTGTGGTACCACAGTGTGGGCGGGAATTGTGGTACCACAGTGTGGGAGCAAATTGTGGTACCACAGTGTGGGCGGGAATTGTGGTACCACAGTGTGGGAGCAAATTGTGGTACCACAGTGTGGGCGGGAATTGTGGTACCACAGTGTGGGAGCAAATTGTGGTACCACAGTGTGGGAGCAAATTGTGGTACCACAGTGAGGTAGCAAATTGTGGTACCACAGTGAGGTACCAAATTGTGGTACCACAGTGAGGTACCAAATTGTGGTACCACAGTGTGGGAGCAAATTGTGGTACCACAGTGTGGGCGGGAATTGTGGTACCACAGTGTGGGAGCAAATTGTGGTACCACAGTGTGGGAGCAAATTGTGGTACCACAGTGTGGGAGAAAATTGTGGTACCACATTGTGGGAGAAAATTGTGGTACCACAGTGTGGGAGCAAATTGTGGTACCACATTGTGGGAGCAAATTGTGGTACCACATTGTGGGAGCAAATTGTGGTACCACAGTGTGGAAGCAAATTGTGGTACCACAGTGTGGGAGCAAATTGTGGTACCACAGTGTGGGAGCAAATTGTGGTACCACAGTGTGGGAGCAAATTGTGGTACCACAGTGAGGTAGCAAATTGTGGTACCACATTGAGGTACCAAATTGTGGTACCACATTGAGGTACCAAATTGTGGTACCACAGTGAGGTACCAAATTGTGGTACCACAGTGTGGGAGCAAATTGTGGTACCACAGTGAGGTACCAAATTGTGGTACCACAGTGAGGTACCAAATTGTGGTACCACAGTGTGGGAGCAAATTGTGGTACCACCAAGGTTTTCATTTAAATATTATGAAATTATTTATTATCTATTTTAATGGCAAACTCAAACCCTTCTGTAGTAGTGGAAAATAGCAGCTAATAATTTAATTCTGGGCTCTACTAGAGAATCCTAATCGACATTCCATGTTTGATCAAAATCGCAGTTAGACACCTAAAAATGTTCCTTTGAGACGAGCTGAGAAACACATTTGAAATTATTACATTATTGATCTTTCTATATAAAAATAAAAAGTTTTAATATAATAAAAATGTTTGCAGAGATCAATCGAGTTGGAATTAAATATTTTTTACGTACGTGGGCCTCTCAAAAAAAAAAAAAAAAAAAAAAAAAAAAAAAAAAAAAAAAAACACAGAATTTTATTTATTTTCAATAATGCATTGCTATTCATAAAATTCTGAATTTGCGGAGACTTGTCGCATTCCGAGGAGAGCGCTTTGGACTTTGGAGTTGCTGCTGATGCTTTTAACGCGCACGAACTTGCCCAGAATCGACAGAAAATAGAGATTGAAAGCAATGAAAGCGGCGCAAAGAGGCCAAGAACAGGAACGATCTCGCATCGCGTCGTTCGCCGTCGCCGTTCTATCTGCCCGACTTGTGCATTTTTCTTTCCATCCCCCCCCCCCCCCCCACCGTCCTCCTCCGCCGGCGCAACACATTCCACAGACAACCACCATCGTCAAAAAAATATAAGAGATTCCTCAGCGTCGACTCGACACATCAACTGGGTCATTGCTCTCTTTATTCTTTGTCGAATAATTTCTGCAATTTTCCTTTCAAATCCGGCGTCCTCTGTCCTGATGAGGACTGCAGCTCGTCCAGTTCACGATTTTGGGTAAAAATTTGTACAAAGAAAAACAGGACACATCACCTGAAGGACAATGAGTCGTCCGCAGCCGCCAGCAATTAACAAAAGTATAAAAGAATTCTCAGAAAATATAATTTCTTTTTGTATCTGATGCATTTTGTTTTAACTAAATTTGTTGCATTTCTATTTTAGGAAAGCGGAAAAGTGGCAAAACTGCACCTGCTGCAGCCGGGGCGAATGCGCTGCTCGTCATTAGAAACCCGCTCGGATCCTTCTTGAGGTTTCCTGAGCCGTACGCCAGATACTTTGACTCCATTTGGAAATTAGGGCTCAACAGCAACAGCAGGAGGGACAACAACTTCGTCAGCATCAACGAGTACCGAGACATGCAGGTCTCGGTAGTCACGTAAGTAGTTTTACTGCTTTATTTTTAAGACCTAATTCCATTTTTAATTATGCTTTTTGCAGAGGCATGTTGGCGCAGCTCTTTGGCTCCAACGTGGGCGTCTACTCGAGAAGCGCCATGGACGAGCAGGTCGCCACGATTCGCATACCCGGAGTCAAGATCTTCGCAATTTTTGCCTTGGGAATGTTAAAAGTCGTCAGATTGACTGCCGACCGACTGGAGAGTAAGTTTAACTGCAATATTTTGGAAATTATAATTAAATTTTGTTTTTATTTATGTTAGAAGACTCGGCTCGCTTTTTGGACACGGTCAACAAAGCAATCAGGATGAGAGAAAATGTGTAGGTCTAAATTACAAAATTTTTGATTGGTGTTTAAATTGTCTCTATTAATAGGCCCAGCGAAACGTTTTCCGAATTTCAAGAAATGGCTGCCACGGCTGCCGGAGATCAACGTCGGTTGGAGGAGGAGTTTAGAAAGAGAATTGCGTTTAGAGAACAAGGTTTTTGCTTGTCTTTTTTTAACTTTTGCATCTCAATTTCCCTCTGTTTTTAGATACCAGCATCACTCTGATTGAAACAGTGAATTTGATGTTACCTTCACAGGATGATCCATTTGTTCGAGATGATGTGAGTTTTCTCATTTGAATTAAAGAGGAATCACATATTTGCATTGCAGTATAAATTATTAAGGAAATAACACCAATTTATTTGTAAGACTTATTGTGTAAAAGAGCCAAATTGAATTAATTATTTATGTTTTAATCTCACAACATGTATAACCAAACTGTTCCATATATTTGATTTTTATATTATTTTTTATTAAATTAATTGATATATATCATCATATATGCATTATTTTAAATATAATATGTATATTGTGCAATCACATTGATGATCAACCTCCAAAACTCTTAGGAATCAAGCTCAGAAATTGATGACAATTCTGCTCTTGTTCTGCCTTGCCCGTCTCCTCAGCCATCTCCTGAGCCAATTTGTCCGCAGCCATCTCCTGGCCCAACTCCTCCCAATCCGATTCACCGTCCGACTCCTCGTCCCACCCCTGAACCATCTCCTCGTCCGATTTCTCCTCGCCCATCTCCGCAGAAGAGGCGTCCAAAAATTTTGCCTCCGGTGTTCAAGGAAAGGGATGCTAGGAGAGCCAAATTGGATGCTCGGCAGGTATGAAGTCAATAAAATATGATCGTAAATTTTAAAAACGTCTCATTTTAAGGAATTCGAGCTCTTTCAAAGTGCTTTTGCTACAATGAGGAGATCACGCCGGTGCAGACGGCCCAAGAAAGTGAATCCTCTGCTGCTCCCTTTCGATAATCCTGACAAACCGAAACAGACCCGGCGAGCTAAGAAGAAGGCTCGGGCTGATTTTGTCCAAGTAAAGTTATAATTTCAAATTTATATCTAATCATTTATAATCTTAAATCTGCAGGCCATTAGAAACAGACCAGCGCCAGTCATTGTTGAAAGGCCTGAATTGAGAGTGAGAACTCCTCAGCAAACTCGAAGGTCTAAGCAGAGGAAGAGCAGGGGACGTCGTCCACCTTTGCCAACACCGGCGCCTGTTCAGCAGCCTGGACCAAATTCTCAAGTGCCTGACATTCCTGATCCTATTGAAGATCAGCCGGTGCTACCTGGACCTGAGCCACCTTCGCCTGGGCCGCATGACGATCTGCCTCCTTCTCCTGAACCTGAGCCGCTGCCTGAGCCTGAGCCTGACCCGCCGTCTCCTCCAAGTCCTCCGTCGCCATTCAACGAGGCCATCATCAGGGGTCTGCAGTTCACCCCGATGAGCAAGCACAGCATCATGTACAAATTGTCGCAATTGCATGCTAGTGCTGGTGCTGAAAACAACGAGCACCCAATCACCTTCAAACATCTGGCCCCGGTGGACAGCATGAGCAGAAAGGTCGCTGCACTCGCCTTTGCTCAGTTGCTTGGTACGGTTTTATTTGTTCGCCACACAGAGAAAGATGAGAGTTTTTAATATGTATTTTTTCAGAAATGTCCAAAATGGACTACATCAAGCTGAACCAGCCCCGTGCCTATGGTGACATAAAAATAACCTTGACTCCCTCATTCGACCATGACATTGAAAGGCCAGAATTTGACAATGTCGTTCAACCAAATGAATGAAACTTCAACCAAGATACGTTGGCAAATATGTCACTTCGGCTGAACTTTTGCAGGTCGTATCAAAACTAATTTCGTTTGAAACGATTTCATACAAAACTGTTTTCCAAAGAAAATAATTATTCCGAGTATTTTGTATTTTGGGTACTTCCTGAATTTTTGTGTTATTTCTTGCCTATGTAAGGCCTCAAAATTCAAAACTATATGTTATTAAACATATACTTCTCAGTGGAGACATTTTTCCGAGGAGAGAGATAAATAATTGTATGATATGGTACTAAAAAACTAAGCTTCTTTCATCATTGTAAAATTATTTACTAAAAGCCTGTTTTGCCGTGGTTTTCTTCATCTCTGCTCTACTTATCAAATTGTATTTTTTTCTGTATAATTATGATATAATTATCCTAAGCTGAAGTGTATTTAGCCCTTTTGTATGTAATTTAAATGAATCAAATTTTCATAAATCTTCTCTAAACAATACATTTTCATACATATTTGCTTATTTTTTATTGTTTTTTTCCTTATTTTTTACTTTCAACCTGCTTTTAACAGACACAGTTATGGTTCCGTATCTGTTCTTCAATTTTAAAACTGAACAATTCTGTTCAGAATATTTGTGATCACTTTTTCATATTCTTTTCTTGCTACGATATCCATAACATTAGCTTTCTTTTCTTTATACCATTTTAATGTTTTGCTTAAATCATGGTTTAATTTTTTTATTCTTCAATTTGTTCATACAAAATAAATTAATTCATAACTTACATGCAGCACCTAGCGGTGACAAGTACAACTACGTAGACATAGGCACAAGAGCTTTTGGCGCCACTTGGCTAGAGCTTGAGACAAAAAAAGTCAACAGACTGATTATAAACATTAATCGTAATTTCTGATCGTTAAAAATTATGTAATCACTAATTAAAAATACAATTTAGTTTTAAATTACAACTGAATTTAATTATTTTGTTATGAAAACACGAGGAAAATTCTCGAACGAGGAAATAACTTGATTCCGGTTGTCCGAGCGCCATGTTTGATACTCCCCACACTTTGGCATCTCTCGCCGCTACACCCGGTGCCGCCTGACAAAATTGGAAAATCCGTGCTATATTTCCGGGCAATTTTGAACTCGAGGACTTTTTGAGCTCAGGCTCGTTTTTGTGCTTCCATTCCAGGCAACTTTACACGAAATCAACCATGTTTTGGGGTAATTTCGTCGTTTTAAAACAGGCATGGCCGGCTCTGACCATGCCTTCGGCGCCGACCATCCACGTTTTTGCCATGCCACTGAGAAAAATAATCTTCCACACCAAATAAGATTCGTTTCCGTCTCGGAAATCAGAGCCTTGGTCCTTTTAATTACCAAAGCTGCATCATTTCCATTTGACAATTCTTTGCAATACTATTTTTACTCCACGTGCGATTTTCTCACGTCATTGTGGACGCTTCATGTCCATCGACAGACCACTTGTCTTGCGATAATTATGTTTTTTTACACAAGCATCTGATTTCAGGACTCACCTTAGAGCCAGGCAAGAAATATGCCCAGCAAGTAGAAACCTCATTCCACATTTCCATGGCTGCCCTTGACGTCCGAGCGACGACAGGTTTGTACACAATTCAAGTTCAAAAGACTATGAAAAATATTTCCTCTTATTATTTTACTAATTTTAATTATACATCCAGCAGATGACCCAATTTCAATCGTCGTCGAGACGGGCAAAAATGAATTTGTCATTTGCAATTTGAGCAAGAAAAACATGATGCAGCAAACACTGGACTTGAACTTCTTAAAAGATGACAGCATAGCTTTCACAGTCAAGGGCCAGGGAGTGGTCCATCTGACTGGCTACATTTTGCCAGGTGAAGATGAATTTGACGAGGAAGACTTTGACGCCATGGAGGACGAGGAAAGTGACGGTTTGTGAATCAGATCAATCAAAATGATAAGATCAATGATTTTGGTCACTTTCAGAAGAGGCGCCCCAGTTGCAACCTGTAAACAAAAAGGAGCTTGTCCGTGAAAATAAGAGAAAGAATGGGACGGCTTTAAAGACAGAACCAGCTGCTAAGAAGAGTAAAGTTCCAGGTAGATATTTTTGATTAATATAATTGTCGGAAATAATTGAAATATTTTCTAGTTATGAATGGAAATGACGATTCAGAAGAGAGTGATGACGACGAAATGGAAGATGAGGATGTTGAGGAAGAGGAGGATGATGATGACGATGATGGTGATGGTGTGATTTCTAGAGAGGCTTTGGAGAGCAGCGAGGAAGAGGAGGAGGCAGAAGAAGAAGGCGAGGAGGGAGAGGAGGAGGAAGGCAAGTTTGACCAAAATCAAAACGGATTCAAATCTATAACACTTATTTTGTAGATTCTGATGAAGAGGAAAGTGAAGAAGAAGAAGCTCCAGTTCAAATTCAAAACAAGAAGCAAAAGACGCCTCAGAAAACTCCCGTCAAGGATCAGAAGAAGCCCATCAATGTGAGACCAAATTCTTTCAATTTGTTAAATTATGAATTTTCTCTCTCCGATCTAGGGTTCTACTCCTAAGGAACAGTCTGCCAAGAAGGAGAACAAACAGACTCCGAAGCAACAGACACCCAAAGGTAAAGAAAATGGCTCCAGACGCAACTCTTGGAAATCTTTCAAAAAATCTAAATAAGTGATTATGCATGTTGCCTAAAATTTTCATCTCATCAAGATTCATTTTGACAATAAATCCCAGCCATCTGGTTTTCTTCATTTAGCAAATTTTCTTTCAACCAACCTTTTCTTCGCTTTTTTTCTTGGAAAATCTTCATTTTTTCTCGTATAATTAGTGACGAAGCAAGAAATTTGAATGAATTAATTACTCTAAACTTGATTTCCTCACATAATCAACAAATATATCGTTTAAAATATATCTTCTTGCCTTCGCAGTTAAGGAAGAGGCAAAGACCCCTTCAACGCCTGCTGGAACAAAGAAGACAATTCAAGGCGGAGTGATCATCGAGGACTTGGTTGTGGGTGGAGGACCTGCCGCCACCAACGGCAGACAAGTACGCTTGCTTCCATTTGAAATGGACACTTGACTTATTTATTATGTCAATTGCAGGCTGCGGTTTACTACGTTGGCCGCAACAAACACAACAACAAGCAGTTTGACGCCACCCAGAGTGGCCCCCCATTCAAGTTCAGACTGGGCAAGGGAGACGTGATCAAGGGATGGGACATTGGCGTCCAGGGCATGAAAGTGGGCGGCAAGAGGAGAGTCATCTGTCCCCCGCACATGGCGTAAGAATCAAAAGCTTCACTCACACAAAATACATTTATTCTTAAATTTGATTGTACATTGATCAATTGAATCACATTTAAAAATTTGCTTCAGGTACGGCAACAAAGGATCTCCCCCAGTGATTCCTCCAAACTCAACTCTCGTCTTTGACATCGAGTTGAAGGCCGTGTCGTAGAAATTTTGGCGTACCTCAACACAGTTACTATTGATAACATTTAAGTTCAAAATCAGGACTTCTCAACTAACACATTTTCAGTGCATTTGGAACACATTTCCTTTTTATCAAGACGTACGCAATGGACCGTTGCGAGAAATATGGTTATTTTCTGTAACTCGGATTACAAAATAAATGAAATGAACCTCCAAGGTTGAATCGAAGTAACGAGTGTGATTTCCGGCAACGTTAACTTCGATAGAGTCGAAGTTGTGCCTCCAGCTCTTGTTTACTGCCAACGTTGAACTTTTCTTCTTGCTGCTTCAGAAGATCCCAAATTGCTGCCATTTGTTCTTCTTGAGTCCTATAAAAATGAACAAAATGATTTCTCTGATAAATTAAGAGACGTAATTTCTACTTCTTTTCTAAATGTCTTTGTTCTTCGGTTTCGTCAGCCTTCACCGATTTCAGCAGAACATTTTGCTTTGCAGCTTTAATTTTTCCGAAAGCGCCTCCGAACTCTCCTTTCACATAGGGCGAATCTGTTGGATCATCCTACAAATTACCAATCAAACACTATTTGTTTCAATATTTTTTATTAATTTTAGCTCAACCTCATCTGCATCAATATTTTGCTCCTCTTCACTGCCGGTCTTGTTTTTGTCGATGTGGAGGTGGTTGTGGGTTTGATAATAGTGAGCAGCGAAAAGGGCAAAGACGGCTATCAGAACGGACAAAGTGTACATTGTGGACAGGTTGTCCAAGTACACAGGGAAATTTTCACTCCACGACATCGTTGATTAAAAGAAATTTATCTACGTCAGACTAGAAATAACAGGCTTTAATGGAAAAAGAGATTTGAAAAGCTGGCACTGGCAGTGTTATTTGTTTTCACTCCCAGCTGGTTTTTCGATGCTTCACAAAATTAGCAGAATTCAGTGCGCCTGCGTAAAGTTTAGCTGGTTAAGCGGGTGAAGTGTGTTCCAGGATCGAGGATATGTGCAGTACCAAGCCAAATAAATCAATTTAATGAAGTTTAGAGATTTTATTTGTTCGACAAAATTAATAAAGCCAATAAAACACCTTTATTAAATCTCATTTGACACGTATAATATTTGTTTAATTAAGTGATTGTTTAAATTAAAATGCCAAATTAATATAATTTGAAGCCTGTCAGTTTAAAAAATAAAATTCGTGACTTGGATACTTTTAGGATAATAAAAAATCGAAAAAATCCCATAAAAACAAAATTTAATGTCCATAAAGCTTTCAAGATATTTGGTGCTTTTTATATTTTATGTCACGGGGCTATAAGGAACGCGGCGTTGGCTTTGACGACTTCAGCATTAATTTCTCTTATTCTGCTCTGGAAACCATCAAACCAGGGTCACGAATTAATAAAATGCGGCAGAGATGCACCAGGGTCAAGTCGCCTCGCATCAGAGCACAGCGTCCGGCTTGAAAATAAACAAAATGCAAAATGTGATGCGCGATGGCTTTTTTAATGAAATTTTATTTATTCTTTTCTTATATATTTCAAGCGCAAACAAAAAAAACACAGCTTTAAGTACTTCATAATACATAATAATGTGCACAATGAACAGCAGAGTCATTTGTAAAAGTAAAAACTATATATATTTTACAAAATTTTGAATATAAAATAAGCAGATATTAAAACATTATTTATTGAGAAATGCAACAAGGGCTCAACTACATCTTTGAATATTTCCTGAGGCTTTATACGCATAATTATAACTTTATAAAAATAAAATCCTTGCCTTGAATTTGACGTATGCATTTTACTTTTGCCATGAAGTATTAATTTTCAAAAGAATTAAATAAAATTTGAAGGTTTTCTATGCATGTATTGCAAAAAAAATTTCTTGGAAATTGGCACAAGATCTTACAGCAAACTACTTTCTGATGGTGGGATTAATCAAGCACGGTCTATATAATCAAGACTGTCAACAAGTTTTCCGCTGCTGTGGATTTTTGATTTGACAGATTGGTTAAGAAAAATTAAGACGTGCTGTTGGCCATGGTATTGCATGAGCAAGGAAGAGAACTCTTTCCACAGAATAAATGGCATATAGATATAAAAAGACTCGCCTTAAAAAGTGAAAAGTGATTTCTCGTGTTAAAAAAATAGAAGCGCTGCGAATTCAATACCGCGAAAGAGCAAACCCAACCGCACAACGCACCTGCGTTAATTGTTAACTGCGGCAAAAGCGGAAGCAAAATCATTTGGAGACACACACGCAAGATACGCGCATATTAAAATTAATGACAGCGCTATAGGTTGGAAATGAATAAATCTGAACAAAAATAATATAATAATAATTTGATGGAGCTTTCTAACAAAAATTTTGTGTTTAATAACTTTATTTCAAGAAAAAAATAAATAAGTTTTATTATGCATGCGAATAGATATGAAATAAACGAAAAATCTGCATAATTATATAGTGTCTATTTTGATATATTGTCGAATAAAAAACTCAGCGCGGCAATTAAATCTATCTCAACTCTTCGGCGAATGTTGCGTAACGGCAAAAAAAGGTTAAGCCGTTTTTTTTATAAAGTTTGGAGGGGCATTACGTGCGTGAGGCACCGTAGTTTTTGGCCTTGTGTTAAAAAGTTGAACCGCCGTGCAAGCATCAGAAATCGCGAGCAGGAGAGATGGTATAGCCGCGGAATCGGTTTCACTCTCACTTTAACTACACAGAAAACGCATCGGACTTCAGACACGTGAGTACCAATAAATTTTGCACTCGCAAATTTAATCAGAGCAAGCATATTCAACTAAATTTATTGCAAAAAAGATCAAATATAATGGCCACAAGATGAACTTTATTTAATACTTTAGGTTTTATCGGGTTATATAATTACAAGTCCTAAGTTCTCTATTTTGGAATCAGTTCTGCAAATAATATAAAAGATTTAATTTTCTTATTTAAATTAATTAGAATTGCAATTCAGTTTTGTCTTTTAATGTTTTAATCTGCTAAACGAATTTTTTGTTCTCATTTGAAATTCAGAATGTCGCCCAACAAAGAAGACTTAGGCGTGTTTGAAGAAAAGGGTTTTGTCGTGGACGATGCGTCGCAGAAGAAGGTCTCGAATTTGTTCAAAATGGACGAGAGCGAAGTCGATTACGGCCAACCCATCAAGTGGTTCAACATTTTCGCACTGTCGTCGGTGCACATACTTGCCATCTACGGACTGATTGTTGGAATTACCCACATCAAGCTCGTCACCGTTCTATTCAGTACGTTTTCTTTTTTAATTTAAAAAAAGGAGCAAAAAATTGACCAGGATTTCCTTTTAGTTATTGTTTTTTACACTCTTCACAAATCAAGTCAAAATAAGAGAGAAAATTACAAAATGTGAAGAAACTGCAACAGCTGCGTGGCAAACAAGTTGCCAAAACGCGGGGCCTCGAGAGAGGTCCGCGCCGTCCTGCTTTTTGAGAAATAGTTTTTATATATTAAATTTTTAAAAACATATTCTCAACAAGATTTGAACAGCCCGGTTCGTCGTTCACCTTGATTGAAAACTTTCTTAAACAAATAAAAATCTAATTTTTCCAGACTTGGGCTACGGTTTTCTGTGCATATTCGGGATCACGTCCGGGGTGCACCGATTGTGGGCGCATCGCTCGTACAAGGCCAACGTGCCCCTGCGAGTCATCCTGATGCTGTGCTACGCCTGTGCGGGACAGGTAGATTCAAATCTTAAAGTTTTTTTTTAAATTGATTTCTTGTGATGTAGAACAAAATTTACACTTGGGTCCGCGACCACCGCGTGCACCACAAGTTCAGCGAAACGCCCGCCGACCCGCACAACTCGAAGCGCGGCCTCTTCTTCTCGCACATGGGCTGGCTCATGAAGAAAAAGCACCCCCTCTGTCTGCAGCAGGGCAAGAAGATCGACATGTCCGACATCGAGAACGACGAGATCGTCCAGTTTTATGACGAGTAAGTTCACAAATTTGAAGTATTTTAACAGAAATCTAGGACTAATTGAAAATATAAAATGTTAAACAAAGTTTAAATTAACGAGAAACCTAATTCAAAAAAGGTCAGAAAAATTGAAGTCATTGGGAGGTATAAATTTTTGAAATTTAGATTGTTTCTTTTGGGAATATCTTTAATAATATTTTTTTTTTTCTCAAAATTGGCTGGACCAAAACTGATAAAAACTTCACCAATTCACGTTTTTAATTAAGGTCAAAGGTCAGTCGCCATTAAAATATTACATCAATCATTCAAAAATCAATTAAAAAACGTTGAATTTGAAATTTTATTGCTTAATAATGTTTTCCGAGTGACAAATTTTCTTAAATTTTGTTGCAGCAATTTCGAGATGATGAAGGGCATGTTTTGTTTCGTGATCCCGACGCTGATAATCCGCAAGTACCTGGGCGAGCCCTGGTGGATCGCCATTCTTTCCAACCTGGTCAGATACATAATCTCCCTGAATGGCACTTGGGTCGTCAACAGTCTGGCCCACGTCATCGGAAATCACCCTTACGACGTGTACGTAGTGTTACTCAATCCTTAATCTGAATAAAAATAAACGGTGACGGTTTCGTCTAAATTGGCTGAGACTGGCGGCAATATTGCACGTGCTAGAGAAGAAAGTTGAATTTGGCAAGCGAGCGCAGTACCTGAAACTTTAACGACGTCGTCAATTAACCGCAAGGCTTGTATTGCGATTCGCCTAATTTCTGGCAAACGAGAATATAAAATTGTGAAAATTGCCGAGCCGCGCGCGTGTTTGTCGACGATGGCAAGATGACCTAGTGCAAGCCAAGCCAAGCCAAGGCCGCTATTAAAAAAGCGTTTTCGGTTGCAGTGTTTTTAAGAGGAAACGGAGAAATACATAATCGGCCAGCCGAGTAATTATTACATTTCTTTCAAAACGCCTCTGGAATTTATTAGTCGACCAAGGTGCGCTGATACGGACCAAGCGCGGGTATTAAAAAAATGTCTGTTTGCACAATCATATACCAAAAATTTTACACGCTAAAATAACAACTTCTTAAAACCTTTTTTCATAAGCACGGCACATTATGAGAAAAGATAATTTTAGAAAATCGAAACAATGTCAATTTTTAAATTTTCAGTTCTCCCAATGACTTAAAATTTTCTTTCTATGTCTGCAAACGAATGCTACTGGGAGAGAAAAATCCCCATCAATATTAATCGGACCGTTTTCCGGTAAAAGCCTCTCCTGATTGCGCAAAATTTAGAAGAAAAATGCGGATGTAATTAAATTTATTTTGTTTAAATGTTTTAAAAGTTTGGTCCAGCTTTTTCATTACACAACTTGGTAAAAGGCTGTGAATTTTTATGGCGAGTTCTAGTTCTAGGACCGGTCATGAGACTTGCACAACTTTTATTACTTTCCTAGTTTAAAAGTATAGGCAGACCTGCGCTATAAAATTGACAAGTCAGCCTCAAACGAGCCTATATTTATTTATATTACTAACGCAGATTTAATAATAGTGTTGATGACTTTAAACGAAATTTGGGAGTCGGCCGTTTCATAAAGTAATTATCTCCCTCCACAGCAATTGTGTAATTCTTTCGTGAAATGCATCGCCGGGCAGTTTTCTACTCTCGTGCGCTGGGCCTACTTTTAGGATTTTGACCTAAAAGCCGCTGCGGCGCAGACCTTGTATAAAAAGATCATTTAACTTTCTGAGACTCTCTCTGTCTCTCGCGCAAGGAAATGAATGCATGAAAGGACCGGTTTTGGCTAATTTCGGCCTGACATTTATTTTATTGTACATTTTTTCTCCTTATATTTTTGCAGGAACATTGGGCCGACGGACAACGTGTTCGCGGCCAGTTTGTCGTTCGGCGAAGGCTGGCACAACTACCATCACACCTTCCCATACGACTACCGCACCTCCGAGTTCGGCCTGCACAAATTCAACGTGCCGACCATGTTCATCGACTTCTTCGCCTGGATCGGCTGGGCTTACGATCGCAAGTCCGTCTCCGTCGACATGGCCTTGCGACAGGCCAAGAAAAAGGGAGACGGATCCCGCTTTGCAGACCAGAAAGCACATTGACGCAATGAAAAATTTTCAAAAGAGATAAAATGAAATGCAGGGCAAAATTGATCAAAAATTGAAATAATATTTTTACAATCAAAATGTGATTTTGATTAAGTCTCAAATGCTTGCTTGCCCCAATTTATTAACAAAATAATAAAATATGTAGTATATAATTATGAAAATATCAGGAATCTTACTGTGATTGCAAAGTTTGATAATAAAGCTAATAAAGCATGCAATGTTGAACGTTTTGTGCTAAATATAAAATCTCCATATTTTCAATACTTTGTCTTTCTACATTATTTTCGCCAATACTTATTTACCTCTAAAGCTGGAAACTTATAAAAAGTTAATTTTGAACCTCTTTATATTTATTTCAAACGAAATAAAAAAATTTAAATTGTACATTTGAAACATTTTCTAGTCTTTACATTTAAAATTTTACAGCTAGAAAATTTAAAACAAATCCATTGGTTGAATTTGCTTCAAACTTTCCCATTTGCTTATAAAAAGAGGATAAAATAAAATTACAATAAATTTTTAAATTATAGATTATTTTTTGCAAAAATATATTGCTGTCATACGTTTTATGATCAAACAAATTAATATATCATCCCATTGTTGTATTTTATTTTGATATGACACATGTAAAAAAAACGTGCAAAAAAAACTGCATATAAAAGAGCAAGAGAGATAATTGTACTTATCACAGAAGCAGCAGTGGGGAGTTCATGGGAACTGAATGAAAGCAAATTCAACCAAAATAGTAACATATACAAAAAAAACAAACAAGAAGACATAAATTGACACTTTCCTTTTCCGATGGCTGAATTGTGAGAAATGATCTTGAATGTTTTTTTTTTTTTAAAAACTTAAATTTTTTGTGCAATTCAATTTGAAGTTTTACATTTTAAACAATAAGTTGAGATTAAAAATCGACGAGTTCATCCGGGATGGCAAAAAAAGAAAAAGTTTCGCTTTCGGAAGGAATTCTCGGACGCCCTTCCACGTTATAACAGCCAACGAAAACGGCAGAAGATTGAGGGCACATCGAAAACCCGCCGCGTTACTTGTAAAAGTTGTGTTCAATTTGATGCGAAGAGTGAAGAGCTAAAGGAGCTTTTGGGGCAAGACGGAGGCAAAGGTAAGACAGAATTTATATTTTGCAGCTCACTGGACCAAGAATTATAATTTATTAGAGAAAAGAAAAACCATTATAAAAGCTCTTTGTTTAAGTTTGGAATTGATCATGTTTTCCAAAATTCATATTTTAATAATCCAGACACAAAATTATTTTTTTCTAGGTTTGATATTTTAGAATGAAAAAAAATAATATACCAATTTATCATTGATCTACTAAAAGATTTATAGAAGACATAAAAATGATTATAATTTAGCATTTTATAAATCAAACTTTATTTATTAATTTAAATTATATTTTAATGTTGGATATCCAGGAATTGTCGCGATCGTCGGCATCCTTCTTGAGATGGCTCCCGATTCGCGACATTACGGTTTTGCTGCATCGGAAGAAGATTTGGAGCTAAGCCAGGAGAAAGTAACCTACAACCAACCTCTCAAGTGGCAAAACATCGCCAGCCTTTTACTGATCCACCTTTGGGGCGCTTACGGACTCATCTACACCTTGCCAGTCATCAAACTATGGGCTTTTGTTTTCAGTAAGATCTTTGACTTCAAACTAAGAAATTTTAACTTCTTCTGATTGACGCAGTAACGACTTACGGATGGGCCGGAGCGCTGGGAACGACGGCAGGCGCGCACAGACTTTGGTCGCACCGCTCGTACAAAGCCAAGTGGCCCCTCAGAGTGATTTTGGCGGTGTTTTTCGCCATTGCAGGAATGGTAATTCAATAACTTTAATTAAGAGTTAATACTTGAAAATCTTCTTTTTTAAGAGTAGAATTTACGATTGGGTGCGGGACCATCGAGTGCACCACAAGTTCGTCGACACCGCCGCCGACCCGCACAACATCAACCGCGGCTTCTTTTTTGCCCACTGCGGTTGGATCATGAAAGCAAAACACCCTCTTGTCATCAAGAACGGCAGGAAACTGAGTCTGGACGACATCAAGAGAGACCCAATTGCATGCTGGAGCGACGAGTGAGAAAGTTTTATCTGTGCCACCAACAATCTAATTGATTTGAAAATGAATTTATTTCAGCCACTTCATTTTGATGAAGACGCTCTTTTGCTTTGTCGTGCCGATTCTTGTGCTCAAAATCGCGTTTGGTGAGCCTTGGTGGCTTTGCTTCGGCGCCAACATGTCCAGGTACATGATCGGCCTGAATGGCTACTGGGTGGTCAACAGCGTGGCCCACTACTGGGGGAGCCACCCTTATGACAGGTAATTAAGTAAGACTGGAATTGACAGGAAAACGCCATTATATAAAAACATCAAATTCGGCGCAGGAAAATTAAGCCGACGGAAAACGTGTTTGTGACGATTTACGCGTTCGGCGAGGGTTGGCACAACTTCCACCACGTTTTCCCCTGGGACTACAGTTCGTCAGAGTACGGACCCAAGAAGAACAACATGACGACGCTGTTTATCAATTTCTTTGCCTTGATCGGCTGGGCCACAGACTGCAAAACTGTCACAAAGGAAATGGCTAAAAGACGAGCCATTTCTTCTGGCGACGGAACTTACAATTCGGAGGAGGAATTGCATTGATAGAATTGTTAATTTCAAATATAATTTAATAATAAAGTTATTTAAATAATATGAATAGTTTTTCTTTAAAATGGACCTGAGGCTTAATTTGCTTTAAAATTAAAATTATTTAAATGTTAAAGTTGATCAAAAATATACAGAATGTATTTTCAATTAAAAGATTGAGCTATTTTGAATTAATTTCGATATAAAAATTATAATTTTCTTGGGAAATTCCAAATTATTTTAGTCAAGTTAAAAGATTTTTATTTTATATTATTGGTTTCAATTGTTATGAATTAAAATGTCTCATAGATGTTTGCATCCACTTTAAACAATGATGGGGCAACCGTCCTCATCAAACATAACTTCCTCACCTTCCCAAGTGTTGCTTTTCCTCTTTTTCTTTTTCATCTTTTCAGAGTCCTTTTTCTTTTTCTTCTTCTTATGCTTTTTCGGGGTATCAACTTGGTCCACCTCCATATCTGAGCCACTAGCACTTAGAACCTTTTCCTCCTTTATTTTCATTTTCACAAAATCACTATTGTCAAAATCCTCAACGTTACTTTTCCTCTTCTTTTTCTTTTGAGGCGAATCCAGTGGCTCCTTTTTTATTTTCTTTCTCTTCACCTTGATATTATCCTCCTCGTCTTTCACCTCAATTTTTACTTTAACTTCTTCTCTCTCAGTTTTCACCGGTTTGTGGAGTTCCAGAATGGTCGCCCTGATGTAAGGAATTCTGCAGTTCAGGTCAACCTTTGTGACCTGGCACGTGATTCCCTGGCCCAGGAAAGTCTGAAATCCGATCCAGTTCTCGCTCTGCTCCGTGTTTGGACAAGAGACGATGAAGGTCCCTTCGACCAAGCAACTGACGTTGTTGGCGCTCGTTTTGTTGACCACGCCTTCGAGTTTGCAGCCAACGTAGGGCCGGAAGACTTCAAAGTCGGCCTCCACGCTGAGCATGATCAAACTCTCCTCGCCTGTAATGGTTCCGTCGACGCTAAGCAACTTGACGTTTTTGTGTTGCCGAACAATTCCTCCGAGGTCTGCTTCGTACCGGTTGATTGTTGCGTCCATCGCATCTTTTACTCCTTGCTGAATTCTACCAAGGTAGTGGGGCAGCAAGTACAGCTCTTTTTGCCGGTGAACCCAGCAGCGCACTTCAACCTCGGCAGGTTCGCGGATTCCGTCTTGCCGAGCTGAAATTTTAATTATTTTATTAATTCAGTAAGAATTTAAGCAGCATTGAAATTATTATCAAAGACTTAAATTTTTTTAGATACTAAGTAGACTTAAATTTGCGTAAAAAAGCAGAAAGATTTTTACCTTCCATAATGCTGCAATTAATTTTTGTTTATATTTTGACTTATATTAAATTGAATTTACAAATTTGTGGTAAATCAAAACTTAATTATTATTTTTGTGTTTTACCATTATTTTTTCAATAAAAAGCATAATAAACTGAGGAGGAAAATAAATAATGTTTTAATTTACAAAATTTATCTTTCTTTAAGTCTTAATTAATTATTTTTGTATTCATTATGCTTTCGTTCCTATTCCTAGATTCCTACCCATTTAAAACTCAAATGTCCTGGAGCTTGCAGTGAGTGAGAGAAGGTTAGCTGCCACTCTATGCACTTTGAAGAAACACTCGGAGCCGGAAAACTCCGAGACCATTACCAGAGCACTGCGCACTTTGATGAAACTGTCCGACGGACACCTGAGGATGGCCCTGTTCGTGGCAGGGTTGAACTTGAGTACGTCTACCTTAATAGCTCCTCCCGCCTGCAATTACAAGTTTACATAAAAATCGATTTCATTAGAAAAAAATTACCTCTCCGAAGAGCTGCTTCAGGGATTTTATTATTTGGAGCTTGAGGTCGACCTCTGAGATTGAAAACGCTTTGCCCTTACTGAACGTCCTGAGAGAATTTGAAATTAGTAAGAGAAAATTATGAATTTTTATATCATACAAAGTTGCGACTATGAACCAAGACCGCGGCTGCTTGATGAACTCGACTTGAACTCTCTCGCTCAATTTCTGTGTCGTTTGCCCAAGAACGGCGGCATCTTCCATTACTCTACGGGACATAATCTTACTTAGAATGCGTGTTTAGATAAGTTTCACTTACTGCCAACCCTTATACTGAATATTAGCGCAAAACTTCACCTCCACGTGTCGAAAATTCAGAAAAAAAAACATAAACATGAGATCAAAAGACCGGAGCCCAGACAAAAGGGGGCGTGGCGGGCCAAAAGGAGATTGGAATTGAACGGTGGAGCCCTCTTGTGATCGTCGGAGGATTTAAAGCAGCTCACAAGATTTCCCGCCAAGATGAACCTGTGAAATTTAAGGCAGAACTGCCACAGCACAAAAGAAAAGCATATGTTGCACTAATTTATAGTGAATCTTACACAGAAATATATATGTTCTTTTCCTTTTCTGCTACTCATTGTTTACTTTTGAATGAGAATAAAGTTTTTTTATGCGACAATGTGTTTTATTTCTGAACAAGGCATCGATCACGACAAAAATAATATTATTGTCAATCTGTGGCCAGGAACAAGATATGTAAATATATAAACTCTGAATTAGGAACCATATTTTTAACAGTTCTTAATTCTTAACACATGAGAATTAATATACTTTGGTGTGCTCTGGGCACATTGACAAGTTTTCAGGGGTTTTGCTAGAGATACCGTGCGCAAAAATCAGGACACAGCTTTAGAGGGCTGCGACTGTGACGGTGGTCTCGTTCTCGTCGGTGATCAGGATGGCGACAGGGGTGACGTCCTCGGTCGGGGAGCTCGGCTGGCTCTCCGAGTTGCGCTTGCCGGTCTTCTTGTTGTTGCTGTTGCGGCGGCGGTAGAAGCGGCGGCCGTTGCCCTGGCCGCCCTGCTTGTTGTTGGCCGGACGCTCGGCGCTGGGCAGAGGCTCCGGCTTGAACTGGCCCTTGTACTCGGGGTCAAAGTGCATGGCGAAGACGTGCTTGAGCTCCTCGATCTCGCGGGTGTGCTCCTTGTCCATGGTGCACTTGAGCACCTCCTGGATGGCGTCCATGCCGCCCTTCTGGTAGATGTCCGACAGGATGCAGTAGTCGATGTTCGAGTGCGCAAGAAGGCGCAGCAGCATGAAGCTGCGCTGCCGGTCGTTGCGGTTGTTGCGCATCTTGGTGAACAGGGGCAGCAGCGACTCCTCGCGCTTCCGGAAGCTCACGATCTCGGACGTCTCCTTGTCCACGCCGTCCATGTTGACGGTGAACGGACGCAAGCACACTGAGACCATCTCCGGAGTCATCTTTTGATCACCTGAAAATGAGTCAAATAATAAAAAAATTTAACAAAAATAGGAAAATATTAACAAAAATTGTCTTTTTTATTTATTCAAATTTGAAATAATTTCAAAAAAAACTTATCAAATTCAAAATAAATTATACGTATTAATTTTCAAATGAAAATTTCAAACATTTGTTAAACAATAAGAGAAAAATTAATAAAATATCTGAAGGGTTTTTAATTTTCTCCACAGCTGTAGGTCAAATGTTAAGTTTAAGTCCAAAAAAATTAAAATAAATTAACCATGCAATCCTTTAGTAATGAGAGATTAAAAATTTAAATCACACTTTAAATAATTACAGGCCAAAAAACTGTTTGCTAAAAAATAATTTTTTAAATTTAATAATCATTTCAAATTTTCAAACATTCTGGCAATTTTAATCTCAATTCATGTTTTGTTTTTTTTTTTAATACAAACCTGCGCCAGCTTCGGCTTGCTCGGTCTCAAAGATGTGAGAGGTGAGGAGGTAGGCAGTCTTGGCCCTGTCGGCGAGGTTGAGTTCTTGGCCCTCGGCGGTCAGCAGGGAGGTGGCGAGGGTGCGCAGGGAGAGGGAGCGGCCGGGCTTGGCGCACTTGACCTCGGCGATGGCGTAGCTGTTGGCGAAGGCCTTGACCAGGGCGCAGAACTCGTCCCGCAGGTGCACCTTGGTGATGACGTCGAGCAGCAGCGAGCAGAAGAACTTGCGCGAGTCGTGCGCCAGCAGGATCAGCCCGTCCGAGTCGCCCTTGACCGAGCGCAGGAACTCGAGGAAGTCGAGCAATGCCATGTAGTCGGACTTTGTCTCCAGCACCTGAGAAAAAATGCAAACAATTCAGTGTGGTGGAAAATGTAAGGAATTCACTCGGCGAAAATTCCAATGATTTCTGCGGAACACATTTCGGAAATTCCAAACAAATTTGCATCGCATTTTCTAAATTAAATTATGCAATTTTGAACTAAAATAGATGAATAATTTTTGTACCTTGTTGTTCCTGACGTCCTTGAGCACCCTGTAGCGTCCGTTGGAGACGATGCGGAGGCTGTAGCGCCTGCAGGCCCCCAGGGACAGGTTGTTGTAGGGCATGATGTGCTGGGTGAAGGACTTGTCGTCGGCAGGGCTGTACGCCACGATGCTGCAAAGGTCGTCGGCCAAGCTCGACCCGGTCGTCATGATGTCGTAAGTCACCACCTTGAAATTGCCTTCGGCGGGAAGGGCGAATTTCGAGTCAGTGTTGCTGATAATTTCAGACGTCTGAAAATTCAAAATTATAAAAAAGTTTCAAATTTTGGAAAATTCTCAAAGAATTCTCGTTTTAAATAAATAAAAATGCAAACTCTTACCATGTTGATTGAGAAGATCGGGGCTAATTAAGCGAGAGGTCGAGTTCACCAACTTTCGGTGTTTCCGTTGGACGAAAGCGCAGGGACGCGTTGACCTTACGTGCCAGGTATCTCGAGAGCAAAGAGACCGTTGACCACGCGACAACAATCGAGCAAACCTCGGTGCCAAAGTCACCCCCCTCCGCCCACTTATCACGTCCTCCACTTCCTTCCTTGCTCTTTTCTCCTCCCTCCGTGCCCGATTTGCTGTCGATGAGTCACAATCATTGAATCATTTGCGGAATTTTCTATGGATTTCGCAACATATACAATCGAAATTCGAAAAGATCAAATTCTTGAATTCCACACTGCACCGTTGCCGTTTTGTCAGTTTTGTGCTGGACTCGCCAGTGTTGCCGCTTCTTTTGTTCGCAACGAAATGCAAAATCTCGCGCTGTGCTTGAAGAAGGCCAAAAAATTATAGAATAATCTAATAATTATTGCACTGTTCAATACTCTTTTATCATGATTAATGTTCTTAACTAATTAACAAATTAAAGATATTATCGAGGAATGTAACTGTTTGAAATCAATAATTTGTGTTATAAGCGAGAAATTGATTTAAAAATTATTTGTTTGATAATTTTTTTTAATTTCGATTTAAATTTTCCGCTTTTTTTATTATCTAATATATCAAACATTATTTTAGTATTATCTCCCGCATAATAAATAAAAAATCTCTAAAAAAAGTTTTGATGGTACTTTTCAATAAAATTTTAAACACAAAATTTTATAATCTATAGCTTTTCATGAATTTTTATCTTTTTGCGTCACCTCGTCACAATTCACGCTCATTTTGGAGAAGAAAAAAAATGATTTAGTTTGCAGCGCTGACCGCATAATTACAAAAAATAATAAATTTATTTATTGGAAGGAAGTGTTGAAGTGATAAATGAAAAAGGGTATTCCTTGATATATTCTAAATTATTTAAAAGAACCAAAAAATAAAGATTAAGAAAATTTTAGTATATTTATGATCTCAACTTTTTACTTGGAGCCAATGGAAAAATATAAATTTCTAACATACAGCATTAATAACCTAATTGAATCAGACTATAGGATTGTAATTTTAAATAATTCTACTAAGTTTTTGTAATTTAGTTTGCAGACTCACCTTTTCAGGATCTTCAAATTTTCATGTTCCATTATTAATTTTTAAAGATCGCAATAAAATTAGCAAGATATTCATCTAAGATTTTAATTGATCGAGGATGTTGGAAATGCAATGGTTGTTTTTTTAGCACATTTTTATGTACAGCTAATTTAGACAGGCATCCGATGATCAGTGTGATTTTCTACCAAGGAGAATCAATATTATGGGGCAATCTTGGCGGAGAATCTCGTCCACAACTCGCACAATCACAAAATGTAAAATTGCTACAATTACGTCAGTATATTAGTGATTGTAAAACAAAAATTAGATTTGATTATCAAACAGGGTTAAGGGACAAATAATTTATTTTTTTCTAAATTTGACATCACTTTAAATAATCAAATTTTTACAGAGTTTGCTTAAACGATAACAATAATCAAAAGATTATTTTCATAATAATTTGAATTTAAAAAAAATGTTCTGCAGTTAAAAATGTATCAATGAAGATGAAATAAAATTCAGTAAATTTAATAACCAAACCCCCCTGAAAATTAACAATATTACTTAAAAAAAATCTGGATGGTTTTGCCAAGCATAAAGAGTAGTTTTGTTTTCCAGCTCATTAAGCATTTTGTCAAATCTCTCAAATGCGGCATCTTTTGCTGTTGCGATTCTCGAAATGTAGACAATTCTATTAATCCCAGACACGCAGATGAACCGCAAGCTCTGATTCCGCAGCCGAATTTTTGTGATCAAATAAAATTACAGACTGCATCAGCGAACATTTAATATGAATTTTTATTTTCAATGCATTTGCAAAGGCTTTTTGAAATTCTTTTGATCATGATGCGCCCCATTGAGTGTTTTGTTATTAAAAAAGATATGTTTCATTACCAACCAAATTATTCTAGTAGAAATATGTCGAGTAGGGAAGAAATTAATACCGGTTCAACCACTTTTTCACTTTCCGGTGTGGGTCAAATGGGCAAAGGTATATGGGCAAATGAATGGGCAAAACAAACAGTGCCTGCAGGGCCTTCAGTGCCTACAATGCCTTTAATTAAATAAAGCATTATTTACAAAACATTGAATTTACTTTTTTTTAAATTGTTTGTCTTATTAATTTATTATTTGGGTCTACAATATTAAAGATATCTTTGTGTCCTTTTGTTTCACATGTGCTGCAAGTTGCAATTAAATCTAGTGAGAAGAAATAATCTATCCTTCATAATCAATAAGTTTTACGGAAATGTAATAGTAGGCGTTTCTTTGATGAAACATAATGATTAGCAATATAGTAAATTTTAGCCAGTTTTTATCGAGTAATAATATTTGCATAAAATTACATGGTTTTTATTTGATAATTTTGAAGGTCTGCGAGAATCGACTAGATTTTGCAAGTGTCGTTTGTACAAATTGATGTGGCGTGTGGATGGAAATCTCTGTGAGCGTCCGTTGAGAGCCCACGCGAGTGTTGGGCTCGTCCTTGCCCTGCCCTAGCGTGGGCCATCGCAGAAGCATCCACGCAAAATCCGAAGGCCCAATGCCCCATATCATTGCGTAAGACTCGAGTTAATGCTATGCAAAAACTAGTCAACGCCGACAACGCCTTCCGTCAACAAAATTATTGAGCTCGGTTTCTTTTGTTTCCTATATTGAGCCATTCATTATCATTAAAAATAAATTATATGATTGTGACGAAAACTTTACGGACCAAAGAAAGTTATGACGTTTTTATTTTCAAATGTAAATTACGACTCGGAAATTTGTTTTTTCGAAATGAGCCGGCCTCAATTTTATTAGATAAACAGATTCATTTTTACTGGTGTTACACAAACTAAATTTATTGCCTCTCTGTTGTAAAAAGTCTGTCTACGCCAACCTAGCACAACAAGTCTAAGGCACGTGTAAATTCTTTGGTCAAAGCGCGAGTCGCGGCTGATCAAATAAAGTCGTTCGTCCACTTCATTCCTCACTCGGAATGTCAATGGCCCTTACAGAGGAAAACGCATCGGCCAAATGTCACAGCAGAGACGTGAAATGCCCGCGGGCTTGTTTTTAGTCTCTCTGTTATTAAAAAGAATTTATACTACTTTGACTGGTGTGTTATTAAATGCGGATCATGTTGCTTCGTCTTTGACGTGCAACAATTATTGCATTACTCGAACCTGTTGCATTTAAAACCCACGTGGTGGAATTCAGCGAACATAAAAGTAGTGCAGAATGCATGCAGGAATTGAAAATATTAATCTCTCTGATTTTGTAAACAATATTTTCAAAAATAAAATTATTATTTTGAAAATTAATGAATTTGAAATTGTAATAGTTTTGGATTTTAGAATTATTCATTCTTTTAATACTTACCATACATCGGTATTTACAGTTAAGTAAAAACATCACTTTCCACTATTTTCAATTTATTTAAAATAATTCTTCATTATTAACAGAAATCGACAATAATTAAAACGTATAAACCAGGTATAAACAAAAAGATTACAAATTTGTTTGTATAATATTGCATAATTTTACTGTGAAATAATTTCGTCAGTCCATGAACCCCACCCAAGCAAAATTTATATCCTGAAACTGAATAAAGAAATTGTAATTTATATTGCGAATTAATTTCAATTTAATGGCGTGCTTGTAAACCGGACACTTAAAATAATTGAATGTATTTCATTTCAAGTTTTCCCACCGAGAAACCAAAGAGATTAATCTTGAGCGATTACTCAACAGTGGGTTCGTGGAGGCGAAATTATTGAAATTTATCTGTTGCAAAAATGATCGTTCGGGGGCTCGTCGGCGGCGACTTGAATGCGCGGAAATGGCGCGACGAGCCAAATCGGTAATGAGAGTGTGAGGCGAAATAGATCATCTGACTGAGAGCACAAGAGGTGTAGGAGAGAAGATCATGCAACCTTCAGCCGCGAACTTCCTAAAGCGGATGGCCCAAGGTGTCGCGTGGGCTGGACCGAGCTGGGGAGGCGACTGCCCAGAGAGTCGGACCACAGACCAGCTCCAGCAGCAGTCATGGTAACAATCACTCTCGCTTTCAACTCTATTTTCAATTATCAAGTCAATCAGATCGATAAAATCAGAGACAAATTGAAGGATTGATTTGTCTAAATCAATTAAATTGTCTAATTTTCTCAATCAATTAATTAAATGATTTTATTATAATAATTTATTATTGAAATAACTCTAAATTTCAGATAAGATTGATAGCAGTAAGTCTGCTGGTGGGCCTTGCCCTGGGGAAGCCGCAGACCGACCCCTGCCACCCCAGCCCTTGCGGACCATTCACCACTTGTTCCGTCGGCGGAAACGGAGCGGCCGTGTGTCGCTGCCTGTCCGGATACTTCCCTCAACCCAACACCATTGTTGGATGTGGAGCTCAGTGTGTCAAGTTAGTAATGATTTTAATTATATTTGTAACTTTTTATTTTTAGTTTTGCAATTATAATAATTAATTTTGAATTATGAACCAAATCATTTTAATAGAGCGATATTTTTATTTAATAACAAAAAAGTTATCATTATAAATAAATGCGGCGTTGTGAAAATAATACCAAATTATATTATTTAATGTTCTTTCTATGAATTTATGAGTTTTTCGCTGATTAGAAAGAACGCCAAAAACGTAACTAAAACGCTCTGTTTTATTCTTTTAGAATATTTTTCTATAATAATTTGCTATCTTTTCCTAATTAATTTCAATTTTATCTCTATTTCACTGCAAAATTGCAGGGTTTATGGCAAAAATATTTAAAAATATCAAATTTATTAGGCAATTTCAGTTAATCAAAAGGATAATTTTAAATAATTTACCAACATCTATGTAAAACTGTTTTTTTTTTTAATTTTTGGTGGATTGATTGCGACACTAATTATTACAAAAATTTGATTTTTTAGTGCCCAGGATTGTGCCCATGACCAGCAGTGCAAGCAGGGAAAGTGCGTCAACTCCTGCGCGGACTCACCTTGCGGCCACGGTGCCGAGTGCCGCGCTCAGAGTCACAGGGCCGTCTGCAGCTGTCCTCACAACTTTGTGAGTAATACATTTTTTTTCGCAAACCACTTCATTATTTCACTCGCGCTAAAAATAACGGCAAATATCTCGTAACTGGTCGAGCGTAAATAACCATAATGGGAGATCTGAGTAAATATTGCGAGAAATCAAGTTCATTCAGTCAGAAATGGAAACGTGAGACATTTCAATGAATTGGTCAATTCAAATTAAATTGCTTGTTTATTTCAAGATACGCGATTAAAAATTAATTTATTCTAGCATGATTTTTTTCAATTTTTTAAAGACACAATTGACCAACTTTTACTGTGTAGAAAACACTGCAAAGTTGAATTTTATTACATTTTTAAGTTTAATTTATCACTTAAAACAGTTTGTCTTGAAATCGATCATTTTTTATAATAAATTATGTTGGAAGATTTTAATTTTGTCTTATTTAATTCTGATTTCATTTAAAAATTACTCTTTTATTATTAATTTATCCCTCAAATATTATTTTCAGATTTGTTTCCTTTTTTTAAGGTGCAAAAATTTCATTTGTCCTAAAAATGCTAAATTAATAAATTTAATGCCTAAAATATTTTATTAATTTATTTGTTAATTTTTATGCTAAAACATTTTTTTTTAAGGTTGGTGACCCACTTGTGTCGTGTCGCGCGAAGCCCGAGGAGCGGATCGTGGTGCAGCGCATCGAGGTGGACCCGTGTCTGCAGCGGAGCGCGTGCGGCGCGAACGCCGAGTGCCGCAACGTGGGCGGCCGTCCGGTGTGTTCGTGTCTGCCGGGACACGCGGGCGACCCGTACAGCCAGTGTCGCAGGGGCGAGTGCGCCAGCGACGACGAGTGCCCCTCGAACCGCGCCTGCCGCAACTACCGCTGCGTCAGCCCCTGCGAGGGCTCGTGCGGCACCAACGCCGACTGCGAGGTCCGCGCCAGGGTCGCCGTCTGCAGGTGCCTCTCCGGCTACGTTGGCGACCCCTTCACCTCCTGCCGCAGATACAACCCCAGTAAGTCCAAATTCAATAAAATTTCTTAATCATTTTGATTAAATTTTTATATTTGTATAAAAAGAGGCGAGAAACTCTGCTTATTCTTATTTTATTAAAAAAAGGAAGGGAAATGAAATGATTAATCAAATTTGAATTCACCATTTTTAAATATTTTATTTTCGAAAATTCATAATTATTTGATATTTAATAATTCTTGTTAGAAAAATGTGATTTTATTGACAAATCAGATACGTAATTTTAGAGGTTTTATTTCCACGGCTGATCAATATGAAAATATGAATTTAAAAATTGCTGTTTTTGTAACAATTTCTGTATCAAATTTCATTTTTTTTAGACGAGCTTTGCGAGCCGAGTCCCTGCGGTCACAACACGGACTGCCGCGTGCAGAACGAGCGTCCCGTTTGCACATGCAAGCCGACCTTCCAGGGCAACCCCCTGAGCGGGTGCAGACACGAGTGCGAGTCGGACTACGAGTGCGCAGCCTCACAAAGCTGCCGCGACTTCCGTTGCCAGAGCGCGTGCGCAGCTGGCGCGTGCGGCGAGGGCGCCATCTGCGAGGCCGTCAACCACCGCGCCTCGTGCAAGTGCCCCCAGCACTACCTGGGCAACCCCAGCACCCGCTGCTACCCCGAGTGCACGCAGCAGAGCGAGTGCCCCAACCACCAGGCGTGCGTCAACCTGCGCTGCGTCGACCCCTGCGCAGGCGCGTGCGGAATCGGCGCCGACTGCAGGGCTACCAACCACAAGGCCGTCTGCTCCTGCCCCAAGACCATGACCGGAGATCCCTTCGTCAGGTGCAGACCCTTCGAAAAGGGTGAGAACAAAATTACAACTCAGCAATTCTTAGTCACTTTATTAAAATAATTTATGTGTTTTGGTGTTCGGAAATAGTTTAAATCAAAATTTATAATAGTCTCGGCACATTTTATGTTAAATTTAATCATATTCCTCTTCAAATTTTATTGCACGTGGTGAAAAAATGTTCATTCAAGTAGCTCAAATTAGCTTAAGTCTCATTGAATAGCACTAATTGTTTAATAAGTTCCTTGATTTTTAATTATACTCCAATTTAAATAGTTTGAATTAATTCCATTTTTAGCCGCTCCTACAATTTATATTTACATGATAACAAATAAAGTGTTTATTTTTATTTATTTCAGTATACTTTAATTCATTTTTAATTATTAAAAAATTTAAGATTCAGTTCAAATAGAATAAAGAATAATTATTATTTACCCGAAATCTCAACTGTTATTCACATTTACTTGGAGAGTTAAATTAAATGTATCCATAATATCGTTTTTATTGAAAGTAAATAAATATTCTAGATATTTTGTTATGAACTTAGAAAAAATTGAAAAAAAAAATAGATTATTCATGCATTTTCCATTGGAATGAATTGAATTTAGACAATTTTTTAATTTTTGTCAAATTCATTTTGATATTTTCAACACTTTTTCTGCTTTAATTCTTGTTTACAGCTTAAATTTCTTGCTTTCTTTTGATTTATAATTTCATTTCAAGAAATATTAATTTGACTTTTCATTTCAGTTGACCTTTGCCAGCCGAACCCTTGCGGCACGGACGCGCGGTGCGTGCCCGGGCACGACAACAGCGGCCGCGAGCGCCCCGTGTGCACGTGTCCGACGGGCTACATCGGCGACCCCCTGCACCACTGCCGCCGCGGCGAGTGCATCACCTCGGAGGAGTGCGCGTCCAACAGGGCGTGCTTCGACAACACGTGCCAAAACCCGTGCACGCGCCTCTCGTGCGGCTCCAACGCCAACTGCGAGGTCCGCAACCGCGTCGCCGTCTGCAGCTGCCCCGCCGGCTACTCGGGCGACCCCCTGCACAACTGCTACGCCAACCCCCAGCGGGCCACCTCCGCCAGGTACGTCTACACCAAGTAGAAGAAGAACTGAAGCACCAGATGAAGAAAATAAATGAATGAATCGGGGAATTTTCGGAATTGTAACTTCGGGTCAAAATTTTGGTGTCGGATTGATCTTTTTTCTAGATGCAGCAATTGCGCGTTGAATTATGTTCCTTTTTCCCGAGAGCGGTTTTTTGCTCTCAAAGATTTTTAATTAATAAAGCGCACAAAAACCAATGTGAAGTTTTTTTTATTAAGATTTTATCCTGCATGTTATTAAAATAATGCTAAAAGCACTTCAATAAGGACCTATTTTTTCAATGAGGTGAAAGAGAATAAAAAACGTTGTCATGAAAATACATTTCATTTCCTTGCGACCAACTTTTCAAATTAAATTAATTTTTGAAAGCGCAGAAGCCAATTTAAAACACATCAGCATTGAGTCAATTTTCTTTTATTGTCTAAAATAAATGTGTAATGAAATAAATCTTAAAAAAAAATTTAAATGAACTTAATGATTTGAAGAATAATACAATTTAATCATTGCACAACACAAAAATTGATTATTAAATAATTAAAAACATTTAAAAATACATTAAAAATATAAATTTTAATAATGAATATTTACCACTTTGATGGCAGAATATGGTACTAATTTTAATGAATTTAAATTGGTTTTATTAATATTTTTTAATATTTAATATGGTTTTTTTCTATTTTCTACCTGTTTCGAACACTTATAAAGAGTCTCTCGGTCGTAATTTCACCCAAGATTATGAAGATCCCTCGTATTATGATGTTTGCACTCACATACTGAAAATAAACATTAATATAAAAATAATTCAACTTTGAAGCAATATATTTAATAAGAGTTTTTTCCCATTTAATTAGTTGCGGTTTTATAGTTCTTGAGTTTAGATATCCAAGAAATTAATTGTTATGCGAGTGCTTTTTAATTACTGGTTCATGATGCAGTAAAAAAATTAAATAAAACTGTGGATTATCTTTTATCCGCTCAAACAGGTCTTGTTTTGCCTCAATATTATGTTTCAGTCAGAACGGTCGCTCTATATTTTGGTGATTAAGCAGATTAACAAGTAATATGGAAAGTTGATCGGGTCAGTTATTTTTATACAAACATAAAACTCCGCCTCTTCTTTTAAATTACTTTCGTAAATAAAATCAGGATTCAATCAAAGGCTGCAAATTATATAGAGCGCCTCAAACCCGTGATTAAAAGCTACAAGATGATGAGATTCAGCTTTTTGATTATACATGAAATTTGTTATTTTTGTAATTATTTTATCTCATTCGAAATATGTAGGGCTTTCCAATTTAAGGCATATTAAAAATTCAAGATGTAGAAATATTTAATAAATCGCATATAATATTAAATAAGTTTTTTTCTTTAAAGAATAAATAAAAATTCCATTAGATGGCACAGTCACGTCATTTTATTTCCATTAGTCATGAGTGATGACTCTTGTAATCGCCTTTGCTTAGCATTTGTTTCACATAAGAATGCATTACATGCTCGGCAACACCAAAAAATCTGCATTAATTGGCCATTCCGAATAGCCCTAACAAAACTGAACTCGCTTTTCGCTGCGGTGTATATCCTTTCGTAAGCTATAATTAAAATGCGAAACCTCCACAAACTGCGATTTAAGAAAAGGCAGGTGCTCTCATCTCTGGTCTCAGAACAGCTTTGGAACCAACCATGGTAAGACCGAATTTTCGCTCTGCTCATTTTTAATGTAAAAATTATATAAAAATTTCCAGTTGAAAATAATACTGGCGTGTTTCGTTGCGGGCCTGTGCGTTTTGGCAGCGCAAGGGCAAGGCCAGTCGTGCATCATCAGCGTCGACTGTCCCAGCTTCCTTTCGTGCGTCAACGAACGCTGCGTCAACCCTTGCGTGGGCGCGTGCGGTGCCGGCGCCGGTTGCAACACAATCAATCACAACCCGGTCTGCAAGTGCCCTGGCGGATACACCGGCAACCCTTTCGTCCAGTGCTCGCCTCTGGGATGTGAGTCTGTCTTTTCAAAACTTGCAAAAATATTGATAATACAGCGAAATTTAATTAAATATCTTGACTTAAATTACTCGTTCTTTTTTCAGAAATCAAAATTAAGAACCTCTCTGATCGTCTGCAAAGAATGTGTTTACTTTCTGAATTCATCTGTGCAGTATAAATTAATAAAGATTAAGAGAACAAAAGTTAATTATTTACCAGATTATTTTCAATTTAATTATATAAACCATAATAAAAATCTATCATAGACTTCAATTAATAAATTAAAAATATTTTAAACAGACGAATTGAAAAAAGTTAAAATAATTACATTCCAAAGATAAAAGGTAGCTTTAATTTATAAAACACTCAGTAAATAATTATTTTTATGTAGGATTTTAATTTTTATTATGACGTATAATAAACAATAATTGAATATGGATGAGACCTCATATTATTAAAACATTTTCATGGTTCTTAGCGAGTGAATAACTCGCAAAGCATTTTATTTTTTGCATTAAATTACCATTATGAAAAACAGGAATTTAATCCGCTTTGACCGTGTCGAGGAGCTAAAATTAATGCGAAAATTTTAATCTCATCCTCGACCTCCACAAAGTTGTTTGGTGCGTGAAAAACGACTTGAGGTGGCAGGTGCGCAAAGTCGATCTCGGCAGACCAGCGATGGAACCAACCATGGTAAGACCGGCGTTTTTTATGCTCTCGTCAGATTTTTTATTCTCTTTGAAATGTTCTTTCATTTTATGCTCAAAAAGGAAAGGTGTTGAAATTAGTGAATTTCCAGACAATATTTTAACTTGCATGCTTTATATCATGTTGATCCAATATTTATTTATTAGTTTATTATTCTTCAATATTTATTTTCAAATCCTAACGCTCTTGTTGAAATTTTTAATTTTGAGGAAATATGACGTTTTAATTGAAAATTTAGGATTTCCAGGTGATTAAAAAACTGACAGACATAACAAATTCTGCTGGAATTAGAGAAAAATAATAATTAAAATATTAAAAAAAGCTTATACAAGTTAAAAATAATAATAAAATTATTTTTAATTCATCAAAATTAGTTCAATTTTTCCCGTCATTGGTCATTAACGATTATTTAAATATCATTCATAATATATTTTAAAATATTTCAAATCCTTTCAGGGACCTTATTTTTTATATTGCTCAGACCTGCCACTAAATGATCGCGATATCAATTTCATGCTCTTGAGGCTCTTTTGTAAGCTCAAAACTATAAAAAGTATATAGAGCTTGTTCCTTATCTAATTAATAAGAAATTTTAATACAATAGAAACTTAAAAGCTGTTATTATTTAAGCAGCTGAACGTTTTTGACTCTCATATTTAAATGAAAGTATTTTTCCAGAGTAGATTCGTGCTTGCGTGCCTTTGTCTTGTGGGCGTTTGTGCGTCCGTCGTTGAGAGCCAATGCATCATCAACAACGACTGTCCCAACACCTTGGCCTGCATCAACGATCGCTGCGCCAACCCTTGCGTCGGCGTGTGTGGCGTTGGTGCCCTTTGCAACACCGTCGACCACAAACCCATTTGCTCGTGTCCTCCTGGCCGCACCGGCAACCCATTCGTTCAGTGTTAAGAAAATAAAATAGCAAGATGTGAGCTACATTTTGGCATTTTGTATTGAAATAAAATTCAATTTTTATTAACAAAACATTCGGACTATTTGTTTTTGTAATTTCTTCACAGAAACAAGTCCGTAATAAATGATTCCATGCACATATTTTTAATCAGCTGAAGTTCCTTCAATAAATATAATTTCTTGTCCTCATCACAAAGGACATGAGCCAAATAAATTACTAATTTACTTTCAATCAAACAAAATTACATGAAAAAGAATTTTGACACTTAACATTTGTTTTAATTATTGAAACAATATAAAATTAAAAAAGCTGTCAATTTAAATCAAATTTGAAATTTACAACTTTGAAAATTTAATATTCCAAATAAAAAAGTCTGATAGCATTTTATTTGTTAATTTGGCCTTGGTTGTCTGAGTTAAATATTGAAGAAATGTTATATAATATAGCAAACTCATCATGAACGTGTAGGACAAGTTTTTGCAAAGTAAAAAAAGCGTTGGATTAAATTAAAGTATGCGACCTTCAACTTCATGGCGTCGTAAAAACAAGAAAAAAGAAAAAAATTAATATAAATAACCTGGTGCCTGATGCTCTTTGGCCAGTTCCACTCAGAGATCAGCCATGGTAAGAAGTGCTGAAGAGCACTAACAATATATTCGGCGCTTACAACTTTACGCCTTATTTTGTACAGGCCAATTGATTTTATTTAAAAACTTATCTTCTCACGATATCTTTTTGTGTTTTAATTTCAATTTTTTTAATAACGTTTTTTTTGTCCACTAGTTGAAAAATATGCTTGCAATTTTTCTGCTCGCACATTTCTGCACTGCAGCTCCAAACGAGAAGCAGCGCGAGTGTATCTTAAACCAGGATTGCCCACCAACACTTGCCTGCATCAGAGAGAAATGTTCGAATCCGTGTCTCGGCGTTTGCGGTGACAATGCAACGTGCATTGTTGAGAACCATAACCCAATCTGTTCTTGCGGCGAAGGAACGACCGGCGATCCCTTCCTTTCTTGCAATCTAGTCCCCAAACCAGCTGAACCAGACAGCGAACTAGCAATCAATCAGCGAGGTAATTAGTAATAATATTAAAATGAAAGAGTTTGGCGTTTAAGCATGCATTTTTTAATTTTTTAATTATAAACTTTATTTTATAACATTTGAATTCCAATCTTAAAATGCAAAGTTGTTAATGCTGTTTTTGTAAATTTATTAAAATTGAATTTTTATTCATTATAAAGTTAATTTATATTTTCCATTCATAGGGAAACGATCTTCCTTCTACAACCCGTGTGAACCCAGTCCTTGCGGTGAAAATGCTTCCTGCTCGATTTATGAAGGGAACAACCCAGTTTGCACGTGTTTGTCTGGTTTCGACTGGAAGTCCACCTTCTTGCAGAGAAAAATAATGCTTGAAGCTCTTCAATATGAAACACTTATGTATTTTATTTCAAAAAATGGTGTAACGAGGTGAAAGAATAATAAAAACGCAGAGGCGAAAATAAATTTAATAATTATGCTTGCTTTAGGACTTTTATTTCAATTTTGAGAGCGCAGATTATATTTAAAATTTAATTTCATAACATAACCTAAAAATTATTTAATAATGATTTAATAACACTTAAGATAAATTTAAATTAATAAATTTTAATAATTGGAACGGCAAAAAATGGAAATAATTTTTAAATGAATTTAAACTTTTTTATTTATATTGTGAAAATGCCGTTTCATACAGTTTTCTATAAACATATTTTAGCGATTCTGCAGATTCTCACCAAATGCAGCGCAAAAATAAAATAAATATAAATAAGTAAATTGATAAAAAGTTATTTTTCCCCGTTTAAATTGAGATTTTCTACAAATTTTGCTAGTTTCGCGTGTCCTCTCGAGGATGTCGCTGGAACCACTGACGGGGTGTAAAGTATGCACTGCCATCTGCAGCCGAGTGGTGCGGGTTGCAGCACCGCCTCTTCGCAGGGGTTAGACTCCGTCGGCTCAGCACAAGGGCGCACACACAGTTGAGTGGCTCTTGTAAGGGGTGCACGAGCATCCCTCTCGAGAAAAACTATCCGGAAAACACGCGACGGATCAAACACACCGTCGAACAAAACTTTTGACGAGGAAAAATGAAATGAAAAAAATAAAGAGAAAAAAAAATGCAAAATGCGAGCTTTTGTCATTCTCAAAATCATCGACAGCTTCGGCAAAAGAATCAGTTGAGCGTGCGGGATGCTCGAGCGAACAATAGGAATGATAATTAAAATGCCGCCGGGGGCCTATTCACATCTCATTAGATTTCAATTTGCCGCGCATTGTGCGGAATCGCGTTTTCCAGATCGCTCGCGCCAGAAATAACAACACCGACCGAGACCTTCCCCGGAGAGAGGCTTAAGCAGGATCAGCGAAAATTAAAATGCATTCACCGGCAGGTATAATCAAATTTCGTCATTTCCAGCAGGCGCGACGTAAAAAAAAGAGGGACGGCAAAAGCATAAATAAATATGCAAAAGGGGAAGAAATCTTTCCTCGCCAGGTTGAAAAATTGACTCGGCATACAAAAGAGTAAACAGACTCAAAGGTGAATCATTTTTCAATAATAAATTTCCCCCGGGGGATGAGAGCTCCGCACTGTAAATATGATTTTAAACGCGCCGACAAACTCCTTTCGATTTGCAAAGGTGGAAGAAAGGGACGAAAAATAACACCGAAGAGAGGATCAAAAGTGCGGTGCTGCACCGACGGTGTGGAGAGAACGAACGCTGTGTGCGATGTTTAAATGCATGACCGACCATTGCCGACCAATAACTTCAAAGAGCAGCCCTTAAATTTGCGCTGCAGGCAACGTGAAGCGCGCGCGCGTCCGACCGACGCTCGCTGCAGCTTTGCAAGTTGAAATGGAAAAAGTTTAAAGACGGCCGGCAAAGCCCTAATCTTATTTTTTATTTGTACTTTGAAGTTAACTTGTACTTTGACTGACGAGAAATTTTAATTTAATTTCCTGGGCAACTTTGAAAGTTTTGTAGGAAAAATTTGTGCTACTTATTGCCAAAATTTGTAATTAGTGAGCGGAAAATCTTCACTTCAAAATCAGGAGTCGGTTTTCAATATTTACTATTTATGAAAGACAATTTTGAAGATTCATTCCGCGCCACCTTAGAAACAAGTGATACAGCAGTTTTATATATTTAAATAAGTAATATTTTGATTATTAAAAAAATAAATAATTTGATTCACACTTCCCTAAATACACAAAAATTAGAATTGAAATAATTTAAAACATTTAAAATAATAATAAAACTATAAAATTAATATATCTTTATTATTAAATAAAAAAACACCAATAGCTCAAGATGGTAATAAATTTGAACGAATTTAAAACAAATTATGTTATATTAATTAAAATGTTTATCATTGCTTATTATTTATGCAGTTTTTATGCTGTATTTTAGAATATGTATTTTTAAGCATACACCATTTGAAGAGAATCTTGATATCAAATATCAAAATTGAACAAATTGTATGAACAAATTGAAAATAATATAGAGCACTGTTAAATGTCCATGTAAGCACTAAAAGCTTCTAATTTGAAGCAATTAGTCTGATAAACACCAGCCGATAATTTCTTCGGAAATTGGCTGGACTTGTAATGAAATAATAAATAAATATCTTTCAATAAAAAAAAAAAAATATAACAATTATAATGAAAATTTTGCTGAAAAGAGGATGAATGTGAAATCAAGAAAGCGATAATTTGAATGTGGAACTTTGAAATATTTCTGAGTAGCCTGGTTAATATTTTTCACTTGTAAAGAAACGGATTTGGAAGGAAAATCTCCAACGGAAACTTTAGCTGTTCTCAGCAGAGGTGGTGAAGAAAGAAAGCTTCTCTGCCGGCGCTGCATGCCGCGGATCGCCGTTTTTTGCCTCGCCCTAGGGTTGCCGGCACGCACAGCCTTATTTATTGCTCAACAAGTAAGCCCATTTATATCAACTTTTAATTTGGAAGTGACTTTTAATTACAGCCCGGCCCAGGCAAAAAATCTTAATTTATTGTCACTTTCTAATTAATTTGAATTGGTTGCTTCGTGTTCCCCTATTTTACTTACTTGGAAGCTCAAGCTTTTCCTTCTAAATTTCCTCCTCTTATGTAATAAATTCAATTTTCTTTATATAAAAAAAAGGTGAATGAATGAGAGGTTTGACAAGTAAAACCAAATTATCAATTAATATTTAATATACTTGTAGAGAATATTCTAGAAAACAATTCGTTGGAAAAACAATTTTTAACCAAAATTCGCGCCTAAAATAAATTTTTGAGACAAAAAGAGACTTGATATCACATTAAATATTTCGGCAAAAGAAATTAAAGAAATTATAAAATGAAAAGTATTTCTATTAAAAAAAATATCGTTACTTCATGCCTAAAATACATTAATTCAAAATTGAAGTGTAGTTGTGCTCGTGCAAAATGTGCGTCGCCCAGAAGCTTTGGCTAAGCCGCTCAGGGCCGTGTACATATGTTTTGTTTAATTCAATTTTGCGTTAAAAGCCGGAGCGGCCGTGTGTGTGGATGAGAGGCGCATGCAAAGCAAAGACAAGGCCCGAAATCCTTTCATGCCCTTGCCTATTATGTGGCTGCTTTATCTGAGACAAGTCTTAAATGGATTCTGTCCACTCCGAAAAGATTGATGGTTGGCGGTGGGTGCAGCGAGTACGCAACCTTCTCTCTCTCATATTCACATGATACAGACCCTTCTCGTGTAATTTATTTCCGTCTCTTTCCATGTGGATTCGGCGCGCGCATTATTAATCCGCCGCGTGCGCTAATAACTCGTTCGTCGCGCGTTTCGTACATAAATGCGAGAGACGGACAGCTTTTCAACCCTTTTCACTGCGACACTCGCACTTAATTGTTCGTGATGATATTTAATTTGCTCAAGTGGAAACACGTTGGTCAATGCAGATTTCCTAGTGATTACGTCGTCAGACCTCTTGCAAATAACCTTTGGAAATGTTTCTGTGAAATGGCAGAGTTGAGAGATTATAATTATTTCATGAAAACGAGCTTTTGAAAAACCCAATTTTACATCATTGATTAAATTAATCTGTTTATTTCTGGAATTTTCAGCAAAATTATTACCCTGAAAAATAGCTATAAAACATTGAATCGGCATTATGTTAATAAAAACTTAATTGAAAATCAACTGGTATTGAATCCGACTGCAAGAGTTTTATTATATTAAAGATTTTTAAAAAAATTGTTTTTAATGTATGAAAATAGTCAACTTGGAGTCGTTTGTAGTCTTTTTGTAGTGAATTTGTATTGAGGTCGGTCGCGATCGACCTCGGGCGGCCGCGATCGACCTCGGGCGGCCGCGATCGACCTCGGGCGGCCGCGATCCACCTCGGGCGGCCGCGATCCACCTCGGGCGGCCGCGATCCACCTCGGGCGGCCGCGATCCACCTCGGGCGGCCGCGATCCACCTCGGGCGGCCGCGATCCACCTCGGGCGGCCGCGATCCACCTCGGGCGGCCGCGATCGACCTCGGGCGGCCGCGATCGACCTCGGGCGGCCGCGATCGACCTCGGGCGGCCGCGATCGACCTCGGGCGGCCGCGATCCACCTCGGGCGGCCGCGATCCACCTCGGGCGGCCGCGATCCACCTCGGGCGGCCGCGATCGACCTCGGGCGGCCGCGATCCACCTCGGGCGGCCGCGATCGACCTCGGGCGGCCGCGATCGACCTCGGGCGGCCGCGATCGACCTCGGGCGGCCGCGATCGACCTCGGGCGGCCGCGATCGACCTCGGGCGGCCGCGATCGACCTCGAAATCATTTGTAGTCGTTTTGTAGTGAATTTGTAGTCATCTTGGAGTCGTTTGTAGTCGTTTGTAGTCGTTTGTAGTGAATTTGTAGTCATCTTGGAGTCGTTTGTAGTCGTTTGTAGTGAATTTGTAGTCATCTTGGAGTCGTTTGTAGTCGTTTGTAGTCGTTTGTAGTGAATTTGTAGTCATCTTGGAGTCGTTTGTAGTCGTTTGTAGTCGTTTGTAGTGAATTTGTAGTCATCTTGGAGTCGTTTGTAGTCGTTTGTAGTCGTTTGTAGTGAATTTGTAGTCATCTTGGAGTCGTTTGTAGTCGTTTGTAGTCGTTTGTAGTGAATTTGTAGTCATCTTGGAGTCGTTTGTAGTCGTTTGTAGTCGTTTGTAGTGAATTTGTAGTCATCTTGGAGTCGTTTGTAGTCGTTTGTAGTCGTTTTGTAGTGAATTTGTAGTCATCTTGGAGTCGTTTGTAGTCGTTTGTAGTGAATTTGTAGTCATCTTGGAGTCGTTTGTAGTCGTTTGTAGTCGTTTGTAGTGAATTTGTAGTCATCTTGGAGTCGTTTGTAGTCGTTTGTAGTGAATTTGTAGTCATCTTGGAGTCGTTTGTAGTCGTTTGTAGTCGTTTGTAGTGAATTTGTAGTCATCTTGGAGTCGTTTGTAGTCGTTTGTAGTCGTTTGTAGTGAATTTGTAGTCATCTTGGAGTCGTTTGTACTATAAAGTAACTGCAAGTTGAAACGCTAGTATTCTTCTGCCTTTTTTTAGGAGTTTGTCATCTCGCTGAACCAAGTTATCGCAAGTTTATATCCTTATCAATTAAATTATTATTTTTTGCATATTTTTTGCTCTGCATATCAACCGAAGTTGGCGAAGTTATTCTATGTTTGATTTTGTTACATAAATCCAAATTAGAGTTTACATATTTACACAATTTGAAATAAATTACTCTTTTAAGAATTATTTTTTAACCTGGCTGTAAATTTATTAAAAATAATTTTGCATACGTACGAATGGGCTCCACTGTTGCGAAATGAAATTTTTGAATCGCGCGCAACAGCGACCGCAACAATAAACGAGAGGTCTGCTGGAAAACAGGGCGCTGTACTAATTAATTCTTTTGCCGGCGCGCGCCAACTTTGGCACCAAATTCAATCTAAAATGCAAAGAATATGCAAACAAACACGCAAACATGCACGTGATTAGTTGCTCTAATTGGAAAACAAATGAAGCGCTCTGGCGCCGCCGCTAATTTGCATCTGTTAACGCAATTTATGAATAAATCGATCGGCGCCTCCCTCTCGACAACAACATCAAAGCCACATTCGAAATTGCAACCGGCCGCGAATTTGGAGGAAATAAAATACATACTTCCGTTTCGGAAGTTTCTTTTCTCTTCAAAGCAAAAGAGATCCTTGTTTCTTTTGTTTGGGCGCGGCGTGTGCAGCGTGGCGAAAGGCCGGTCCTTTTCCTCCGTCCTTCGCACCTCGCTAGTTCCTTCCGTTCAGCCGAATTTACTTGAGTGAGCACACCCGGCTGGAAGGCAGGCAGGCCGGCTGTTATGACCGCCGCCGGCCAAACCAATATTACACACGGTCCGCCGTCAACTTTTGCAATAATGGTAATGGACCAAGAAAACAACACTTTTTGCCAAGCAAAGTGGTGCCAAGATGGAGAATTGATTGGACGATCGAGGGAGGCAAGTTTTACCCGAGTTGAAATTTTTCCTCACAAGCAACAGCAGATTGATTTCGTAGCAGTTCAAAATTTCATTTTCATCAGCCCAAATCATAAAATAATTGTTGACTGTTGAAGAAAGTGCTAAATTAATAAGTAAAGTTTAATAAGTTTATTATTTGAACTGGTTTTATTAATTTATTTTTTCTTTTCTGTTATAGAAATTCTAGTGCTTTCATTAAGCGTTTATAAATGATTGAGTTAAATGAAACGTAAAAAAAAACTCTTCCTTTTGTTAATAATCATCAGAATAATTTAATCAGACTAAAAAAAATTGATCGTACCTTCCACTTGTCCTAATTAGTAAAAAATAGATGAAATGAGACTCTACCTGAATAAAATTTAATCAATTCCAATGAAAAATATCAAACTCATCCAGCTGTCATTCTCTCCTTTCAAAAGTTATCTTTGAAAACAATGTGAAATTGAATTCCGCAACTTTATCTGTCTGGCGAAATCTATCCTCTGTAATAATTTCTGCGTGTTATTCTGAACCGACGAGAGAGAGAAGAGAAGTTTTATTCGGATGTGTCGAACGGAGAGAAATCTTCTTAATTGACCCGAGGGAAGAATTGGGAAGTGTCTCTGGCGCGCGAGTCCGCCTCAGGGACTTTCTTATTAATGAGCGCGAGTCATGAGATGCAAGTAGCGCTATTACCACCCAGTCACACTCACCCGCCGTTCGTTACGTGACCTGAACTCTTATAGGGGTTGCCGACTACAAATCAAACAGAGAAGGGCGCCGTTTCCTACTCCCAAAGCAAGCTCTTCTTGGCATGTGTATATTTATTCCCTGCTCCGACCGAGAGAATTTCCCAGCGTGCAAAACGAGGAGAAAAACAACTCGCTTTACGTTTGGGAAGTTTAGTTTTATTATCGTCTATTAGCATTCAATACATGTGACCAGGACAAAATATTGTTTATATATATTTATTTATTGCTCGAAAACCGTCTGGGTTCAACAAGTTTCTCTATACAAGGAGAGAGCACGTGGAAGAATTTAATTTCATTTTTCTCCCTCTCGCTTGTGTTTTTTTTTCACTTTCATTCAGCAACACTTTGCTCGCAAATAAGCACGCAATCTGCGCTCAAGTTGAGACTTTTATATTTATACATACTTAGATATTTACATACAGAAATTGCTCCTTTTGAAAAAGACATTCGCTCGAACAGCTAACGAGTTATTTTCCACGCTCACCGTTTAATCACACTCGAGCCGGAGAGTTTCTGAAAAGACGTGCGACTTCATGAAGTTCTCACTAATTTCCATATTATTTCTCTCTTGTTTTCATTAGATTAATTTGAGAATATCTGCAATTATTGTGTAAAAAGTTCTCATTTTAGTTCAATGTGAAATTCGAATTATTTTGCAGTTCAGCCGCCCTGAAAAACGCCCCTGGTGCATTAGAAAATTTTTGCAACTAATTAGAGCTTTCAGAAGTCACACGTCTCTTCTGAAAATCCCCAACTCGCTCACGCTATATAGAATTATTTCAGGGTAACAAAACAACACCGGAAAACCGATTTCCGTCCTGGCAACAAATCAGTCAACAAATGTTTTGATACAATATTTTATATGTGTGATATCATGAGCACATTAATTCCCTGTCAACAGATATATTTTCATGTGTTTTTTTTTTTATTATTTGCCTTTAAAGATTATACGCCGTTTGACCCTTTTTTTTATACAAACAAACGCCGGCGACTAATTATATAATAATGTCCATAAATTCCATTTTGCTCTCACATTGACTGCGTTCGGTTTTATTAATATGAGTCAATTAAAGATCCTGGAAATCTCAATTTAAGATCGAAAACATAAAAATTTCAATATTTAATAATCAGAAAAGTTTTAAAATGAAATAACTCCATCAATTTTGATCTGAATTAATCGCCAAAAAACAACTTTAAACTTTACTGGTTAACAAAAGATCTATCAGGATCTGAGATGTTTGGAATTTTTGATTCTATGTAATTAAGTTTCCAGAGCCTTATCGACCCTCTCACATGTCCACTTTCAAGCTCAGACCGGAGCTGCGTGGACCGAAAAGTGCTCGAGTCGAGGAGCAAAATTTTTGAATAATTTTCCGCCAAGCTCGGATCAAACGCAGCAGCCAGGTTCGCCCCCTCCACTTTCACTCGACCGCCCTATTTACATGATATAATTAATTCGCAATCAGCTCTCGCTTGTGCAGAGTCTCTCTCAGCAGTTGTGGGATTTGGCACAGACACATATGAATGGGATTTATAATTTCGTCGCACTATACGTAACTTTTGTCTATGGCGCGATCGGTCAAATGCACACGACCAGCAGCGCGAGCAGCACCGGCGGGTGCAGGAAAAAGTGCGGACTGCTCGAAGACACGCCGGCCATTTCGCCGCGCACGCTCGACTCGCCGCCGTCGTTGATCGCGTTCGACGAGTTCGCGTCTTCGTCCGTCTCGTCCGAGCCGTTGTCCAACTCCGACTCCAGGTCCAGGTCGGACTTGTCCACGTGGTTGCCCTTGAGCTGCATCTCTGCGCAAATTCAAAAACACAAAAGAAAGAAAAAAAAAATTGTAATTAATTGATGCAAATCTAAATTTTTGTAAAAAAAAAAACGACTTGATCTGGTAATTTTTCAACTGAATTTTGGGCGAATCATGTTCTTTTTCCTCTTAATAAGAATACAATTTTCCAGAAAGTCACGATTATAAAACAGTTATTAAGGTTGTGCTAAAAACTGCTTCATTCATTTTGATTTTGATGATCATTTTTAAGCTGTCATTTCCAGGTTTAAGAATTAAAACGGCAAATCAAATTAATGATTTGTACAGGATTTTATTCTATAAAATATAATTTGAATGAGCAATCAATTATCTTTAGGTTATTTAAAAAAGTGTTGGATATTTACTGATCATGAAGCATGTCGTAATTGTTGCATTATATGTTTAAATTCGCTTACCATATAATCTAATGTTGCCCTCGGCGTCACCAATCGAGTTTTTAGAGATGCATTTGTATCCGCCAATGTCCACTTTGTTGAACCTGCGGATGACGAGGCGCATCTGGACACTGTAGTACGAACTATTAAACTCGGTCATCTGGTACTTGTCGCTTGTGATGATCATCTCGCCTGCGAACGAAAAACAAAAGCAAAAATTTAACGAAAAAATCCATAAAAACAATGTTTTTTTCCTGTTATTGTTAGTCTGTATTTTATTCCAATTTCCTACTAGTAAAACCCCGTATAAAAACACTCAGTGTTTGTTCAAAATAAAGAGGTAATTGTGAGATTTGAGTGTTCTTTTGCTTGCGTCTCCATTGAAGAAAAACGTGGCCGCAATTTCAATCCTTTTTCGTGAATGTTCAATTCGCACGCATTTTCCCTCGGACATTTTTCTTCGCAAAAACGTATATAATTTATCACTTGAGAATATAATTTGATGGCTCTTGTGCCATTGCGGGGTGCATGTGAGGCGCAGGTGTTTCTATTTTTGCCAGTAATAAGAGAGAACGGAGAGCCCTAGTGTTTTAAACAGATTTTTATTATGCCCGGCCACGTCTTGTTGCCGTAAAAATCCCGCTTCATTTATTTTTGCCTGCCAGCCAGTGGCCATAAAGACGCGAACTAACGCAAGGCGACGAACAAAAAAAGTAGGCAATTCTTTTTCGCCAAGAAGTAACGGAGAGGGCGAGAGGGAGCAGCACACGACGCCACTTTTGCTGCAATTAAACGGCGTTTCCTTGATGAAAATTTAGCTTACAAGGATTCATTTAGGATATTTTTAACATGTTTAGTTTTTTAATGAATTAATCCACAAAAGTATTGAAAAGAGTTAAATTGTTGTCACAATTTAATTAAATTTGTATTTATTTTAGAAAGAAAGATCTTAAAATTTAATCATTGCTTCTATCAAATTTTTATTTAATAATTATTTTAGAAAATTCTAGAAAGAGAGCTGCATTTATACAGTCAGACGAATTGAAAAGGCTTAAAAACGATATTAAACATTAAAATAAGCCTTATCTTTAATTCATTACAATTAGTTCCATTTTTTTCCGTCCTTTTTTTTATTAAAGATTAATACTTAACATTTAAATTATAATTTTTATACCTTTTAAAATATTTTATAATAATTATTAATTGATTTATATTTCGTTTCTAACAATGAAAAATTGTATGTAGATCTGATTTTTATTGATTTTTATAAAGAAAATAATAAACAAGTAATTTAATACGAAATTATTGCAACATTTTTTACTCATTAGTGATTAGCGTTCCTTTATGAAAAAAAAAAACCAAAATAATTTTTCATTTGAAGTTTGAAAACTTTGAAAAGATTGACAATTTGGTTTTAAGTCTTTTGGATGCTAAAATTGCGCTGCCTCTTTCAAGTTGCCCTTTGAATCGCTGTGAAGTTTTCTAGCTTTTATATACAAGTGGCGTGTTGTGGTCCAAGTGGCTCAGGCACTTTGCTTCTTTGCATCCACGCGGACAAGGACAAGAAGCAGCGAGCGGGTAATTATACGCGCGTCGAGCAGTTATTCAAATTTTCCCGTCAATTGCGCAGGCAAGAGGGTGCATAGCATACACTTGAGCGAGGGATGGAGGGAGGGAGTAAATCTTGACGGCGGGTGCAGATGAAGAGTGCTCTTTTTTTTGCAAATCATTTGTCACTCGCGCGGCGCAAAGGAGCACTCGACGCAAAGGATGACACGCGCGCGCCCGAGACAAATTATTGTGCAGATTTTGAAAAGCGAAACGCGCGAGCGTGGGAAGTTGGCGCCTCGCAAGAGCAACACGCGTGTTTGCTTTCGCACCTTGTGTGATTTATTGAGCTCTGCGCCTTTCCTCTTCTCCTCGCTCACACACACACGCTGTGCCCTGCCTTGAATGCAAATACTCACACAAACTATGAAAGAAGTGCCTCGATCCATTCCATAATTTCAGTACATCCTGGTTTAAAAATACTGATTTTTTTTTTATAATATTCAAAATTACAGCCACATGAGTTTTTGCTAAAATTTTAGACACAATTAAATAAAAATAAAATTGCATCCAGTTTATAACACTAAAAATATGGCAAGGTCAAAGGTCACCGGGGTCAATGACCTTTTGTGACCTGGTCACTAAGTGCAAGACGTATTTGGATAGGTCGTCCTCCTCAGGAGCGCCAACTCCCCAGGAGCGCTAACTCCCCAGGAGCGCCAACTCCTCAGGAGCGCCAACTCCCCAGGAGCGCCAACTCCTCGGGAGCGCCAACTCCTCGGGAGCGCCAACTCCCCGGGAGCGCCAACTCCCCGGGAGCGCCAACTCCCCGGGAGCGCCAACTCCTCGGGAGCGCCAACTCCTCGGGAGCGCCAACTCCTCGGGAGCGCCAGCTCCCCAGGAGCGCCAACTCCTCAGGAGCGCCAACTTCCCAGGAGCGCCAACTCCCCAGGAGCGCCAACTCCCCAGGAGCGCCAACTCCTCAGGAGCGCCAACTCCCCAGGAGCGCCAACTCCTCGGGAGCGCCAACTCCTCGGGAGCGCCAACTCCCCAGGAGCGCCAACTCCCCGGGAGCGCCAACTCCTCGGGAGCGCCAACTCCTCAGGAGCGCCAACTCCCCAGGAGCGCCAACTCCTCAGGAGCGCCAACTCCCCAGGAGCGCCAACTCCCCAGGAGCGCCAACTCCCCAGGAGCGCCAACTCCTCAGGAGCGCCAACTCCTCAGGAGCGCCAACTCCCCAGGAGCGCCAACTCCTCGGGAGCGCCAACTCCTCGGGAGCGCCAACTCCCCGGGAGCGCCAACTCCCCGGGAGCGCCAACTCCCCGGGAGCGCCAACTCCTCGGGAGCGCCAACTCCTCGGGAGCGCCAACTCCTCGGGAGCGCCAGCTCCCCAGGAGCGCCAACTCCTCAGGAGCGCCAACTTCCCAGGAGCGCCAACTCCCCAGGAGCGCCAACTCCCCAGGAGCGCCAACTCCTCAGGAGCGCCAACTCCCCAGGAGCGCCAACTCCTCGGGAGCGCCAACTCCTCGGGAGCGCCAACTCCCCAGGAGCGCCAACTCCCCGGGAGCGCCAACTCCCCGGGAGCGCCAACTCCCCGGGAGCGCCAACTCCCCGGGAGCGCCAACTCCCCGGGAGCGCCAACTCCTCGGGAGCGCCAACTCCCCGGGAGCGCCAACTCCCCGGGAGCGCCAACTCCCCGGGAGCGCCAACTCCTCGGGAGCGCCAACTCCTCGGGAGCGCCAACTCCTCGGGAGCGCCAGCTCCCCAGGAGCGCCAACTCCTCAGGAGCGCCAACTTCCCAGGAGCGCCAACTCCCCAGGAGCGCCAACTCCCCAGGAGCGCCAACTCCTCAGGAGCGCCAACTCCCCAGGAGCGCCAACTCCTCGGGAGCGCCAACTCCTCGGGAGCGCCAACTCCCCAGGAGCGCCAACTCCCCGGGAGCGCCAACTCCCCAGGAGCGCCAACTCCTCAGGAGCGCCAACTCCCCAGGAGCGCCAACTCCTCGGGAGCGCCAACTCCTCGGGAGCGCCAACTCCCCAGGAGCGCCAACTCCCCGGGAGCGCCAACTCCTCGGGAGCGCCAACTCCTCAGGAGCGCCAACTCCCCAGGAGCGCCAACTCCTCAGGAGCGCCAACTCCCCAGGAGCGCCAACTCCCCAGGAGCGCCAACTCCCCAGGAGCGCCAACTCCTCAGGAGCGCCAACTCCTCAGGAGCGCCAACTCCCCAGGAGCGCCAACTCCTCGGGAGCGCCAACTCCTCGGGAGCGCCAACTCCCCGGGAGCGCCAACTCCCCGGGAGCGCCAACTCCCCGGGAGCGCCAACTCCTCGGGAGCGCCAACTCCTCGGGAGCGCCAACTCCTCGGGAGCGCCAGCTCCCCAGGAGCGCCAACTCCTCAGGAGCGCCAACTTCCCAGGAGCGCCAACTCCCCAGGAGCGCCAACTCCCCAGGAGCGCCAACTCCTCAGGAGCGCCAACTCCCCAGGAGCGCCAACTCCTCGGGAGCGCCAACTCCTCGGGAGCGCCAACTCCCCAGGAGCGCCAACTCCCCGGGAGCGCCAACTCCCCGGGAGCGCCAACTCCCCGGGAGCGCCAACTCCCCGGGAGCGCCAACTCCCCGGGAGCGCCAACTCCTCGGGAGCGCCAACTCCCCGGGAGCGCCAACTCCCCGGGAGCGCCAACTCCCCGGGAGCGCCAACTCCTCGGGAGCGCCAACTCCTCGGGAGCGCCAACTCCTCGGGAGCGCCAGCTCCCCAGGAGCGCCAACTCCTCAGGAGCGCCAACTTCCCAGGAGCGCCAACTCCCCAGGAGCGCCAACTCCCCAGGAGCGCCAACTCCTCAGGAGCGCCAACTCCCCAGGAGCGCCAACTCCTCGGGAGCGCCAACTCCTCGGGAGCGCCAACTCCCCAGGAGCGCCAACTCCCCGGGAGCGCCAACTCCCCGGGAGCGCCAACTCCCCGGGAGCGCCAACTCCCCGGGAGCGCCAACTCCCCGGGAGCGCCAACTCCCCGGGAGCGCCAACTCCCCGGGAGCGCCAACTCCCCGGGAGCGCCAACTCCTCAGGAGCGCCAACTTCCCAGGAGCGCCAACTTCCCAGGAGCGCCAACTCCTCAGGAGCGCCAACTTCCCAGGAGCGCCAACTCCTCAGGAGCGCCAACTCCCCAGGAGCGCCAACTCCTCGGGAGCGCCAACTCCTCGGGAGCGCCAACTCCCCGGGAGCGCCAACTCCCCGGGAGCGCCAACTCCCCGGGAGCGCCAACTCCTCGGGAGCGCCAACTCCTCGGGAGCGCCAACTCCTCGGGAGCGCCAGCTCCCCAGGAGCGCCAACTCCTCAGGAGCGCCAACTTCCCAGGAGCGCCAACTCCTCAGGAGGACGACCTATCCAAATACGTATTGCACTTAGCAACACTCAATCATGAAGTCTGATAAAAAAAATTATATTTCCAATTACTTTCTTCACTTTTTTTTACTAAAAATGTAACAATTTTCTTGATTAAATCGTAAGAAAAGCATATTTTCTATCGTAAATTCTGGTCTTCTTTTCCACATATAATCATAAATGCAAAAGGGAATAAAAAATTATGCAAGTATTGCAAGGTTTGCGATCGATCCACACTAAGTGACTGAGGATGAGGGTACCGAGCTAGGTTTCCAAGCAACCCCGGGCTCGACTGCACCAGGAATTTATATTTAACGACCCCAAGAGAGAAGACGAGGAAAAACTACTTATGCCAATCCGACTCGGTTCAAAATTCCACACAACCAGAGTATTTCTGTAGAAAAAAAAAATGATAAAAATCGGCCACTTGAAAAAAGTAAATTAAAATAAAGAATATTTGAGTAAATGCAAATTTAATTAAGTATAGAACTTCTCTATTTAAAAACAAAAGAGTTTAACTCGTTTACGGCAAAATATAGAGCTGAAAACTTGTCAGCCGCACAACATAAGCTCGGTGCTGCAAAAAAGGCACACAATGTCACATTTCATTCGGGGCGAGGGTGGCGTAATTTATTCCTTTATTCCGCCGCACAACTTTTTCCTCTCCCGGCTCGTACGTGTTTATATATTTGTTGACGAATAGCCGTGGCCGCTCTTTATTTCAAGCAAAGCTCATTCTGAAAATTTCAGCCAACACAAACAGCAGAAGGTCCAGAGCCGGAGGAAAAACGGCGGAAAGGAAGAAGAAAATCATATATTGGGAGCGACGACGGCTTTGACCTGCGCCTCGCCTCTCGTTGAATATTGCACGAGCCACTCTTTTTAATCTCCTTAGCCGATTCAATAGGAATTTTCTTTTGCGGCGCAAACATGCAAAAGCGCCGAGTTGTATGGCCTCTCCCTCTCTCTCTCTCTCTCTGTGTGTTATTAATTATTACAGAGAGCAACGCACGGCGGACCTTCTGAGCCAGAATGAAATTCGCTTCTCCCTCCGCTCAATGTTTGTTCCAAAAACACACAGCCTCGTCACCAATAAACGTTTGGTCCATAATAGAGACGGATATTTTTCCTAAAAAAAAAACTATGCGCCTTAATTGGGAATAAAAGAGAGTAAATTTTTTTGCATATTTTAGGAAAAAAATATCTTTTTATTCATTTGGTTCAAAATTTAAAATTCAGTGAGAACAATTTTTTTCTAAGTATTTTCGCTGGCTAAACTAGACTTCGTTGAGGACTAATTTGGAAAGTATTTTAGTATTTTAAACTGGCGTGGTATTTAAAAAAGAAATGGCGGTGCTATAAAGTGAAATGTTTTCCTTTTGCAGGGCGACGGCATTTCCCATGCGTAAGATTTAGTGTTAATTACTCTTTAATAGTAACTGCGGGCGAAAGGGCCGAAATTAAGCGCGGTGGATCATTTCCTTTCTGCCAGAGACGCAGCACATGCGTTTTTATTACGCCAGCAGCAGCCTAGCTGGGCTTTTTGTGTGTCTCTGAAATTAAACGCGCGGACCACCTTTTCATGTCAATGGAGCTTTGTGCGCGCACCGACCTTTAAAATACAAGACCTCGCATTCACTAAAATCATTTTTGGTTGTTTCGAAGGAAAAATGCGCTTCCCTTTAATACTGGGAAATTTTAAATTTCCGTTTTAATCCACATCTGCGCTGTGTGTTGCTCTATTTAGAATGGATTTGGTTCTCTGGGATTAATAATTTTTGATAAAAAGTCTATTTTTACACCTTCAAAGCAGAGGATCAACATGAATTTGAATTTCCAGTGAAGTTGTTTCTGATTTCACTAAATTTTTGGAAAAAATGCATATAAATAGATTTCAACTTCAACGCGCTTATTATGAAGAATAATAAAGAGTTGGCTTTTCACATTGAAGCGATTATAATTTCTTAGCATGTTAATTAATGCTGTGGAATTAATTTTAGATTGTGAAACAGCTCTAAAATTTCAATTTGGAGCTTAAAAAGAGGAATAGTTGTAAATAATTAATTATAAAAATTTGCCGCAATCCACCAGCAGCAAAGGTTTTTCCTTCATTTAATTGTAACTAATTAAAAAAAAAAAACTAAGAAAAAACTTGCAATTACAATATCGAATTTTGTTATTTTCATTCTAAATCCATCGGCAGGAGCAAAAACTTGGTCTTTTGACCGTGTTTTGAAACAATACAGCTCATTTAATGTGTCTCTGGCAGTGGCGAGCGAGAGGCAGGTAGGCGAAATTCATTAAACAAACATTAATTTAATTTTGTTTACCATTTGACCGAGGCATTATTATCAGTCGCTCGCATGCCGCGCTACTCTCATTAACGAAAACAATTACGGCGTGTGCGCGGGCATATTTGCATATTAGAGTCGTTAGGCCGACCCTCCTCTTTCGTGTTGTCTCTCTTTCACGTTGATGGACTCGGGCCTTGTCGCGTACGTAAAAACCACCACTTACCATTCTCGCGAGTCCAATAGTTAATGGCTTTCGGGGAGGCCTCCACGTGGCACTGCAGGGTGACATCGGTGTTGGTCGGCGCTCCTACAAGTTGGTTCGGCACTTGGATCAGGGGGTGGACTGCAAAAAAAAAAGAGAAAAGACCAGAGCGTTAGTAAGCAGAATTGCGCCGGACCCACATTTGAATAATTCCCACCAAATCCGTTTCAATTCAATGTGCTGCTATTTTATTCAAAAGTAGTGTGAACCGCCTTTTTGCATTAATCTTCATAAATTTTTCACGGGCCACCGCCGGCTTTGTCTGAATTAAAAGGGGCGAAAAAGCAGAAAGAACGGCGCTGCCTCGGCCCTTTTTCGCAAAATTTTCAAAATCCGTAAAAAGATTTCAAAATTTTCGGTTCCAATTTAGATGTCTAAGCAATTTTTTTGCCAACCTTTAAAATCCAATTGAAACCATTTAATTTGTGACAATTTCCCAGAAATAAAAATTAAATCTGTCAATTTCAATCACTTTGTTGTAGTTTTTCCTGTTCACAATTTTTTTTTATATTTTTAAAATTTCAACTGTCTGGTTGAGTGGAAAAGTTTGAAATTCATGGGAACGCAGTGCTTCTGCCTCCACATTCACTTGGGAAATAAAATGAATTCTTTTGTGCAAATATTTCAGGCAACTAGTTTGCCGAGTTGGCTGGCAACACGCGCAGACAAGAGGAATTCGCGAATTCGTGTCTAACAAAGTGCCGCTCCCAAAACTACCCCCGCACGCGTTTACTTTTCTCTGCTCAGAGCCGCCGTCTTTCACTTTCACACTTCTCGAATTCTTGAGCATGCAGTTGGGGAATCAATATGGGCCTGCCAGGGAGTTGTTGCGGCTGCAAGTTTCCTTCCGTCTCCACAGCCAAATAAGTGAATTTGCATGACGCGAGACGAGGGAAGACGCATTTTAATTAGTTTATTGAAAGGAGCTGTTAGTTATTTGACAAGTTGGCGATGAAAAAAGAAGCGCCGCCGCCGCCGCCGGCGACTGCATGCATATTTCAAGTTGACTGACTTTGTTTACATTCATTATTTCGGCGCCGCCGCCGCCGCCGCGTATTTGAGTTATGGCGTCGAATGCAAAGGAGATGCAAAAGAAGAAGAGCTAATAAGAAAAGTTTAAAGACGCGCGGCGTCAAAAGATTCACCGAATCAACAACACGTACCGCGCGCCAAGCTTTTTATTAATAAACAAATCTTAAAGTTTTGGCTCCAGAATCTGTCAACAGAGAACAAGAAAGACATTTTCCATATTTTTATTTTACAAGAGAAAAAACACTGGGAAAAACATTCTTGCAAAGTTTTGATTAAATAAAATTATTTTATTTCCTAAGGAAAATCGTTCTATGCCTATAAATTGATTCTAAAACATTACAATTTAATTTTAACATAAATTTTTGGTTCATGATAATTGAAAAAAGAAGCTTCAACAAGAATAATTAAGGAATTACAAAGGAAACTTGAATAATAAATGAATATGAAATTGCTTCTTTACAATTACTGAAATTTACCCACTTTATATTACTTTTTATCAATTTTGGTTTAATTTTGAGTAGAAATTTCTTTCGAAAATTTCCATAACAACTATCGTTAAGTTTTGAAAATTCAGTTATCCCGACGAATCAATTCTTTTTTAGCGTAATCTCCAATCCAATGCTGAAATCAATTAGGCCGTTTTTTAGCAGAAGCATATTTTCAAAACAGCCGTTTTTCTCTTTAATACCAAAATATAATTTGTCACATCTTTGAATTAACGTGTGATCGAGCCGTCCTAAAATTGCAGGGCGGCGCGTTATACAAAATGAAACCCGAAGGAGCGATAAAAAGTGATATAGAGTCATTTAGCCGCATTCAAAAGAGAGGAAACGCGAGACTAGCAAACGAGAGGGCGCGTTAGTTAAAAAAGCGCGCCGCGTTTTCTGCAAGTGACAGAGGTGACGGATGGCTTCGGGGGAGAGTCAACTATGCTAATAAAAAATATTCTGAAACACACGCCCGCGCCCGTGGCAAATATCAACGCCGCCGAAATTCACGCTTCTCGCCAATCACTTTCCGATAAATTTATGTGAAGGAAAAAAAAGTTTTAAACTCACAGTGCACGTGGACCATCATCCTCTTGCTGACCGACGGCGGCACTCCATTGGCCGCGATGCACAGGTAGGCGCCCATTTCAGACCGCGTCACCTTCACCAGGGAAAGCACCTCGTTTTCGTAAGATGCGACTGTGGCAAAAAAAAAAAAAAATGGGAAATTATTTAGTTGCAAAGTTTCAATGACTACATATCCCAAATTAAAAAAAAATCATCAATTTGAATCACACAATAAAGGGAAAATTTTAAACAATCAATCGTTTTTGCTGTTGTTTATATTTTGTATAAATTAACAATTTGTTATTTGGTGAGTTTTTACCTTTTGATCTGGTGGACTGGAGGCCTCGCAGGATGATGTCGCCGCCGTCCTCGCGTCTCCAAACGATTTTGGGCTTCGGGTAGCCCTTGGCCTTGCACACCAACTTGGCAGAACCGCCCTCAGGCACCATCATGTCACCCGAGGTCTCTTCGTAAACGATGTCCGGAGGGATGACCACCTCAAGAAACGCGGTCTGGTCTCAACAAATTTTAAATCAAAAATGGAAAAGGAATTCAAAATTTTGGGTTGAAATGGAGAAAATTCATTTCAAAATATGGTTAAATTTTATTACGAAATAGAGAAAAGCTGGTGATGTTTCAAGTCTGAATTATTAATAAACACAAATGAAATAATTGAAGATAAATTCATTTAAATTTGAAATAATTTTGGCTGCTGGTGTTACAAACATGAATTAATACAGATTACAAAATATTTTATTTGTTAATAGTTCAAATAACTGTTTTTGGCTTTATGAAACGTTTCAAATTTCAATCCAGAATAAACTTATTTCAAAATTAAATTCTAAAAAATTATTTTGCTGTCAGTTTTTTGTTTTTCCTGAGTGTTAATGACGCTGTGGAACTTTTTATATATTTTAATAAATGATCGAAATAAGTTTTAATGAACTTTACTCTAATGAAAAAGCTTGAAATTCCTGATTCAATTATAGATTTTAAGAGTAACTTGTGCTCTCACCTGGCTTTTCATGGGGTCAGTGTTGACCTGGCACATGTACTGGCCCCTGTCCTCCCTCCTCGCGTTCCGTATCAGCAGCGTCCACGTGTTGGAGTCGCTGTGCGTGACCGAGAGGCGCGCGTTGTTGGTGATGACGTGCTCGTGGATGGCCAGGATCGCTTTGGTGTCCGCCTTGATCCACGCTACCTGCACATTCCGACCACAATTAGAGGCTCGTCCGCACTTCTCAACAGCACCCTTCGCAGTATATTTTTGTGGTTTCATATTATGTACAGGGGCATATGTACACCTGGCAATCCTAGGACTTGAAAATAAATTTATATTCAAAAACAAATATAATCAGTTTGGATTTTGCAAAGGGTATGCAGGGGCGTGTTCTCTCTCTCTCTGTTTGTGATTTCGCGTTGCAGCCACTTGGGTTTGATTTAATAAACACACACAGTGCTGGCGCGGAATGATATAATATTATATCCGTCCATAGTAAATATCCCCCGTTTTCCATTTTACAAATGGCCTGCTGGGTACGTGCGTCGTCGCGTTTGCATGATAAAGCGCCCACTTGCACGCTTGCAAATTTGATTTGGAAATCTTCTCGTATCAATTGGATTGTCCCTCCTCGGCTGGAAATCCGCTCAAAATCACAGCTGAGAGCGTTTTTTTTTTCATAGCAATGGTTTCAGCCAGGAAAATTCATGGCAGTCTGAAATTTGAGACACGTTTTACTGAGTTTGCCGCCTAAAGTTCCTTTGAAAAGTGGCGAATTTTGTTTAAATTTGATTTTATTTTTTACTATTTCTTGTAGAAACATGAGACTAACGTCAAACGTTGGGAAATTTAAAAAGCTTTAAAAGCCTCGCCAATTTTTCTTAACTTAGACATTTTTTGCTGCCAAAAAGTTCTAATGTATGGACAAAAGTCGACTTTATGTCAGTTTTCCAGCTCTGGAAATCATTTCAGAGAGAAATGTTTGGCAAAAAACTGGTAAATGGAAAATTTAAAAAAATAATGAGATTTTCAGCTAAATTATGTCCACTTTATGGCTGAAAAATAAAAAAAATGACCCAAAATCCTTTTGATTCCTAGACTAAAAAAGAACTTGCTAGAACTGACTGTAAATAGTTTTCGAGTGACCTTTTTAATTGATTGTCCGGCGGCATTCGTCATAATGAAATTAATGAGCCGTCGGGAATTAAGGTCAGCGGCCGACCTTTCGGACCTTTGTCTGGGCGGGAAGGGCAAATTTATGTACGCATTTTGTTCCATCTGCTTTAAATTCGTCCAAATCCAGCGCAAGGGTTCTCTCGCGTCGTTTTATTGGTTTGCGCCGGCGGAGCAGAAGGTTGAGGCCGAATTTATAGTTTGCTCATTAATTAAAAGCGGGATTTGCATGTAATCGATGGCGGACCTGCCAGCAGCAGCAACCGTCCTTTTTGCAGCGCGCGCGGCCAATCAAAACATTCCCATATTTATACACGTGGCTTATTATGCAGGCCGAGAAACAACTTCCGTACCTTTCGACTTTTGATGTCTGATCCAGACTAAAAGCATTCGGCAAAAAGCAGCGGTCTGAGTGCATCGTCCCGTGATTTGAATTGACGATGATTAAAATGCAGGACGCACTCCCCATTCCGCGGAATGGGGATGAAAAGAAGGGGTGGACTGAGAATTAATTCCGACCAAATCCACTTTCCATTATTCATCATCATCATTTTTTAACAAAATCTTTTAAGTTAATTTTGCGATATGAATTAATTTTTCTTTTAGAACTCTCAATTCATCAAGAATCAATCAAAAATAACTGTTTAAATAAAGTTTTTAATATTATTTTAAATAATATTAAATCAATTAATTTAATTTTAAGTATCATTTTTTCTTCTTCAATATTTCGTGTGTGTCTTGTGTGCGTTGTTAAGTGCATTCCAGATTCCGTTTTAATTTTAATTGTTAAGGAAATTTAACGTGGATTCAGAAACTGAGCTTGAAAACAAACGCTCAGGAAACAAATTTAAATGTCTAAATTTCAGCTATTAACTGGAAATCCTAATTTTTGTTCAAAATAAAATAAAATAAGGATTTATGTTTGAAATAATTAATTTTTCCATTTAAAACTTGAAAATCAAGACAAACGGCAACAAAATGAACATGACAAAGATCATATGATTTCGGTCATTGAAAACTACTTCCTTTTGGAAGATTAATTTATAATTATCATATTTGATAAAAGATGAAGATGCTTTCTCATGATCTTTTGAAATAATTCCAAAATATTTTTTAATACATATTTTTTTTCCATTAATATTTTAAAAATTACTGTAGTAAGATTAACAATTAATGTAATTCTAAATTGATGAATAAAAGTTGAACTTTGAATTTTATGTGTTGTACATGAAATAATGAACCAATTTTAGGCGATCGCTTACTTTCTGCGGCAGCAGAGTTGAGTATTTACTGCTCTCAGCGCATAAAATTCCCACGTAAATCCCACACGCAAAGCTCTTTGGCTGCGAATCGCTCACACGCGATAATAATTTTTGCACACCCGTCCGCTGCAAATATGCGGTCGGCGCGGAGGTGCACGAAAGCGTATGTATGTGTATGGCAAGGAAGAGAAGATGTAAATTAGCTCCCTCCGGTCGCGCCGCCGAAAGAGCCCTCGCCAAAGTGAAGAGCGATTTGCATAATTGAATCAAGCGATTTTTTCCCACCCTCGTTCTACACAGAGAGACTCTCGCCCTGCAAGCGATTCTCAATCAAACAGTCGTTTTTGCTCGGACCGAAAAATTGCAATTGTTTTTGTCGCGCGCCCGACAAGAGAAACAAAAAGAGGGCCAAGTTGCGAGTATAATTTACGAGACTTGTGTACTTGGAAACTGGTGTGTTTATGGACCTTTGAAGTACCTCAAGCATGGACTGCTGCCATTATTTATGACTATACTTTTATCCAGAGAGAGAGAGAGAAAGGGAGCTAGGAGAGAGGCAGTTTCCTTTTCTGCAGCGTCTCATATTTATGTCAAACGCTTTCGCAGGGGAATTAGTTTCGTTACACACCCTCCTCTGCATTCATTTTTGAGCAGGGGAGTCGCTTTAATTAAATATTCGCGGCGCGAAAAACGCAGGATTCAGCACAAAACTCCAATTAATAAATTTTGTTCCTGTCGCACGGGCCGCGCGCTCAATAAACACAATTTTAAAGCAAAAGTTTGAATCTGCTTGAACAGTGAATGAGAAAATTAAAGTCGCGCGGGCTGATGATGAGATGGTCGGCGGAAATTACTTTCTGTTCCAGGCCCAAGTTTCAAACTAATTATCTGCGGATGCATTATACAAACATAAAGGCTTTTTAACTTTGCTTTGCGCTGTTAATTGATGCCAGGATGTTTGAGATTGACAATCTGGTCGGAAGATTTCCCCTTTCCACACAATTCTGAAAATTACTCCGAGAAGTTTAATAAAAATAAGTAAAAAATAGAAATAGGGTGGGTTCGAATATCAGAGAAACGATTCTCAAAACAATTTTCGAGAAACGATTCTCAAGAAAAGATTCTTGCTCAAGGATTCCCATGGAACGATTCTTTAGATGAACTTAAAAGGCAGAATCCTTGCGCGAGAATCTTTTCTTGAGGATCGTTTCTCCAGAATCTTTTCTCAAGAATCGCTTCTCTGATATTCGGACCCACCCATACAATTTTGCGTTGATCAACTATTTTCTAATCAGAACAATTGAAGAAAATCAAGTTTAAACGGTATGATCTAGTTATTGTTTAAGGCAAAAGGTGAACACAATAATACCAATATTTGAGAATAAAGAAAAAGATAAAAAAGATTAAAAATCTTAGAAATATTGAAAAATGAATATTTTATTTTTTAATAAAATTAAAACTTCTCCATAAAAAGTATTAACAAATGTAATAGATTCAAAGAAATGGATTAAATTTTAGTTAATTCTGGAGAGATTTCCACTTTAATTCCATTTTAGCTCGGTGACAATGTGAATTGCAACTTCTCCGTAATTGTTCTCGCGACGTTCTCGGACATTAATTTCTATTACGCGGAGCGCATGAAATTCCGCTCAACTCCCTCATTATTAGTCACATTTGGCCGGGCCGACGGCAGTGCGGGAATTAAGATTATACGATTTCGCGTGTCTCCACCACACACACGAGAGAGAGAGAATATTTGTGCGATTCAATTTAACGTTCGTATCATTTCACTTGGCCCTCGGCTGACGCACATGAATGACACACGCACGCATCATTCCTCTTTTGTCTTGAGCAAGGAAGTCGCTCATGTGTGAAGAGAACAGTGACCGCTGTTTATCTCACTCAGTGGCGGGAAATTAATTAGCGCGAAAAATGGAATGGAGAAGATAATATCGCGTTTAATTACGGCTGCGAGAGAAGAGTCGAGCCAGGTGATCTATAAAGGGTGCCGAGAGATGTGCCTGCGATAAGCGAATGCTAATGTAATTGGCCCTAATCTGCGCTGCGCTATCAATAAGGGCAGCCCCTCGAGCCAAATCCAAAGAGAAGCTCTTTCATTTTTGCCTGCTTTTGAAGCGCAATTTTCAAATCGAGAATCAGCCTTTCATCTTGTCCCCACATTTTTTTGTTCAAAAGGTGAAAAGTTCACCACATATAATCCCTGAAGAAATAAAACCTGAATACTTGCGATGAATAAAATACAAGAAAATAATAACATACAATTTTGAACCTTTGTATGTTTTTAATATCTGGAAAATTAGGGGGGAATTATATCAGACTAATTGTGAAACTTCTTTGTACAAATGCTGTGAACTTTGCATATCACTTGAATTTCAGTCTGGTATTTAATTTGATTTTGATGTTTCGATGTGTGATGTATGATGTAGTGTTTTATTATCATGCATCGTATTTTAATGGAGAATAAAAAAATCTTAAAAGTCCAGTTAAGTATTTTTTTTAACAATAATGAAAAAAAATTAAAAACTATTACTTTATTAAAAAAGCTCAGATACAATTAAATTATTATTAAATTGTATAAACATATATTGTAATTATTTTACTTTAAAACTTACTTTACTTAGAATAAAATTCGAAATCGTTTTTTTCAGTGCAGATGAAAATTAAGGTGCCACGCGGGTCACGATTTATGCAAATTGGGGCCACACACGTTAACGATACGCGCGCGGCCGAGTTGTCGCGCGCGCCAACACAAATTGGATTTATTTAAAATCCAAGTTGGCGAGAGCAAAGGGAGAGAGAGTAGTTTTTATACAGGGCTCTGGTAGTATCTAAACTTATTCGTCGGCTGCGCGCAGAGAAGAAAGTTTGTGATCAAAAGAGGCAGCGAGATCAAAAGGATCCGTTTGCGCGCGCTCGTGGTATAATCCTAGCATAATCTGATCAGCGGCCTTTTTGTCCGCCCTTTGTGCCCTCGTCAAGATCATGTTCGCGTCCAAATTGCGTTATTCCAGAGGCTAATTACAAGTGATTGTCCCAGGATTGCACCAAAATAAAGAGAAACTATTTACAGATGTGCGTGTGTGTCGACTAAACTAAACACAAAAACTAAATCGTGGAAACTGCTACTTTTTATATGTACAAAAAATTTACAATTTATTCAAGGTGGAATGAAGCTCAAGTTACTGATAGAAATTTAATTTAATAGAAATTTTAGATTTCACGAATTGTGAATTGGCCAAATAAAAAAGCTGTTGACATTTTGTTTGGTCAGATTTTTATAAAACTTGGTACCAGTTGCTTTGCAAATTCAAAGAACTAACTGAAAATGCCCAGATTAGGTGTTTTTAAGATACTGAAATTTAACGAATATCTGGATTTTCTAATTTAAATGAATACTTTCAAACTGCTCTCAAACTTTTACGTTTTGAAATAAAACTGAAATGAAATATTTTAGAGTCCAGGTAATAAATTTTATCTTGAGATTCAATTATTATTCTCATTTTTCTTCAAAATTTGCAAACTATTTCAAAATTTGTGGTGATAAAATTAGGGATTTTTAATTTTTATTTTGGACATTTTGCTTTTTGGCAACCAGAATCATTCCACCTTTAAGTTTATGAAAAGAACTTTTTACAAAGGATTTTGGCATCTACGAAAGTGAGTGTTTGAAATTCTAATAAAATGATTATTGTTTGTCCTTTTTTGCAGCATAATTAATTAATGAGAAAAAAGTGATAATGTGCGTGAGGAGAAAGTGAGAGTGAACGGAAGCGTGCACACATGCGTGGGTGAAAAAACTCATGGCTCGAAAGGAGGGGAAAAACTTTGTACAAAACGAAACGACGGGGGGCGTAAACGGAATTCCAGTTAGTGTTTTTCTGAGCCATGTTTGGTGCCGGCAGTGATTACAGGGTGCTGTAGAGAATTAAAAAGCCGCAGCAACAGCAAATAACACTTATTTCGTATTTAATTTTAATTAAAACCATCTCGAGTGAAAACGGAAAATGCATGCAACCGGCAGGACGCCAGTGTCCGGCGGGGTGCATACTTTTGAAATGTTGTTTGCTGTGGCCGATTTGAGTGCAGAAGAAGGAGTTCGTCGATTAAATATAGCAACAGGGTAGTGCATTTCAAATATATATTATGATTCGCAGTCAATCAATCAAATATACACGACATGTGCGACCACCGATAGAATTGATTTAGATTTACACACCCTGGCTTTTGAAGTGTCGCCTCCCGCACTCACCCTATAACCTCCCAGGTTGTTGACCACGCACGTGAACGTCGCGTCTCTGCCTTGCGGAATGGTCACGTTTTCCAGCGGGTAGATGAAGTCGGGCTCGTATCCCAAGGCTGCAACAAACAATGCGTTTTTCATTTACATTTACATCCAAGATGAAATAATGATAAACATGTTGATTTGAAGATTATTTATGCATTATTTTTTATATATATTAAATAAAAAAATTCCTGCATGATTCTTTTAAATAACCTTCTTTTATTATTTAATTTACGGCTCCAGTTCGGCGAGTAGGTTTAATTTGGAAACACTTTTGCTTCCAAATTGAGCCTATGAGTTTTAGTAAGTTGTTTACTAAAGCTGGCTGCCAATTCTCTCCCGATGTGATTTTTCTATTTTTGTTTGACTTGTTGCGAGAGAATAAATGAATTTTTATACACCTTTTTTTATTTCAAAGGATCTCTTCTCTGCAATTTGAAAGTTTTCCTTCCAAATAATAATTTATAACTTTTGGGAATTAACCGGCTAGTTTCTTGTAAAAACTTTCAAAAACACTATTTTCTGTGGCTGAACATAATTACATGAATAATTAAAACAGGAGGGAACGCTGGGAACTGCTTTTGGGAGGAGAGATTGTATTAATGAGTAAAAGAAGATTCAACAGCTTTACAGTCCTTTGGGCCTGCGGGCGATGCTTGCTAAACATTGATGTTCTCCATTGTTGATCTTTTGCCGCTCGGAAAGCAACCCCGAAATTTGTCTGAGCAAGAGAGATGCATCTCTGTGGAACAACAACATCCCTTTGCGCGCAGAGAGGGCAACCAACCTCAAAGGAGTCGTCTTTGGCTTCTTATCCAATTTCGAGGCCCCTCATAACTCAGTCCGAGTATTAATTTGCGATATTAAAAGTTGCAGCGTGCGCACCAATTTGCCGCCAAAACCTAATTAAAATTTCTTCCCTTCCCAGTTTAACGACGAGAAATTTTCCGCGAGGTGAACGCCACTTGTTGGACGACGTTTCAAGATTGAGCAGAGGATAAATTTTAATAATGATTCTTAAAATAGGCGTGACACATGACGCTATATTATTTAATTTACATTGATTTCACACAATAATGGGTTGTGCTGCAACAACACTGAATTATTAATTAAATTAGAATTAATATTTAAAGTATTTTTTAAAGTCCAGTGAAGTATTTGAACAATTTAATAATAAATAATAAAATAAAAACTTAATTACAAACAAAAACACACTAAATAATAATAATTTAATAAATTATCATTAAAAAATTTAATTTTTATTCTTCAAAAGTTTTTTATGAACTTAATAACAAAATTATGCTATTTTTTTTTACAGATGAAATTTAAATTGAGTGTCAAATAGCGTGACGAGAGTTTATTTTCAAGATTGAAAATAGGATTAAAAACACCGCTTGTTTATTTTTATTTTGAAGAGTGCGTGTGTCTGTCTGTTTTTTGTCCGCTCTTTATTTTACTGCCGGTCGATCAAACGGGGTCTCGGCCACTCTAGTTTATGGCGGCACTAAAATTCGTGCCACCTCATTTATTTCGGTCAGGTAAACGCCGAGAAACTCATTTCGCTCCACCTTCTAATTCAATGCGTCCTCTTCAAGGGCTTTGCCAGTCAATTTGCTTAGTTGCGAGAGGGAATTTTAATTTGGCTCTAGTGCCCTCCGCCGTTGTTGTCGATTCCAAATTGCTTTCTCTCTTTTACACAAAGAGCGCCGTGCCCTTTTCTGCGGACAATTTAATTTGGTGTTAGGAAAAGCAGCAAATTCGTTTTGTTGTAAAGAAATGTTTAAAAATCTCAACCCAATTTTATATTCCAATGATTTCGATTGTTATTTTCTATTCGTTCAACAATAGGTTTTTACTGAAGACTAAATTTGTTTGAAATTTCAAAATATTATTTTGTTTTAAAAGTTCACGATCGATTATTTAAAAAATCACATCTCCAGAAAGTGTTGATGGCTTTGCATAATTAGCTTAAAACTGTGTTATTTTCCTAAAATAATCTCACTGCATTCAAGAGCTTTCATTTTTTTTTAAATTAAAAAGATTCATATTTACAACTGTCTTCATAATTTTGGTGTTGTTGAATAGTTTTGATGAGAAGTGAAATTCTAAATAAATCAACATTGAAAAACATAAATTTCATATGAATAAAAATAACTATTTTAAACTTCCCTGATGCAAAATTTGACCAAATAAAGACAAATTAAAAACTTTAAATAAATTTTAAACTACAAACAGAATTAAATTGTGTTTATTTTTCAATCTGATCATTTTAATCCACAAACAACTCTGACATGAAGGCGTGTGTTTCTTTTTACAAAAACTCAACAAGTTTGTCTGCTTGTGTACGGAATCCGATTCGACACGTACGTGTTTGTATGTTTTGGCCAAATGCAACTCTTGAATCACCGCAATTCGATAAGCGCGACGTGCGCGAATCCTGTGAGTGATCAGCGCCGAAAATCGAGCGAGAGCGCAAATTGAATCAATTTCCCGGAACAATTTTGGTAATAAGATTTCCTCGGCAACTCCCTCCCTAACAAGAAGAGGAAAAAAATTGTGTCGGGCTTATTTTGGCACGCGGGAGAGGATCATGTAGATGATTATTTGTAACTTTTGCTCGTTTTGAATGTGAGTCACAGTCGGTCCGATCGGTCCGGGAATACCAAGCAGGGATTTTTTACTTCTTCCCTCTCGCCCGGCTAGGAAGGTGCGACGAAATAACATTAACCGGAAACACCCCCATTCCGCTGCGCACTTTGTGCGGTTAATAACGGCTCGGCTCGGCGGCATCAAAATTACATTCCGAATTAAAATAAAAAGGGGCGAACCAGCGCGCTTTGAAAATACAAAACGACCGCCGCCATCAAAGTACCGGCCGGACAGCGGTGTATGTACTTTTTGTCCGCATGTGTGTGTGAGAGAGCGAACGATGCTTTTTTATTAAAAAAAGAGGGTAGAGAGTTGTTCGGCTCAATGTTGTGTTTTTGCAGCGTGCGTTTCATTTTTATGGTGCCGAGTCCTTTTCTCGTCTATATTTTTCTTGGTCAGGAAATTTACTTGAAAATTTTATTTAAATCACATAAAAGTTTGTGCATTCAAACAGTTAAAAAGCATAATAAATTTACTTTTTGATATATTTAACATGATTAAATTGAGTTGAAGCAGGTAAACAAATTATTTATTATTTTTTAATGAATGAAAAATAAGAATGAAATAGATTTTTTTTAAAAGTAATAAAAAAAAAGAGATTTTTAACGAGAACAGCAATCCATTTTTGCATTTTTTTAGAGTCTCACTCTAATGACTCAAAATCAATGTTAGAGAGGGAAGAGTAATTTTTTTTACCCATTTTCTTCACTAAAAAATTGTTTTCCATTCTATTGATGCACATAATGGAATGTGATAAAATAGTATTTTAGTCATTGATAAAATATTTTTGTATTAATTTGATATAAATTTCAATATTTTATTAATTATGATAAATTTTTTCAATTATAGAAATCAACTGCGATATTTTATGTTTTAACAGTAAAGTTACTCATCGATTTGAAAGTACTACTTGCACTGGCTGGTTTGAATTTCTCTGAAATTACGCGTTCAATATTATGCGATTGGCCGGTGTAGTTTGCTCTGTGCAGTAGTTTTGCGCACACCCGGTCGGAATTTAATCCCGACGTCTCCCGCAGAGCAAAACCGCCGTTCTGAGCACAGGTCCGCGCGACCAAAGTGAAAATTGCACACACGCGTCACACACGTTTGCAGCGCAATTTGCCCGGCCAGAAATTAATGCAATCAGGGTGTGCAAAGAAGCGAGACTCGGCTGCGCCACCATATCGTGCGCGGCGGATATTTTAATTAAAAATTAGCCATTGTCGGGCGCTGCCAAGTCAGCTTTATTTATTTACCCTGTCGCGCGCGGGCCGAGCCAGGCCAGGCCAGGCCACTTAATAACGACGCTGCACAAAAAGTCATTGGTCAGCTCCTTATCAGCCAAGGCCAGGCCGTAATTGGGCCCTCGCCGATATGTCCAGTTTTAAATCTCTGGCCAAGGAAAAAAGAAGAAATGTTGGTGGTAAGATTTTAAGGCAAGGAGAGCAAAGCACTAAATTTTATTTATTGAGCTACATAACACTTCGCACAAGGTGATTTTCGGCGATATTTCAGCTCCAAATTATGCCATAAAAAGTAAATGTTTTTCTTCGGGAAAAAACTGGGATTTGCTTCAATAAGGAGCAACATGATTTAGAGAATAGAAAACTCAGGCGTCTCAGGCACTCAAATAAAACTTTTGATTTGTAAAAGACTTCTTAAAATACCTTTTTTCTTCTAAAGAAAAGGATAATAATCATGAAACTAATTAAAAAAATTGTTAAAGGCTTTTAATTGAGGGGAAATTTAACTATTTATCAATGATACAAAAAGTTACAATTTTATATTTTTTATAAATTTAAGTGGTTTAAAATGGATTACCACTGAATTTTTAGTTGCAAAAAGTCTTTATTGATTTTAGGCAATTTTTATAGCTACTGGTTCAAAATTCTCTGAAATAAGTCAAATGTTGTAAGTCTAATTTTATAGATATTGATTCGATTAATGAAATAAATCGTTTTCGTTTCGCTATTATAAACTCGTGTCAAATTTGGCACAAATTTCGGCGAGGGACGGTCACGGTCAGCCACTGTGCGGCGTCATCCGGATTAAAACACACTCTCATTTCGGCGGGACCGGCTGAAATTTTGATTAATTAATTAATTTGCATAGAATAATAAAGCGCGTCGGAGCACCGCACGTTTTTTTTAATCTCCTTTTCATATAAATTTATAACAACCATGTTAACCTTAATGAAAGATTAAGCCGCTTTCGAAATAAATAAACTGCCGAGTTTTTTATTAATCCAGAGGAGAATATTTTTCCGCTTGGCGAATATAATCTCGACGCGAAAATCTCACGTGAATAATTATTTTTTATTATTCTGCGGTTAATTATTTTTCTGCGCCGCAAAAATCAATAATTTATATCACGAGATAAACAAACTTTTTTCGCGGTGACCAGAAAACGGCTGGCGAGAAACAAT